ATGCTGGTAAAACAGCTTTGCAATGGACTTCGGTCCTTTCTCCAACTTTTTGTCTCTCTTCGGGGGGGGGGGGGGGGGGGGGCGCAATATGTTGGTTGGCCACCGCACACGGCGTTGGTGAGTGTTTTCATGGAGCCGTGTGCCTTCCCTACATTTTTTTAAAATGTGGGAGAGCTGTAGACTTGTATCGGGTATGTAAAATTGATGTGAGCCCTTTTCAAGAGAGAAGGGATATTATTTCGAAAATATATTGTGAGCCCTTTACAAGCATGAGAGGGAGTATACTATATACTCTGAGCCCGTCTCAAGCGAGTCGGGATTAGTTAATAAGAAAGCAATCTGACATTATCTCTGGCTTGAACCACGACTAGTGAATATTTATCTATACAAGATACACCTAAAAGAATCAAGTTACTAATTAAACACAACGTAAATGAGGTCCTACCGAATATGACGATCACAATAATATTTATACGGCTAATTATTACCTATAGAAAGATCAATAAATTATCCTGGTCACGTAATGATGTTATATGATTTATTCATATAACGGGGCAGAAATATATATAAGTTTAATTATATATATGCATGAAGGGGGGTTCAGTTACAACATCATTGAGACGCCTATAGTCCACACAAAATCTCGTGCTACCATCTTTCTTCTTCACTAACACAACAGGTGAGCACCACGGACTTGTAGACGGTTCAATAATCTTATTCCTTCTCATGTCCTCCAAAAGGCATTCAACTTCTTTTTCCTTTGCAATTGGTATCCGTCTTGCTCGTTGACGAATTGGTCTTTCGCTTCCGGTATCTATCCTGTGCTGAACCATCGAAGTTGTTCCAAGGTCCCCTTCTTGACTGGAGAAGATATTCGCGTAGCGCTGTAAAAACTTCCTAGCTTTCATGCCCTGTGAATAAGTCAGATTACTCTTGCAGTTATCGAGTAGCTTAGTCACTAATCCGTAGTTGTTGCTGTTTGCTGGGTCTATGCCTGTCGTCGAACTACACTTTTTCATCCAGACAACTTCCTCGCACTTTCCAATGACGTCACCTTTGTTCAAGCAGACCTCGCGATCACAGAGATTCAAAACCTTGACCACAGCGTTACTGCTTCCACTAACAAGGGTTCTTGCCGTCATCAGTTTTTGTGCCGATGTCTTGGTAGGTGTGTCTTCGATTAACACGCATCTGTTTGACTTTTTCTTTCAATTTGGCGGCAGTTTCACCAGCACCCGAGCTTCCGCTCGTCCAGGTATAATGACTTTCTTTACACATGCGACTTTCCCGCAGGCGCCTCCAAGAATGAAGATTTCTTCTTCACCACACTTGAAAACTCCGTCAGCGACATTAACTCTGCAGTTGTGTTTCCTCATGAAATCCAAACCCAAGATGCAATCATCCATTATCTCAGCCACGATGACGTTATGAGAGTATGAGGACCCCCCTACATACATCGTGACTGACATTTCTCCCAGGACGGGTATTGGCTGACCAGAGGTAGTAAGAAGCCGGCAGTTAATTCTCCTTTTGAGTCCCCTTGCGGCTTTTACCAGATTAGGGTTCACTATTGTTCTAGAGGCTCCTGTGTCTAGAGTCATTTTGCAATCCGTCCCACTAATAGTACCCTGAATCACAAGGCTATTCCCGCTGCATGCCTGGGAGATAACAGTTATCGGGGCCTCCTCCGCGTCAGCCAGTACTCGCCCCTTAGTACTGGCTTTTATTAGTTTCCCTGATCCCGGGCAGGGGACGAAGCCTCTCGCTTCTTCAGCTCCGTTATTTGTTCCTCGATCCATTTCATCCTTGCCATCTGGGTCTCCTTCTGCGGGCAGTTGAGCTGCAGATGGCCCCTCTCGCCGCACTTGTAACACATAGCTCCAAAACTTTTCTTTGTAGGAGCCTTAACCTCCTTGACTTCCTCAGAGACCTCGCGGATTTTATGGGTCTGCCGTATGTCATGGCGAACAGCCTCGACCTCTAAAGCATGCGCCAGTGCTTCCTTTAGCGAGGTATGGTGACGAAGCCTCACTGCAGCTCTGACCTCCAGGTCATTGATTCCGTCCACAAATACTTATCACAATACCACAATATTCGTGTCTACCATCTTGGTGTCGGCTCCTGGGTGTACCTTCCTGATGAGTTTTTCAATTTCCAACGCCCATTGTTGTAGTCCTTCTCCTGAGCGTTGGACTCGGTCACGCAGTTGGGCACGGAACACGTGCTCCAGGTGTCGCTCCCCGTATCTGGATTCAAGTGCCTCCATCAGGTCTTGGAACCTATTTCCTGTACGTGGCAGTGCTTCCAGGACCGACAAAGCTTGCCCTCTGAGCGCAACAGTGAGAGTGGTCAGGCGTTGCTCTTCCGTCCATCCGTTGGCAGTAGCAACAGTCGGGAATTGCCGACGATAAGCGTGCCAAGAAGTAGTGCCATCGTATGGCGGCACTTTCACTTTTGGTCCTTGTGCCACTCCAGTAGTGCCACTAGACATCGCGATTCCCGTGGTTTCAAGGCGCACTACTTTCTTGTGTAGTTCGGTGAGGCCGGTTTTCACATTTTCAACATCCAATCCTAACCCGGTAACTCGTTCTTCCACTACGTCGACATCTTTTCGAAGTTTAATCACCGTGTTACTAACATCATTTATAGCCCAAAGGGCCTTTTCTTGGAGGTCTTTTTGTTGCTCTTGTGATTCTCGAATCGCTCTGATTTCATCCTTTTGAAACTCTTGAATCGTAGTCAGCTTGCGTTCTTGTGACTCTTGCAAAGCGCCGAGCTTGCGTTCTTGTGACTCTTGCAAAGCGCCGAACTTGCGTTCTTGTGACTCTTGCAAAGCGCCGAACTTGCGTTCTTGTGACTCTTGCAAAGCGCCAATTAGTTCAATTAAACTTCCTAATTGAAGAGCCATTTCAGGGGCTGCAGAAGTTACGGTGCCGCTGGTGGGCGTGGCCCGGTGGGTGGAGTCAGTGGGCGGTGCTTGCACCAAAGGGGGCGGGGCCCGAGCCCGAGCGGGCGGGGCCTGAGCCCGAGTGGGCGAGGCCTGAACCCGAGTGGGCGGGGCTTGTGCCGCAGTGGGCGGGGCTTGATTCCCGGTGGGTGTGGCCTCCGCAGCTCGTGCCCTTGTCCTGACACCCTCCTTGAAGTCCTCTCTCGGAGTCAATGGCATCTCCAAATCGCACTTCTGACACCAGTTGTTACGTGTTAGGGGTTCGAAGGATTTGGAGAGAAAGACCTGCTGACTCTTTTGAAGACTTTATTTACGCGCACTAGGTCCAACACAAAGCACTAGGTCCAATCACTAAGCACTAACGATGTCCTAGATTGTAGCCAAGTCGTAGGTTTCACTTTTATCGCTCTTGATCACTAGTTTTCACTCCGAAGTCGCCTCGAAGTTAGCTCAAACTGAACTGTGATCGCTCGCCTCCCTGCGGCTTTTTATATGGGCCGAGACCGGTTCCGGACTAATCCAGAAAGATCATTCCTGGAACGTACCCGACACGCACGAACATGTTCGTGATTCCGGAAAGTTCGCGAATGTACCCGGTTTTCGAGACTATAGTTCCACAGCAGTTCCTCTAACGCCATCTAGTGTTGAATAGGGGGTTTTATGTCGTCTTTATTCTTTAGTGGTTTTAATAGTTGACGCTAGATGGCGTTAGTTCCTTTGTGTGTTCATAACAATATAAATGGCACCGCAGACTTACTTATCCGCTTTTCTGGTATAATTTAATGATGTAGAATTTTTTATATAGAGAAATAAAAGAAATAATAAATAGAGAAATAATATAATATCGTTCCAACGTTACTATTTATATTATAATATAATAGAAACTGTGGGAAAAAACAAAATATGTTGGGTATTCAATTAATGGCTGCTTAACGCTTGCGTGGTGGCTTCACATTTATGTTACTCCTTAATAAATGAAATAAAATTTATCATTTGGATATATCTTTAATTTGGAGTTTTGACCTTATAATTATAAAACAAATATATTTTATCATTGTATTCTAACATAAAAAATTAGGTATGTCGCGTCGGTCTGAATAAAACCCTTGGACTTGACATAACAGATTATAATACGAGTATGTTACAGTTAACGTATGAATATTCATTAATCTATTATGTAATCTAAAGGCATCGAATTCTGAAGTAATAGAATACTTAAAACTTTACACACAGTTTTCTTAAGACGTTGAGTGATTTAAATAATAATCCAACTTATTAACAATTTTTTTTTTCAAAAAAGGCAACACAATGGAGATAAGTAATCTTTTAAATCGTTTTATTTACTATGCCAATAATGACCATTTTCGACTAAATAAATCTCTCCGTGTGTCATAATATGCGGTAACGATTAGATCCAACATTATATAACAACATATTGCCTATTCCGAATTTATTATCAGTTGCCTTAAATGATATTTTTCGTAACCTGCGAATAAAAATTCATGCAAAATGATTTGTCAATCAATGAAATAGACTGTTGCTTGATACTTGCTACCAAAAATAAAATGGCATAGGAGTGGCATATAAATAATTATTAACTTATTATAGGACTGATTATGAATTGGCTTTTTATCCAAAATCGTTTAAATAGATTGTTCGTATAAATAGTATGCTATAAGTAGATTGGTAGTGCTTATTATTAATCTGAAAAGAGTACTTACTACTTAGAGTTTAGAGGGCATAGACTTATATTTTCCTATACAGAAAGCATAGGAGATGAAATAATATCTATAAACGGTTTTTATAGACAAAAGTAGTAAAGTAAAGTAAAAGTAGTAAAGTAAGTTTTATATACTTGTAGATAAAACTATTGAAAAAAATTTCGTCTCTACCAGGGCCCGATTACACACACTAAGCTAAGCTGTTGACATCGCGCGAAAACAACACTGAATCAACACCGCGCTAAATTCTCGACGTCTTATCAACTTTGTTTTTATTGCATTTCAAGCAATGCTTGGTGTAATCCATTTCCTGTTCCTCTCTTTCACTACAGATATAATCCAAAACTTGCGGTAATGGTTTGGATTCATGGTGGAGCGTTTGCAGTTGGTTCGGGGAACGCGTTCCTCTACGGTCCCGACCACCTTGTTCATGCCGGGGTTGTACTCGTCACTCTCAACTATAGACTTGGCGCATTGGGATTCTTGAGTCTAGAAAACGACGAGGTACCCGGAAATATGGGGCTAAAGGTAATCAAATAATGTAAAATTTTATCGATTTAGAAAAAATTTAGCTTAGCTAAGTGAAATTATTTAGCTTTAGACTTAGACTATAATATTATTTGAAGTAGATTTATTTGTAACGCTAACGTTGTCCTGTATACACGTCCTAAATTCGAAAATTTCAAAACTTTTTGAATAATTTTGTGAATTTAATCCATTGTCGAATCAATTCTCACAATTTCCTTGACAAACAATTTCATTAAAATCGGTCCAGCCGTGATATATATAAAGATAATACGGATGTAATAAAAAAATTGTTTTCTTTTATGTATTAACATGCGTAATATTCTATTGAATATTATATTACTATACTTTTAAGCAAAATTACTTTGCCTACTTTCTACCGACAAAAAATTATATATTAATTTATTATAATGTTATAATTTGGTTGATTCATTTAGTGAGACCTGCCAACTCTTTTTTTACGTAACGCGCTGTTATTTGGAGAATACAAAAATAAGAAAACTTTTTTGTAAGTACGCGGTTTAAAACTAAGAACGCAAGTAGCATGTTTAGAATGACGTCGCGAAACGCGGTTCAACGAAAAAAAAAACTAACAATTCGGTCACGGCTTAAGTATATCGGTCAAGTGCATTAACATCACACTACATTGCATCTTAGTTATAATCATCTCATGTGCATTGCATCTCAGTTATAACTAATTTTAAGTGTTTATTTCATTAGAACACGTACGGGTATTTATTTTTACATATTGTGGAAAGATAAGCATACATACGTTAAATTATATTCTATAAATTTCATATAGAATTTCTTCTACTCGCATATGTTTACACAAAAACAAACATGCCTGTCACACGCGGGGGAATATTCTGTGATACAGATTCCCTTGTGCGCAACTCTTTTGGGTCTTTTTCATGCTTACTCTATGTATCTTAGCAACTTCTCGTCTTTTTCGTATAAATCTTGGTGATACCCGTCATTATGTCGATATATACGATATATTACAAAACGTAGTAACATTTACGTAGTAGGTAACTTGGAACTTTTTTTGAATATGTAAATTCGAATATTTCTAAACGATAAAAACCGTTCTAGGATCAAGTTATGGCATTGAAGTGGGTTCGAGACAATATCGAGTTCTTCGGTGGAGATCCAAATCGCGTCACGATCTTCGGAGAGTCGGCTGGCGCAGTCTCCGTTCATTTGCACATGTTATCCCCGGCATCTCAGGTAACTTTTATAGGTTAATCATTTTTACATTTAAACGTTCCTTTTTTGAATATCATTTGTTATTTATATTTGTAAATATTGCGCCAGTGTAGGTCACTCTGCCTGATGAAAAAATCTTTAAGAGGGGAGGTCTTAAAGAAATTTTATTGATCATAAAATAATGGATATTTCCAAAAATCCTTTATATTTTATATACATTGCGGAATGAAAATAAAAACTGACGTTATTATTCATAGCATAAATTTTCTTCCGCAACTGTTGAGTAGTTCGGACGCATCAATAACGGTCATATCCGGATTACGAAAAAGCATTATGTAACGTTATAAAGTTATAGTTCCGAGTTGAGAAAAGAAAGACAAATACGAATTGTAGGTACCTACTTGGCTTAAAACACGAACCTTAATAGCTATTAGCTTTCATGACAAACATGTTTATATCACCAAAAAAAAGAACGCAAAAAATTATAATAAACAACGTCATTTAAACTTGTTGTGAACTTTTGGTATAAAAAAAACCATGTTCGTTGTTTATGCATGCTGTATATAAAATACATATCGTACGTAATATATTTCACTCGAACCTATAAAACAAGAAAGTTTATCAGTTCTAAATAATTCCAATAAATTACAAATAAAGATGTAAGATTCTGTAACATTCATTCAAACTTACAGATTAATAATAAAATGAAACTGCAAAATGTACTTGTATTTCTATCTGAAGTAGAGGCCTTTCCACTATCTTCTCATAATCATTATAGTTCCGGTCATATAAAAATTTATGTTTTGTAATTTCCGGTTAACAAACACGTACTAGGCATGTGTTTACATAATTAATCCGTGTTTTGTGGTTCGTAATGTTCGCCTAGTTTTATTTCCATTTTTAATGTGTGCGCATACATATTATGTTCATTTATGTTATTTTGTCACTCATTAATAGAACTTGAATTGTAGACTAGCTGTTAATTACCTTACGTTTTATTATTATATGTATTATACGGTCCGAGCTGGTTAAGGCATATTAAAACTCTATATTAATTAAAGACGTTTTATTAAACGTGTAAATAAGGGATGAACTGTTATTTTAAAATCCTTCTAAATTTACCTAAGTAATTCAAATGTTATGAATGCACACAAATTTGGATACTGGACTCACAGTTTGAGACTATTATGTATCGCAATCCCACTTAATTCTCGATATTTAGCGTTATATTATAACTTTTTATAAAACCTTTCCATATAAAGTTATCGTAAAGCAAAAATTGACTATAAAGCCTACTGTAAAAAAACTACTGGTTGAGACGTCGAGTTGAAACGAACTGGCTGTTCAAATCAGGAATTCCAATAAGGGTGGACGTAAATGATTTTGTCTCTGTTCTTCTTGTTTATTCATCGTATTCTCTTAGAAAGAGAAAGCTTGCTTCTCACCTTGAAAATAAATATCCGAATCCTCAGGGCCTGTTCCATCGAGCGATAGCCCAGAGCGGATCAGCACTGTCTCCATGGGCGCTGGCTAAGGAGCCACGGGACAAGGCCTTCGAACTTGGTCGCGAGCTAGGCATCGACACAAACAGCACTGCAGAATTGCTTGGTATGTAAAATACCTGATAAAATGTAGCAGATATCTTACCAATTTTATGAGGTTGACATTTGTTATTTCCCAAATAAAGTGTTGCAATAAAGGATAATAAATAAATTACCTATATTGAGGATTCTAACTAAACCACTAAATTATTGAATTTTTTGTCGCAACGAATTATCTTTAGTGTAGTGTCTGATCATAAAGCGTTCGACGCATAATAGAGAAGATACCACTGACTTCTGAACCTATAATCAAAGTGTCAACCCAAGTACGCTACTGTCACAGCAGGACTTTTAGATACTAAGCTCCTTTTTACTAGAATAATACCCATCTAAATCATAAAAATAATAGTTCACGGTAGCTCGAAGACGATATACTATAAGAACGTAAAAAAGTAGAATTAAAAATTAAATTAAATACAGTGATATCCGTATTTGTTTTATATTTACAGTTTTCGCGTAAATACCAAACTTCTTAGCGTTGTATTCAACACCACAATATGTTAATTTCCGACATGTGTTTATTCATTTGTTTCCGCTGGAGTGAACCCTAATTTGTTTGTTATTCAATAAATTTGAGAAAAATATTTTTCAATTTTCCATAGATCAAGAGTATTCCAATCGTTTGTAAACTATTTGCAGTTTCCAATTAAAATTACGAATTGCATGAACATCTCAGAATTAAGACGTTAAGTAGTCAAGGTATTTAAACATTGTGTAAGGTTTAATGTTTATAGAGAGATCTTATTATTCGGGCTTTGACTTCATTTCGCAAAATAGTTTGAGATGTAACAAATCTAAGGTTTTAATATGAGGTTATGTTGCTTTTAGATTGAAAAACTTATAATTTATAACTGTTGCGATGAACACATAATTAAATTTACACTTAATTATTTAGGATACTTACGCGCAACTCCAAGCGAGCTGTTGGTGAAAGCCGGGGCTCGTATCTCCGGAGCCCCTGGAAAGACTGCCGATTTACAGAGTACGGTGGCACTGCCGTTCCTGCCTGTCCTGGAACCCGAAGCATCTGACGCCTTCCTCACAATCAGCCCCAGAGAGTTATTGCCGGGGGCTGACGTGCCATTGCTTACGGGATATAATGCCGAGGAAGGAATAATTCTCTTCCGACGTGAGTAATCTTTTTCCACTTATCAAATGTCAGATGGTTTTAAATATTGTAATAAATGGCCATTACTGGCTTTATTTCAGAACGTTGAAGCTTTAAGGTAAGGCTAAAAGGTATTAGAAGAATAATTGGTCTTCCCTTTTTCCTTATTTACAGCTATCTAATATATTGCTAGTATTTATTAAAGACTTGATCTATCGATATATTTGGTATAATGGGTTTTTATATGTTAATGGATTTTGTGGAAGTTCCGTGCTTTCGATAATTTTATATTACAAATTTAATAAGGAAAGTTGATATTTAAGGTAGCCTCTAGAAGGTTGAGCTTTTTAATAGAGGTGACTAATTATTCATTTACTACCATCGTTGGGTTGAAAACCTCTTTATGATTTGCGTAACATAAGCCGAGGAGAAACATTCTAAAACTTCACACTAATCTACTACATTCAATATTTGAGGTCACAAGTGATCTAATAATTTCGCAACTTTACGCAGTGTTTATTTATACATTGCAATTTCGTGATCCTGTACGGTGTTTCAACAGTTTCGTATTTGGAATATTATTTGACTATTTTGGTTAAATAAAAACTTAAACTTTTCTATTCATCGCAAATGACCCGTCGTTCCACCTGATATTAATTGTTTACCGCCGCCAATTTCCACGACGTTTTGGGGCTCTTTCAATAAGGTCGATACATGTTAATAGGGTCTTCTCTGAGGCTTTAATACTTTCCTTGACCTTCAACCATCAACACCCATTATGTTACAATGTTTGACTAAAAACAGAGAATGTTATAATCCAAATACATTTCATTGTTATTTTAGCCCACTTAACATTTTTTACATTAATATAGTTGTACAATGTACATACTACAATATACATATTACGCTATATTTGACTATCAATATCTATTGGATTATTAGCTGTCACTTTCGAGCCCTTAATAACCTTATCGAAAATTAAATAGTTTTTCCATCTTTGATTACCGTATAGGTTACACTCTTAATAGAGAAATACAGGCAGATTGTATTGTATTGAAAATATTCGTATACAAGTAACAAAGTCAATTTTGAGAGTTTTTTTAATTCCATTTGGGCTTGTTTTCCCACGAATGACAATAATATCAAGAACCAAGAACTATTTTTTATATAGCGCAACAAATTTGACTACAAATTCGAGTACATTTATCAATTTTGCTTAAAGCTGTCTAGTATTAATTAAGCTTATTACTATAAATTAATATTATTAAAATTAAAATTAAAGCTGATCTTGAGGACGTGAATTTAACCCGGGAATTTAGGTGCGGCAAGTTATTTTCCGATCGGCTGGTGAAGCCAGGCAAAACGGGTACGGAAATCCTTCGTGACATTTCGCAAGCTCACGACAAGATCCGTACAGGTATGACTGCCCTTCGCCGGGCACATTCACTTTGGATAATTTAACTTCGCAACAAATCCTTTAGGTGCTCGTTGAGTATTGAAATTCTATAAATGTTTTTTATCAACTTGCTTCAAAAAGCGGTTTTATTTTTGTTGTATTATTTACAATTTTTTCTGCCATGGAAACTTAAAAGAAAAGTAAACGCGATAGACTACAATTGTTTATTTCAACAATGTTTATTTTATGTAACCTCTTTTATTGGAGAAGTTTCTAGAAATCTGTATAGAGATCTGCCTCTAGTATATCTGTGAAGATTTTTTAATTTAATTTTTTATAAAACATAAGGGTCCATAATGGATCCGTTGATCGTGTGTTATATGTGAAGTTTCCTACAATACTTAAATTAGTGCTATTTCATTAAGTGAAATTCGTTAATTCACGAAGCTTTTATTTTAATTGATTTTTAAGCAATAATATTTATAGGTAAAAAAATTTTGTAGGTAAAAAACAATAATAATTAGTAAGTATTATAGTAAGTATTATATTCAATTGTGTATGTGATAAAATGGGTAACAATATTATGATCCAAATGAAGCTATCAATTATTTAATTTACAGTAGGTATATCTTCCGTATGAGCTATCTGCCCATCGTTTTCATAAGGAGCGTAATATTTCGATAAATCGTAAAAATTAGCTTTCCATATTTTAAAACGGTAGACAGTTATTATAAACCACACATTATAAATATTATAAAAGTATTGACTAAAGAATGGGCATTTATACTGGATACCGAAAATTTCAATTTGGGTGAGAAATTAATCTATTAACGCATGAAACTCTGCTCTTCCGTCAATGGACCGTCTCGTCCAGCGGAGCACAACGGCCTCATAGAAAACCGGTACCTTTGTTAGGTTATACATCACCCGGTAAAGATGGCCTAAGAGTAACATAGTCGTTGACCTATGCAACAAACGCAGGTTGCATATCTTAAAGTTGTTTTATATGTGACTTCTTTAACGGGTAACTAGTTTGTCCGAAAATCTAACATCGCTTCGATGCTCTCCTATCTCGGAAGTGTATCTGCAACTGGTTCCCCTCGTAAAAATAATGTTATACTTAGGTAGTTACATCGTAATTATGCTTTCGCAGTTTTTCTGGTAAGACCAAAAAGGCCGATTCAGTTTAAGGTTGATAAAGCAAACTAATAGGCGTAGCGGGATTTAATTCCTTCCCCTCCGTCACGAAACATTTAAAAAAATATTAGAACAATGTTGTATAAAAATAAGTTTCTCCGTTTCACATCTCACAAAAAAAATTGATAGCACCGATAAATATACCAATGTAAAAATTCATTAGGTTTCTCAAAGATTCGAGATAAAAAGGCTACATTTTCACCAACCGAAGTTTCACCTTTACGTAATATCGCGGATTTGGGCACGATTGTCGTGAAGCAAACAGAGCGCCGCCGTGCAGTTTAGACGAACGTTTAGCGACAAGGTGAATCTTCATTGTTTGGAAACATTGCAAAATAAATGGGTTTAGGTTTTATCTTTTATTAAACTACCATTACAACTATATATTATTCACCATCAAAGACTACAAAACGGACATAGATTTGAGGCATCGCAGCTATACGTCAAGGAAGTTAATCATTGCACCACTATTTAATTAATCATAAGAATCATATAGAATAAACTAAAGTAACTGAACAGCTTCAAATAATCGTTTTGGATGCAACGGTAAACCAGTTGCACCTTTTATTTCTTGATTAAAAAATATTTCAAATCTAAAAACAAAAATCGGTAAATGTTTTTAAAGAACACGTCATCCGTTTCATCGGAATTTACGACGAACACAAATTTCTGCAATCGAAGTTTAGGTCAGATTCTATTAAGAAATCATTTACATGTGCCTGAATTAACCTACGGGTATTATTAGTAAAATTCATCTGGTATTCGCAATGTGAAGTTCTGGGTTTGAAATTTAGTGGTATGTTTTTATGTATATTATGCTTTTTATTTTAATTACAATTGCAAGTTACAATTGAATTTTAAATAGGGTTCGTTATCCAATCACGATATTAGATTATCATATTGCAATAAAAATATAAAAAATTCTGTAGGAAATAATATGTAATGGTTTTACAATATAAGTCCCGCCTTTACTAATTCCAAATTTATCCGTAAATGTATAGTCTACAATATCTCATCTTCCAATCAGTGAATCTTAAAAATCGTATCGATAGCATATCCTTATAAAAATTTGTATTTGGGAAATTAATTTATCCAGGCAAAGATTGTTTCATTATTGATAACATAGGTTATGTTGTGGGAATCTTGGTTTCAGCCCATGATTACACAGAAATAATAAAAAGAAGACGCCAAATTACAATCGAAAGTAAAATTGTGTATATCAAGGGTATGGGCTCATAATCAAACGATCTGCTTAGCGTGGCGAGCCTTTGGGGTAATTAAATCAAATACCTTCACGTAAATTATAAACGAAGCGTGGCAAAGGAACTGAGCTTTCTTTTCATTATCCGCTATGTCATTGACCCTTGTCACCGTATGACGGTAATCACCGACGACTAACCAAAACATTCAAATTGACACAGTTACTCGGTTTTTCATGATATAAGCCGAGTAAACCACTTTGTCCAGTGAAAACGTGATGTTATGTTATAATACAGCCGAGTGAAATTTTGGATTGCGTTAGTGTCACGGAGAACTAAAAAAATAACGAAACTCTTCCGAAATAACAGCTGTTATATTTCTGTTCCAATAGGAGATTAGAATCAGTTTATCGTTTTGATTAATTGACTGGAACCTTCTTGTCACGAATCGAGGTTACGGCGATAAGTAATTCGTCAACAAATATCATATCCAATACACATATAAACACTGCGATATCGCTTAATGTTCAGGGTTACGGGATTTTTAAACGTTATGAAAGATTCTAGATTTGTTTCATAGAAAATTATTTTTGTCAAAATCCTGTGTCTATCTGTTACGAGGTTCCGGCAAAGATATAGACAGTAGAATTTGTACTATTGTAAAACAAATCTCTTGAAGGTTTACTTTTTAGGGATAAGTACCTACGCTTTATTTAACCAATGTTAACCCTTTGTAAACTTTTATTCAATGTTCTCAATCAGGTCTTAAACACTAATGAAACCCATACTTCCATTTCACGGCGGTTTACCATGAGGCCTTCCCCGGAAAAAGCGTCTGCAATATCCGGGGAAGGTCTCAAAGCCCATTCGTACAAGCAGAGGCCTCAAGGCCTATTCGTGTGACCTTTCAAAAGTCGAAACTTCATCTTCAAAATTTTTTTTTTCTAACGCTAACACGGTGATAATTATTAAAACATGTAGAAAAAGTACGAAAAGATTGTCGCCGCTGTGGGAACCGAACCCACGTCTTCGGCATTCGCGGCCTGACGCTCTAGCCACTAAGCTAAACGGCTGATTGCCACAACGACGAAAATCTTAACGCCTTCTTTCTACATTGTTATTTAGCATTTGAAGCAATGCTTGGCGCATCTATTGTTATATCCTTTCCAGCATACAAACAATTTCGAATATCGTTTTACAACGATAATTCGAACGAGAAATGTCGCCATTGCTTTTTATAAATTTTAAAGCTTTTTATAGTGCTAATCTCTGCACTTAAGATTGAACATTACAACCATGTAGAAAAAGTACGAAAAGATTGTCGCCGCTGTGGGAATAATCGCCGATGATAATTAATGCATTTGTGACGTGTAATCTTAATTATAATAAGCTTTTAAGACTGAACATCGTTAATTCCCGAACTTACCGCTCGTTACTTAGTTAATTAACGGTAACTGTAACATGTAAGTGCGGCTGTAAATGTTAAAGAAGAAATATAGGTATACACAATAGAGAAAATTTACCTTTACACAATAGAGAAAATGCTGGTGACTCACACTGTATATCATTTATTATAGGCCTGCAACGGTACCCAAAGCTCCTCAGCGAGCTGGAACATGAGTTCAGACGAGTGGTGCCCCCTGAGCTGCTCTCGAATGACGAGCAAAGGACTAACAAGGTGGCCGAGCACATCAAGGCCTTCTATTTTCAGCAACGTCCTGTAGACGCGCGAAATATCAACAGTCTTATTGACGTAAGTCATAGGGCAAATCCAGGTTTTTTCAAATTCAATCTCATAAAAGGTCCTTGTAAAGTTGAAGTATTATATTCTGCATTATTCCTGAGTTTTTTTCTTATGTGAGTAAGTGGCAAACGAGCTGGCGGTTCACATGTTAAGTGATAACCGCCGCCAATGAACATTTCCAACACCCGTAGGTGCATGTGTTGCCACCTTTCAATAAAGTGGGCCCGGCTACCTCACTTACCAGACGAATCGCAGAAGTGTGACACTTCTACTTTACGCCGGTCTTCTGTGAGGTCGTGGTACTTACCCGGATGAGCCTGCCCATTTGTGCAACAGCCGAGGCTGCTGCGTGGCTCTACCACCGTTAAAACTATGGCAATATTAATTACAACACCTGTTGCGGTTCGTTTCCTGCTTCACTTAACTGTGGTAGGGCCACGCAACAGTTTTCACTGTTGCACGAATGGGCAGGTTAGAGACCGGCGTAAAGTGGAAGTATGACAAATACTTTCGCGTTTCGTCTGGTGAGTGAGGTAGCCGGAGCCCAATTTCCAAAAAGGTTGTCAACGCATCTGCAAACCCTCGGGTGTAGCAGATGTCTATGGGCGGCGGTATTCACTTAACATCAGGTGAACCGTCGGCTCGTTTGGCAACTTTTCACATAAAAAAAAAGTTACTAACTTTTATGAATTATAACGAAGTTTTATAAACTTTAAACGTTTCATAGGCATCTATTTGAATAAAGATATTTTGAATTTGAGTAAAAACGTAAAGTATGTTTTACTAAAAAAAAGGAAGTTAACCAAGACTGTAATAAAAAAGTTTACATTGCATTCTCTTTTATGATTTTCCCACATTATACGTAAAATACTATATAATAACAAATTATAAGTAATATTTCCGCAACAAGAAATCTTTCGTTTTTAGCTCTTCACGGACGTCATGTTTTTACGGCCTTTGATGCAAACCATCCGTCTGCAAGCGGCTACGAACAGAACGAGTCCAACTTATCTGTACCGGTTCGCATTCGACGGTGCCCTGGGCTTATTCAAGCGCATGTTGGGCATCTCGCATCCAGGCGCCTCTCATGGCGACGAGATGGGATACCTTTTCTACTTCTCCAGACTGAATTACAGATTGGACGATGGGTCGCCAGAACTGGCCGTTTCCAGGAAAATGGTTCAATTATGGACTAACTTCGCGAAGACTGGGTAAGTTGTTTGTTATAAAATGTCAAACAAACACAATGATGGGATGATTTTACAATGCGTAACGCAGAGTAGCTTTGTTGAGGATCTTGTACCTGGTTACTCCTGCTCACTTATATTTAATAACGAACACCAAACTCTTTATTTTTTTACCTTTTTTTATTTTGCAGCAAAAGCAACATTCACAATATACAGTCAAACTCCAAACAATAGAATGCTTTTAACCCCACTTTCATGACAAAAAAAAACTAATGCTACAATTTTGTCAGGCTAAATTGCAATGGCTTTGAAGTCGGTTCACAATTTTCTCTACTGGTTGTATTGTTGTTTAGATTCCAAAGTATGTTGTTGACTCACGTTTTGTCCACGGTCACAAATCTACTAAAAATATTAGTCTCAAACATCTCCAAACATTCGCGCGAAATTGTGAGATGAATTACTTTTTTTTAAATACAATTTCAATGACGATGATGAATTGTATTCATAAGCAATCGGAGCAAAACAATTGAGCATCTACTAGCATGTCCTTCTCTCACCCTACAGGGGACTAATTGTCTATCTGTGCCGGTTTTATCACGAAATCTTAGAAAAGTAAAAAAAAACGCCCAAGTTAAGTAGTATCACTTGACTAATCAAGCACTAATTCACTGTCACTCTACTAACGCATCATCATAATATTCATTTTATTTGACAAAAAAAAAGGCTAAACCTTACTCATAACTTCAGTCAAAAGCATAAGCCATTTTAATAATTTGGCAAGTTCGTTTGCGTCTAGATCTAGCTCGGACATATAAGTATATTAACAAACAGCAGTTCTCACGACTTTCGTATATATAACTTCACCGGTTACTTAAGCATTAAATAACATACGACGTCACCGTTCAGTTGTAATAGGAACGACACGGTCGCCAGTTGATTTTATCACACACGTCATGGCAATGCGATTTGTTTGTCGCAGTTACCTAATTTTCAAATAAATATAATTATGTTAACTCCATATATGCTCTTTTTTTCTTTCTTTATCTTTCTTACTCTTATTTAGTATTTTATATAGTAAAGTAAAATAACAGCCTATACATGGACCACTGCTGGGCAAAGGCCTCTTCTGTACAGAGGGTATCAGGGAATAGTCCACCACGCGGCCTCACTGCGAATTCGTGGACTTCACATATCTTCGAAATATTTTTTTGTTATTATTTCGAAAATATGCTGGTTTCCTCGCGACGTTTTCCTTCACCGCTGAGCACTTGATAAGTAACTAAAAAACGTAGCGCTTAAAATTAACAGTTTCAAAAATCGTTTAAGAATATTATTAAGTAACAAAATAAAAGAATATCTAATGAGTTAGTAGTAGCCTAAGCATTAGACATGCCTATGATAATACCTGTAATTAGTAAGTATAGAATGTAGTTACTCGCCTACTAAATTCGGACGAAGGGTTTAAAACGGAGGAGTTGGATGTTCGAATGGTAGACGAAACCCTTCGTACACGGCTTGGAATATATAAAAAATTCACGATGAAACTGCCACGCCTTTTGACACTTCATACATACTATTTTTTTTTTCAGTCATGTTCTACGCAATTTTACAAAAATTTATGAATTTTATTATACTTTAGCCAAACTTATAATATCTTAAATTCTAAGACCACCATTTTCAAAAAGGTTGTAGCTAATCAATGGTTGGAGACACGTTAAATTCCTGTACTTTTCCTATATAACTTTTTTTTTAGTTTATTAGGTCTGCTTAACCGAATACAATCTAGGATGATAACAAAAGAAATATACACAGAAAAAAAAATGATTGCATTCTATACAAAGCAAACACAGCATACACAATGAAACTCAATATAACATTAGGTACAAAGGTTTATCTACTGACCACTATTACATGAGTAAAAACTATTATTTTTTTGTATATAAAACCAAATAAATCATTATACTTAAATAATTAAATTAATGAGTAAACTATTTAATACTTTAATGATATTAAAGGACTGAAAAAAAACTTCACTTTCTTTTTTGTAGAGGCCAAAGAACCAGCGAATATGTCAATATCAAAGCTAATAATATTACATAGTGAACGCATGCGATACATAGGAGAGTTCTGGCCGAGTTTCGTTCTACTGTAAGGCAAAATAAACGTTTTCCTATTATGAATACGACAACCTTCTTTATATCCATGTCTGTTTGTATAAACCAAAGCCCTAATTTAAAAAGAAATTTACATTGTTAAACTTGAATGTCTATGTTATGAGTATATTTAAAAAATGAAAATATACGCGGAAGCGATAAATTTTGCATAGTCACGCAATATGCTAGCAAATAAACTGCTCAACTGACTGGTTCAATTGGCTTCAACTTTAATATCTAGTCTTCTTAATAATGTCCTTATTATATTCATATTTCAGAAACCCAACACCGCCAAGCGACGATTCAATTCTGGACTTCAAATGGCAAGCAGTTAATAACACAGAGCACATGAATTATCTTGACATAAACGGCAATTTCACAATGCTTACAGATCCCGAAGCTAAAAGAGTACAGTTTTGGGATTGGCTTTACGATAATTACGCTAAAGAAGAACAATGAAATAAAATTGGTATCTTGTGATGTATCAAACATTCTATTTGAAATAGACCATGTAAAGTGTGACAAATAAGACTGTAATGATTCGTGAAGTGTGACATCGCGTTTGTGGAACGTGAAACCAAATTGACTGTTACGTAAATTTATTTTATTATGCAATGTATAAAATAAAGTATTACCTCTTAATGTTAGGTGAAAGAATTATTGTTATCGTTTATTTAAATAAAATGTTTATATTTTACAATGTTTTACATAAGTAGGTAAGTAAATAAGTATTCGATTATTCTTTATGTATACCTTACAGTAGTTTGTTTGGTTTGGCGTATACTGTTGTGCTTATTAACCTTTTGTTTCGTTTTAAGCGAAAAATTATATCATCTAAGTGTTTATAGAACTAGTAGCAGATACATAGGCAGGGCAACTACATTTTTAGAACTGTAGTTAGTTTAGTATTTATTTAAAATTCTTCTAGTGTTGTTGAAAGTTAATGATGTTACTACCATATTTATACTGTTTTGAAAATCCATTCAACCTCACCTTTTTCACAAGAACCTTGTAAATTCTTTACAATACTTAGTAAATAAAGAATATATAGAGAGCTTCTTATTTATTGTTTAATTTTATAATTATTTTTATTTTATGTGTTCTGAAGTTTTATTTTGTCAACACGCAAATCCAAATTATTGTAAATACTTATTCAATTATGTATTATAACACTACGTGTGTTCTTTTTATTTTATTATAATTATTACACAGTATAACAAATGTAAGTGTTAACTAATTATACGTATTCTAAGTAAGAAATCTTTGGTGTTTTACTCCACTTTCATGATAATAACTTTTTATCAAAATATCTTTGTAATTGTAAATTAAATCGGCCTTTATAAATCGAAATACATTAAAGCGTTATCAATTTCTCTTCCTATTGTGTAGAAAGAAACACAATTATATTACAACCGTAATACACTGGACTACGCAAATTGGTTAACTTTTATAGCAGTTTATGTATACATAACTAGCTAACCGCCTCGGTTTCACACGGGTGCAGTGTAGATAATAAATTTCATGACTTTCATCATTAATTTATGTTTTTAACGATGTTTCAAAAATTACTCAGATTATCTATAATCGGTGCGATCACCGTGATGCGATCATCACACTTCTCAAAACAAGTGGTCATTGAGATTTATTATTGGCTGAATTTGTAGCTCTACGTATAGCTAATATAGGATCCTGTTTAGCTGTGCTTTTCTCCCGTAACATCGTCATCAATGTTTGATGTCATTTACTTCCTAACAAAAGAAATGAATCTGCGAACACACACGCGACTCGACCTATTTTACTAACCTTCGATAGTGATGTTCAATCACAATTATTTTGTTTACGTGAGTGACGTGAGGGAAATGGCTTTGCATACTAACCCTCTCGGGTGAAAGGGCGGACTATGTCGAATTTGCATCGACTAAAGTCCTCAAGACGAAAGTCTTCATCATCTGCGACCCTACCTTTGCTGGCTGCCTCCGCAGCCCATCCTCAGGGCCCCGAGGCGATGGAAGCCAGCAGATATAGTCCTAACAGACAGCAAGTCTCGCGGTCCCCATATTTTGGCCGTGGAGAGTAGGGAAGAACGATGCTAAACTATACCAGCATTAGTTTGCTCCTCCAGCTCCACGTTAGCAGCGGCGCAGCCTCGCTGGGTCACGGAGTATAGGGAGAATGGCCAACGCAATACCAACACTTCTCTTCCCCCGCGACTCCACCTTGGTTGCAGGGGACAGTTAAAACATCAGAGGTGCTGCAAGTGTGTTTCAACCTTTGAGGTCCCTGATCCAAGGTCTAAATTCAAAATTGAAAACTATACGTTGAATTTCATCGATAAAAAAACGTATACGTACTTATGCACGTAAGAACTTATATATACATCCATAGCGTAACAAAAGAAAAATAAAAAAAATCATCCCCAACTACTATCCTAATTATGTTATCATTAGAGTATTAACCCTTTTATTTTTTCAGACATATGAACACAACGTAATCGAAATATAATAATAGTCCTGATTTTTAACTCGACGATATAGAAAATCATATATAACAATCATTATTATTTTTGTATACATAATGTGTACATAGAAAAAAATGCATATGTTTTCTTTTATGCAAACACTTGTGCCGTGCGGCAACGTGTAAAATACATTAACATATACCTCAAGATGCCAAAACAACGCAACAAAAGGGTTATTAAGTGTCACGAAACATCGGGGAATGTATTTATTTATATTATACCATTTAATTTTTCACAAATATAATTGAATTATCGATGGTATTTTCCGTATTATCGCATAAATAATGTTATGCCGCGGTAATTTATGTTACAAATATACGTAGAAAGAAAATTTAATTATGAGAGAAAAATGCCTTAATAAGGATCGGATACCTGACCTTGCGGGTTTTTTGCTTTTTCCTATGTACGAAAATTATACATTATAATACCTATACATTAACAGTTAAATTTTTGAGAACAGAAGATGGCAAACGAACAGGCATTCAGCAGGTATGATAATTGATAAAGAATTATCGTCGCCACGACCTTCCTGACAACATTTACAAATGCATGCAAACCTTTAAGACAATGGGATTAGGATACGTACATTTTATTTATGTAGCTTTTAGTGTAACTATGATGCTTACCACTTTCCTGAACTAGTCAAGCCATTCATGCGATAGTACAATTCTGTGCCTCCTGTGATCAGTGATACAAGTCGAAAATCAACATTTTACAGGAGAGCAAAAACAAGATTTAAAAAATTCTAGTTCATGAAGTGGATAGACTAGAACAAAACTTTGTACCGTAAAATGGGGTGAATAGAAAGGTTTTTAAGTTTTCGATTGATTTTTTTTAATGTTTTCTATGTATTTCAAAAGTAGCAGTTGTTGTATCTCGTGAGTTAAAGATTATTAAAATGTTTTCAATTAAAGACGAACTTATTTTCCTAGTCATTTATTTAAAAATTAATAATATATGCGTGTTTTCTATTTACCCGTGATATGGGTGAATAGAGTCGAGAACGGGGTGAATAGAAAAAAATGCCAGGGATGTCAAAAAATTTTGGAGTACATGAACAGTGGAAGGAAATATATTATTAATAATTTTAATATTATTAAATTGTTTGTCTAATGATTTATTTAAAAAATATATAACAGCAATCATACTGAGAGCAAATCACCTAAAGAAAAAAAATAATAATCAAACAAAAAATATAGAAAATAACTTAGAAAAATATAAAAATTTACTTTACTTTTACGGTTTTGACAAAATACAAAAAAATTCTACAGAAAACAAAACCTGCAAGATGAAATTAATGAAATAAATAAAAATTAGAGTTTAGCACGTAAGTAATTATACGATTATTTGAAATATTAGTTTTTTTTTCAAATATTATCATCTCGTAAGTCTTTTAGTATATCGTCATCGTTTTTATACTTTTTCGGTCTATCAGTCCTTTTCAAAATTATTATAGGCGCTTTGGGGGATACTTTTTTGTATTTTTTAGAGTCACAAATATTTTTGTGTGTTTTTAAAAAATTTATATTTTCTATAATCTGTATTTTCTCCTTTCCCATCGGTAAATTATATGTTACAGTTTCTGCAACTGAATTTTCTTCTTCATTACTTTTTAATTGACAGTTGGACAAAACTGTGTCACCAGATTGACTGAAATTGTATAGGTTAAATTTTACACCATCAGTTGGTACCATATGCTTATCCATCAATGCATCACTTAGTGGAAAATTTTCAATAGTTAATTCTTCCCCATATTCCAAATCATCGTCGAAATATACAGGCATATCTGCTAAAACACGATCACTAATGTCTGAATTATAATTTAGTTTCTCTGGAAATGATTTTTCTATCGCTATATTTGCCACTCTCATATAATTTGATCGCTCCATCGATATGCTTGCATTATTTTTTGTCTTTTTGCCGATCCCTTTTCCTTTGATACTTTCTTTCGTTGTATTTTTCTTCAATAGGTTTTCTTTTTCCACTGAAGTATCTACACATTTTCTTTTTTTTTGTGGTTTTGTTGAACTCGGGCCGGGTGTAATTTCTGAGTCTACGTAATCTTCAGTAGAGTCGCCAACACTCTTTCCAGCCACCACATTAAGTTTTCGCTTTCTTTTAATTTCTTTCACGCCCATTGTACCATATCGCATTTCATTTAATAAATTTATAACAGACTCGTCCACTGCTTCCCGATGTCTGTCGGTATTATTTGATTGTGTTGGTATTCGAGATAACACTTGCGTAGAGTCTAAGGGATGGATACCAGTTTTTTTAAAACCTGCTTTCAAATTAGACTCAGCATTTTCTTGTATCACCTCAATTAATTTCTTTAATAACTTAGGGAAGCAACCCTTTGGCACACATGTCTCATTGGTGCCATCGGTTTTCTTCCAATTTAGTAGTATTTTACGCCAGGCTGTCTTCATAGGCCTGAAAAAGGCTACATCGAGAGGTTGGGTTATGTGCGTTGAATTGCTTGGTAAAAATACAAAATCAATTTTATGTTCTTTGCATAGTTTAATCATATCCACCGATAAATGTGAGGATAAATTATCGCCTATTAGCAGTTTTTTTCCCGGTGTATCTCCAATGAATGGAATAACGATAGATTGAATCCAATCTTCGAAAATAGTACCATCGAACCACCCTGATGATGAGCGATTATACCTCGCTCCTTTAGGCCCATGTGACACCCATGTGTTGTATAAATTTTGAGCTTTGTACACCACGTATGGTGGTAAAAGCTGCCCCGCAGCCGTTCCAGCAATCATTATGGAAACACAGGCCTTAGAGTGGTTCATTACACGTTCTGGATATTTAGTTCCACGTTTAGTAATAATTTTTCTGCGCCCAGGATCATCGGAGAGATTTGTCTCATCATAATTTACTATATTTGCAGCTGGTACATCAGCTAAAGTTTCTTTTAGCTCTTCAAAATATTTTATTAAGATTTCTACCGATACGGCAGCTCGAGATCTTTTAATATTTTGGCATATCGTCGTTTTTATGGAATCATTACCCATCAAATAATCTTCCACCGCTTGCTTAAGAACATTTTTGTCATACTTTTTATAGCGCATGCTTCCAGGTTCAGGCTTATAAACTCGCGGCATTATCTGAACAAGCAAAATAAGCATTATTTTTATTTAGGAAAGAAGCAAATAAGCAAATATTTTATCTATAAAAACATTTTATAAAATTACCGTTAGTACAAAATACCTACATACAAAAATATATTAGGCATAATCTTGTTTGACAGCCCTAGCGATAACAATTCTAATCACCCCGGACGCATTACTAATCACCCCTCACGCGTTTCTATTTAGCGTTTACGCGCTTCTATTTACCCCATTCTCAAATCTATTCACCCCCCAGGCGTCGTCTTTTCACCCCGAATAAGTTCAATTTATAGGTAACATAACTTTTCGGCACATTTATAAAAGAAATCAGAATTAAATTGGCTTACCTGTCACTTATTTAATAATTAAGTAATTAACACTCTGAATGAATTTGAATTAATTACCAAGTTCGGTTGTAATACTGAACAGCAATAAAAGTATTAAGCAGCTCAAAACGATGACCGTTATGGGTTCACTTTGAGACACTATTTCTCCTATTCAGGAACAACTTCACTACTAATTACTTTGTTGCCATAAAATAACCAATGTTGCTGTATATAAAAAAATGCATTTTAGGTAATTTCATTGAACGCTGTGACAGCATTCTTGCAAAGTACAAAGTTTCGTTTTTTTTTCTATTCCCCCCTTGAATTCTATTCACCCCATTTTACGGTACACACTCATATAGATTATAACACTCTCTTTCATCCTGTATTACAGTTTTGTTAAAAAATTATATAATTTATCAGTAATTCGAAAAACACATTTCAATTGTACCTCTGTAAAGTAAAATATTGGCAAAGAAGATGTGTTACATGATATAAGTAGAGTTAAACCATGTTGCACCTCATTATAGTCTTTGTGAAAACTGATATACGTGTAGTATAAAAACAAAAATAACTTATTATATTATCTTCTTATCATAATTGTTTAATCAAATAAAAAATAAATGAAACATCTAGATTCATTTATTATAGTGTATATCCCCCTGTTGTGATAAGAAAGATGTGTTATATGATACAAGTCAAATTATACCTGACTTGGAAAATTATGTTGATTGTGTAAATTAATACAACTATTCAACAAATAATAAAAAAAATATTGTACTTCTCCTAAATTATTCTTATCTCATGATTACCTTAAAATTTATAAATTATATATCTAGGATCATATATCACAATAGGTACCTTTCAGTACTTACAGGATATTATGATCATTATCTTAATCCTAAATAGATTAATAAACATAGAGAAATTAACGAATACAACAAAATCTTCTTAACTTCCTATAGGCACCCTATCTATGAGTAAAATCACCTTTAGACGTAAACCAAAAATAAAAGGAAACAATAACGACAAAATCAGAAAATACTTATAAAAATCAGTCTTCAGTGTTAATAACAAATCTGTCATTTTCGTAAATCATATTCTATAATCGACTATCTAATCTACTCAGAATCATCGTTATTGTCCGGAAGAGAGCGAAAATTTCGCGAGAGAGTCAAAATTTCGCGAAAAACGCAGAGTGGTGGACCGCCAACCATCAAGGTGGTGTCGATGGTACTTGGCGATTTGATGAGTTGTACGATGGTGAAGTTCCTGCCTGCAGTTATCAACTGAAGAAAATGGAAAGGGATGCCACATCCCTTCACAGGGCCAAAGAATCGAGACGATCGGACAGGATTTGGTCGTCGATGATTCGAGCAGCTCTTCATTGGATGCGGTCAAATAGTAGGAGCTGGTATTTCGGTGCCCCAGCCCAGAGGTGAGAACAGTTTTCCATGTGCGGCCGAATCTGTGCTTTATAAAGCTGCAAACGATGTGCCGGTAGGAATGTTCCATGTTCCATGTTTCCACCGTCTTTGAGCCTTTTTTGTAAGAAATAAGGTCACTGTCTGCTTCCATGTCAGTATGGCTAGGTACTAGAAATTTGTGTTCGATGGATTGTAATTGATATCAGGTATTAACTTATCTAAGTTTCTCGCATAAAGTCTGAAGATACTTGTGGTTTTCGTCAAAAGTCTTCAAAAAACATCCTTTACAATCAAACCCGTGAAAGAAGTATCGAAAAAATCTAGCGTTCCGTTTTTTCTTGGGATATTTGGACGTCTTTTCTTTTGAAATTCCAAGACTCCAGTATGTTTTGAACAGAGTGTTCCTTAAATGAAACGGTCTCTCTTTGCATTTCTGACGATACTTATTTAAATCACGTAAGTCACGAGTTCATCTTGTTTTTCCAGATGTTGTTGTATATTTCGAGGCAGTGTTACGAAATAGCTTAAGAGAAGAAGGTGGCACGCGAGCTGTAGGTTCACGTTTTGGTAAGTGATAGCCACCGGTCATTGACATTTGCAACTCCTGTAGTGTTGCAGATGCGTTGCAACCTTTTAATAAAGTGGGCTTAGTCAGTCACTTCACTCCCGCACATAACGGCCACCCTCACCTTGTTTTAATTTGTATCATTTTACACTAAAGTTCGTAGTAAATACTTTTTAGAAAATGTTTGCATTTCAGATACAACTCAATTTATTTTAGTGTTCAGATAAGAATAGATATTGCGTGGAATGATGCATGTTGACATGTATCATTCAGCACAAAAGTAGGCGAAATTAATACTCAGATCGGTAAGTACATGTCAAGTTGTACCCTGCAAATAAGAAAATAAACTTAGGTTCAAGCTGATGTAACTGGAATAAAATTATTATTCACGAAAAATCATTGGAAAATCAAATGTGAAAATTGATATTATAGTAGTTATACCACAAAGTACGAATAGAAATGTGTGGAGTGATACTTTCCTGGTGCTATATCACGACTAAAATCAAAAGTCACGATTTTTTTCATCCAAAATCCCATTAGTTATATCACTTGCACAAAATTATCTCGAGATCTATAGCAGATAGAAACACGTGAGTCAGACCCAAAGCTAGCTTATTTTTTACTGATTGCTTATGTGTTAAAATCAGAAAAAGGGTACAACTCGAGTTGTATCACTGACCACAGGAGGCACAGAATTGAAAGCTGCTGCAGTAACAAAGTCAAAAATCTGAATAACATATATAATTGTTTTTTAAATAACATTTATATAATTTTCATTAAACGAATGTCAGTGTTTAAAATATAGGAATTATCCCATCAATACCATAGAGATTTCTTAAAGATAATATGCCTGAATATTTTATATATTGTAGTAAAATATATTGATGTTATGGCCCGTTATGCATATATGTTATTAGGGGCCCCGGCATCACACGGGTGCGATGTATTATAACATATAAACCTTCCTTTTGAATCACTGTATCTAGTAAAAAAAACGCATCAAGATCCGTGGCGTCGTAATAAAGATCTAAGCATACAAAGACACAAACAGACAACGGGACGACTTTGTTTTAAACTACGTAGTGAATTAGTGATGCATTTGCGTAACTATAATAGTATTAATACTAAGTTTCAAAAATAAATTCCAGTTTTCCAAGGATTTTCTTATTTTAGTCACAAGTTTTTATGACTAACAATAGAAAAAAATAGAGAGTTAAGTTAGATCCAAAAAAATTCAAATATATAATAATTAGTAAACTTTTCTATGCTTTTAACGCCTTTATAGGTAATCTGTGTCACCATCTATTTTGATTTTTGACATAAAATTAACCTTACTACTTCTAAAAACTTGGTGTCGCACGCTTTATAAACTGTATATATTAGCGTGAATAATAAACTTCACTCATAACATAAGTAATCAGTTCGTGATAAGACATCAAGAAATATAGTCGTACGTTCTTACAGCAAGAAGTTACTTTACTTGCGTAGCTGTGCTGTTGTAATCGTCCGATCGCTGTAAGTTTAAGTTCCGCTCCAAGTTTTTTTTTTTATAATTTTAGATCTCTTTATTCCACATTGTTATTTAATAATATAATATATTAATTCACACTATCTCGCAATATATATTTTTTAATATTATGTATTTCACAGGTACATTGAAAGATTAACTACCTACTTAATTATAAATAAATATAACTTAAAAAAATGCACAACGGAACCACGAATGGAACCGCGGAATATTTCGACCTTAAAGACATGCCACATGTTATAAGAGCACTGTAAGAAATTAATATATCCTTTTTATGCAATATATTTTTCTACAAATTTTAATATTCTAATATAAAATAATTTATTCTAAAATATGTGATGAATTTTCAGCGACAGAAATCAAAAATTACAACCCGACGTCCTGCATTTAATTGGTAACACTCCATTAGTAAAGCTTAATCATATCCCAAAACACGAAGGAATACAATGTGATATGTGTAAGTTATTTTGTCTTTAAAGATAATTTTAATTTTATCATGATATTTCATAATCATAATCATTATGTTTTTAGATGCTAAATGTGAGTTCTTAAACCCTGGAGGTTCAATTAAAGACCGCATTGCCTATAGAATGGTACTAGATGCTGAGGAGAAATGCATTCTTATTCCGGGAAAATCTGTGATAATTGAGCCAACATCGGGAAACACTGGTATTGGTCTAGCCCTTGCTGCTGCTGTAAAAGGTATTGAAAAAAATAATTATTTCATCATCATCATCATCATTTCAGCCTGTTTGAGTCCACTGCTGAACATAGGTCTTCCCCATAGTAAATTGTTTATTTAATACCAAAATTTCATTTCTTCTATTGTTTTCAATAGGATACAGGTGCATTATAGTTCTGCCGGAGAAAATGTCAGATGAGAAAGTAAACACACTGAAGGCCCTGGGCGCTGAAATCATACGTACACCCACCGAAGCAGCATCTAGTGACCCTGACAGCAATTTATCGGTTGCCCGTCGACTGACTAAAGAAATTCCAAATGCTGTTATGTTGGACCAGGTATCAAATTACTTTTATAATATCAAGTGATTTTGTAACAGTGGATCGCTATAAAAACACGCACAAAAGTGCATGTTTTTTTTTGTTTTTTAATCTCATCCCAGATGCCTCAACATCATCAAAGGTTATCTTTAATAAGCTAAATGTAAGTACCTTTTTTATCATTTATCATAATTTAATTCATTGCAATATCACTAATTACTCAGAAATTGGAGCCAGTTATCTTATTGTAGATACTAATATTTAATTATTACCAAATATGCAAGAATAAAAAAGTCACGTTTTTTTAAGTAGATATAATAATATATTAATATTATCTATAAACACATATTGTGATGATCAATGTTAGTATTTTTTAAGCATTGCGTTATCTTCAAGACACCTGCCAAAATGCAATCCTATGGAAATACTTGAAAAATGTTACAAAAATCGAAGAAATGTAAAATTAATTAATTCAATAATTGTTCATTACACTATGTTCATTATATGACGATGTAAAAGTAAATAAAAACTTTAATACAATTGATTTCTAAATCTTAGAAATTTTGTATGCATTTAATTGGGCTTAAATCGCAGATCTATAAATATAGAACTATTTTTTCATTTACTTGAAAATGTTCGATATTAAGGGAAACCACACTTAAAATATCCGCGGCTGCTGAACTAGCCAGTACCGCATAAATAATATTGGTAACGTTGATAACGATTTTCCAAAAACGAATTTAACTGATTGTTCAAAGCAGTATCAGTAATTTCGACATTTTACTGATAAGCAGTGACGTTGCTTTAGGCGGGAAACGCATTGCTGTTAGTCAAGCAGTACTTAATGAAAAAAAAAAGCTAGCCCGGCATGCGTAGTATGTGCAAACAAATGAAGTTATATAAAGGTTGGCGTTGAAGGAACGTACCGTTTTCATAAACTTGACGTATGAACTAGCTTAAACAATGTTTTACTGATGACGTAAACGTAATAGTAAGATAAACTTAATAATTATTATAAAAGTAACTAGTTGATCATAGACGGTAAATGGTCTCGTTTCTTCAACCGTCAAAACGTCATAGAGTCATTACTACCCATATCAGATTATCTCATCTTATATCAATAATCTTTACACGACACCTTCTTTATGTGGTCATGACACGCAGTTGTTTGACCTTGATGTTACGTGAAGTAATCGTGTAATTAAAGAATCATTGATTTTTATATTAACAAACTAACAAGCGATTTGTTTAACCGAAGAAGGAAATGCTTCAAAAATTCTACTTTTTGCTCTTTAACGTAGAACTACAATAATAATTACATAGAGCAAACGGAATTACAATAATATTTTAATAACAAGTACGTTAAGGAATGTTACGCAATTTAATTAACATTCAACTGTTTCATATGCAAATGAACCTACTTAGTATATGCTACGGTATCGACAGGTTAATATTTTTCAACATACTACGCTTGTGTGTAAACATTTAAACTAGTAAACTAGCAAGATAGTTTTTAATCTGTATTCTCTAAAGGTCTTCAATGTTACAATCAATCATTCGCTGAATATGGAAATAGAAAAAGCGAGGTGTTCAATTTATTTTATCAATCAATTCAACGATAAATTTGGCATTAAAATTTAGTACCCTTCAATGAATATGAGCAATTTTAACACTAACAACCCTCACAGTATAGATCATAGGGGAACTGCTAATGTCTATAAGTATTCGATTACTTGGTATATTTGGTAAACATTGTAATGCTCACGAATCGCATCGCATTATTTGCCCACGTGAAAACTTCAGCTACTTCTAAACAACAAGTTGCGGCTCGTCTGACGATTTTTCAACACACATCGGGCAAGTTAAATTACAATGATATAGAGAGAGTCGGTGAAATAAACGAAAACATAAAACGGTACTTGAATTATTATATTGTACATACACGCTTTAATCTATTTTTGTGTAATATTGAGACCTATCAATCAGAGTAGTCAGAGATAAAGGATTTCCAATTTCCAAGTGGCCTTGCATATCTCTTTTGCCTCTGGAATACTTAAATCTACATGAACGTCGATTAAGGTATTTCGATTCGGGAATATACAGCGCACGCTAGACTCAGATCAAATACAAATACGTACCCGAAATTATTTTTTTTAATGTAAAAAGTTGCTAAGTGACAGACCCCCATGGACATCTGATACACCCGAGGGTTGCAGACGCGTTGACAACTTTTTAAAATTGGGCTCCGGCTACCTCACTCACCAGAAGAAACGTGAAAGTATTATACGTCCACTTGACGCCGGTCTTCTGCGTAGTCGTGGTACTTACCTGGACGAGCTTTCCCATTCGCGCAACAGCCGAGGCCGCTGCGTGGCCCCACCACCGTAAAATGTATGAAATTCGGTAATGGTAATAGAGAAGAGAGATGACTCCGTGGCGCAGGTATTGGCTACGGCGTCGGGGGCCGTGGGTTCGATTCCCACACGGGACAACTAGTCGTGTGACCCACAGATAGTTGTTTCGCATCAGCGTGTTTGTGCGCGTGAAATTTATGTTTGTAAAACGTCCTTACAGCACAGGATAATGTTATCCTAAAGTAAGGGCAATGTTTAAAAGAAAACAAAAAAAAAAGAGAGAGCGAATGGAGAACGGAGAGTCAGCGACGCTTCTCCCCCAGTACAACAACCCGTGCAACCCGCTGGCGCACTACGACGGCACCGCGGAGGAGATCCTGTGGTCCCTGGACGACGACGTGGACATGGTGGTGGTCGGCGCCGGCACTTGTGGCACCGTGTCCGGCATCGGGCACAAGATCAAGGAGCGGTGCCCCAAGTGCATCGTGGTTGGTGTCGACCCGCACGGCTCCATATTGGCCGAGCCCGACGAGCTCAACGGCTCCGAAGGGCACATGTACGAGGTGAGTTACAAATATGCGCTAAGTTAACCCACGAACGCAAGCATGCCTTGGCACTGCAAATTAAAGTGGACAATACAAACGACACGATGGATGGGGACTGATACCAGCAAAAGGCACCTGATGATTTAAGAGGGCGTTCTTTAATTACGTGAGGCGATTTTAGATATTTATTTGAACCACCCTCACCCCCCTGGTGAGATTTCGTGAGATTAGGCTCAACCGCATCCCCCAAACTCACGAGAAATTTTAAAAAATGGACATATCTCGTAAATGCATCGGATTTATTCTAAAAAGAAAAAAAATAATTTGCTCAATATTTTTATTTAAATCTAATCAAGACTACTATTTAAAATATATGAAGATAGTGAAGCTAGCTTTATTAATAATTTTCAGTTTGTTTTCGTATTACCTTTAAAAAGTAAAGTACCTCTGATGCCATATGTGTGTTGCTTGTTACATACAAGCAACACACATATGGCATCAGAGGTTGCTTGCGTGCGTATGTGTGTGCTCAGAATTATAAAAGGAACATTTTTTTTGTTCTTATGGGAAACCCTATGACGTACCTCGACGTTAGCACAATGACTTAAATTCCCAAGAATTAAAACAACCCGTTTTTACATCTGTTATTTATAAAAAAAAATATTCCCCGCGTAAAGAGAAACACTACTCACAGTAACCATTTCAATCACGCTGCATGATTTTAAATTAATCAATGCTCATTATTATCTTTACGTTTCGTGTTTAATCTTCAAATCATGCATTGATTTGGTGCACGTCGATACAATTTATGTATACGCACCAATCCAATTGATAAACAAATCCAACAGAGCTGTAAGATCGATTGATAGCGGATGATAAGACATAAATGAAATCGAAACTTCCATCGAGTTCGGAAACAAGAACATTACAAATACGTCTCCGAATAGAGATATTTTTTTGTTTAATATTAATAAATATTTCCGGACATGATTTTACACAACGTTATCTAGTCCCAAACTAAGCAAAGCTTATTCTATTGGAAATAGATAACTGATAACCATACTTTAATATGTACATTTTCCTTTAGTAAAAAAACATATGTTCTAGACATATAAACACCCAGAAATTTGTAAACCAGTGTTTACATCACAACATATTTCCAGTACTGGGGATTGAACTTATATACCCTTTGGTGCAAGAAGCAGCTTCCATTTCGCCGATCGAGTCGTCACTATGACGATACAGTTATCACTCAGCGTGTTAGCTTTTTTAACATAATTAATTAAGAACACTTCTAAAATCAATCCTGTCCAGAAAACGCATAAGTTATTTTAATTTCTGCGACTGTGATTGGCGAGTAATTATCCCGGTTCTGGAATGAACCCACAACGAAGTAAAACATTTTTATTAACAAAACCGACTTCAAATATCTCACTCACTATACAGTCGATTTTGAGGAGTTCCTTAACATATTTCCGGAATCCAAAGTTCAATACCAATGAAATTGATATGAGGGCTAAATCAGTTTTGAAAAATAATTTTTGAAATCCTTACTAATATTTTAAAGGCGAAAGTTTGTACGTATTGAAAGATGTTTGCTACTCTTTCGCTCAAGTACTACTGAATGGATTTTAATGAAATTTATAATAATATAGCTTATACATCAGAATAACACATAGGCTATAATTTATATACGTATATTATTTATATCTGTCTTTCTGTCTGAATATTACGCCTTCAGACTATTCAACGCAGACGTAGTCGCGGGCGGCATCTAGTCTGTTCATAAATGTCGGAGTTCTGAGGTAAAACAAAATCAAAACCTTCTGCGTTTCGTCTGGCGAGTGAGGTATCTGGGGCCAGCTTTATTATAACTACAGCACTCCGGGTGTTGCAAATGTCAATGGGCAGCCCTTATCACTTAAGCTCAAGTAAGCCGCCTGCTTTCCCGCCACATTCTCATATAAAAAAAAATCATATCAGGCTGTGTTAGACCACGTCAAGTAGTACTATTACTATCTGTGTATGACACTTAAAACACAGTGAATGGTTTGTACACAATGCTTTCTATATGGCTTCAACCAGAGCTTAAACAAAAACAATTTCTTCAGTAAGTGTTAAATGAATAATCAATATTTGTTTTAAACTCGAGAATCTACGTTTGAAACCACTTTAAGAGATACAGTCCGTTCATGTTTACAGTGCTTATTGTATTTAATATCAACATTGTTCTCTATTCGTTCATAATAATAGTTTATAGGACATTTCAAGAACTTGATTTAATGGTAGATTCTTCCGGGTACTTCCAACCATACACTATACATTTTATGGCTCAAATTATGCCATATATAAATGTGAAGAATTAGCAAGGACACACGGCCGTTGTAATAGTAGTGGTTATTGCAAATAAGTAAAGGCAGGTATGTTTATATAAATAATACATGTACTTTAGTCTTTGTGCATTCTCTTGATACCTTATTTAGATCATTTTACAATCGTTTATAAAATGACTCATTTCACCTTTATAAAAGAACAATAAGTTACATTTGATTTGAATAAACATAAGTTCTTCGTTGGGCATAATTATTCTTACACCTCACATTTCATCAATCTAAGAATCTCTGGAGAAATATGGAGAAACTAACAAAAAATAATTTTTGGATTACTTTCTCGATATACATCATCATTATTAAAGTACGTACTCAATGTCATAAATAATCAAGGCAGCATTCTATCCATTGGTAACGAAATCAGTAGAATATTGGGTGAAATATATATTACCTTTAAATACAGTAACATAACAACACTATTTAGGGAAATTACGTAACGAACGCCGCGTTTCTTTATACCGGACATGTTCAAAGATACTTCTTCCTGATCAGATTATTTTTGTTATTTAGGTCGCCGAATGGTATGTTTATATAAATCTTTATCACGCAATGTAAAACGTCCTTGAGTATTAATTTGATACGTTATAGTAAAATATCCTTGCAATCGTATCAAGTTATATAAAACCACGATTCTGTCACGATTGCATTGAGATACTACAATGTTCAATAAGCATAAATATTCTGCGACTTCTAGTACTAACATGCGACGTCATGATGGCTATAATATATATGTTGACTTATTATACGTGTGAACGCAGTTCTTTATTTGGAAATAAAAACGGGCATAATTTCATACTTCATTACACGTTAACAGTGCTAACAAAATGCGTGTATCCAGCTTCTAAGGTTAACAGTAATAGTCCAATGAATTTATTTATAAATCTAGTCTCCATTTAAAATCGAATGCAAAGAAGCTAAGCGCAAGGATGGGCACATAAGCGCATCCTTGATAAAGTCACACATACGCATACAACGAATAGATTTTCTTTGACTCACATTAGAACATTCAATACATACGTATGTCCCACTGCAGGTACATTATACATGCGTATTTGCATAACTGCGGATTTTAAAATGTCTGAAAAACATCGTATTTATTATACAGGGTGGCTTTTCTAAAGGTGCCCAATTTCACACAGGAGGTTCAGACTCGGTAGTATAATCGTTTATTAATAAAAACAAACATTTTTATTTTCAAAAAAATTGCCATTCCATTCCTTAGAAAACAGAACTTGTTCACAATGCGGTAGTCATTCATAAATGCCTCGTATACAGTATGTCGTTACCATCGCGACAATAAATGAACACACGTCTAACGCTACTTGCCAATAATCATAAAAAAATATTAACGTTAAACAAAATCCATAATTAAAAAAAAAATATTTTTCGAACAAACTAATTAAGTAAAACAGAAACAAAATTTGTAACATCCTATACAACTCGCGCCACAGCGTCGCATTACAAGCCTCTCCTTCTAACAATATGTTTTGTCTCTTTTAAATTCATTCAACCCATTCATATGCTTTGTGACCTTTACAAATGAACTTTACAGTTTTATACGTAAGGTGTTCTAAAATTTTTTGTTTTGGAAAATTTAATAACTCGGTAAATATTGATATTTAAAGAATGTAAATGTTTAATACAATTTTAAAAAGTTATTCTCTATATGTGTGTTCATTTATTGTCGCGGTGGTAACGACACGCTGTATATTTTGGAACGAACTTGTGTGCGTGTTAATTATGAATGATCATGCGTAAAATAAATGAGTTGCCCATAAATCACGCACTTGTTGAGATAAGTTCAAATGATTGTATTTAATTAATTATGAGTGATTTTAAATATTTATCAATTTTTAATAACATTATATGTCTACAATTTAATTTTAAAAAATGGATACACTTAAAAAAGCCTCCCTGTATGTTCGTAATATGACCGTTTTTCGATATGCAGATTTCCTCGCGATGTAGATCCCACTGTAATGACCCGATTGGCATACTGGTTAGTGAACGTGTCGCTTGTGCCTAAAGATATGGGTTCGATCCCCTCTACTGGAAAAAAATTGTGTGATGATTATAATATATTTACTAATGTATGGGTTGTTCATATATCTTTAACATATATCATGTATTTATTTACAATCCTTTATATGCGTGGTGAATAAATTCAAAGTTTTTTTATTAAGTTATTTCAAATATTTACACGCGTAATGATTGCGTATTGAGTCAAGAAATCGCTTTTGCCCGCTGATAACACTTTTGCGGATTATCACATCACAAATAGATGTTACGTAATATGTGACGTAGGCTCCGTGGCCATAGTTACTGCTTCTATGTAATCTCAGTTTGTACAGATTAAGGATGACATACCTGATATATAATATTGAATCTGTCGAAATTAGACAATAAGAATTATCTGACAATATTTCTTTTGTTTTTTGTTCTATTCCTATAATAATGGTCATGCCACTAATAGCGAATAACCAATTATTTAAAAAAAACACAAAACTACGACCACTGATATATCCGGACTCGAAACAACTGTTTATGGGCCACACAATTTTTTTGTCACGTTTATAGAATCGATCGAATACGAGAATCGAACCGAACACCCCGCAATAGCAGTTGCCAAGGCAACCTCCACCGTGAAGCTACCGGTGCAATCAAGTAATTGCAAAGCTTTATAAACCAATGTTAAGAAATAGAAATATCTGTCGTTTTCTATTTGTCGTTTCCTGTCAATGATTCAAATGAGTTTGTAAATGGAATACATCTTTAGAATATATTTACAGGGTATTGTTTCATTTTACTCACTATATTGTATGTAACTTTACTGTAAAATTTTAACGACACAAAGCTACAACGTCAATAACTAGACTTACCAGTCAAACTCTCCTGTTTCATAAACAGATCGAGGGAATCGGCTATGACTTCTTGCCGAAGGTTCTGGATAGAAAAGTGATCGACAAATGGGTGAAGACTAACGACAAGGACGCTTTCAATATGTCTCGTCGACTAATCAAAGAGGAGGGGTTGCTGTGCGGTAAGTTTGCATCGTAATCACTGATTTTGCAGTAGATTTTTTTTGTATGCGAAAAATTTTGTTAAGCGGGCGTAGGTACGGTTCACCAGAGTGATTACCGCTGTCCCTTAACCTCTAAAACAGCTCAAGGGTTGCAGATGCGTTGCTATACTTATAAGAAAGTGATCATCTGTTCGCCAGACGAAACGCCAAAGTATTATACTTCCACTTCACGCCGGTGTTATGTGAGGCCATTGTAGTACAATAACCTCACAGAACGCCGGCGTCAAGTCGAAGTGTTCCGTACGAGTCTGCCTGTTAATGCAGAAACATCGGAAGCTTCTAGTGGCCCCGTAATAAATGAAACTAGTCTATTTCGAATATACCTTGAGTCACCAACCCGAATTGGCCAACTTATTGACTTGTTGATTTTACTCGAAAATTATACATATTAAATGAAACTAGTTAGACTGACTCTGTCTGTCTGTCCCGAACCATTCGAAACGTCTGGAATTAAAAAACAATATAAAAACGCGATAGAGTCCATAAACTAGTTTCATTTAATATGGCTACCAACTGTTCGTTTGCACGGCAAGGCGGCAGCAGCGGCGCGATCATGTGGGCGGCGACCCAAGCCGCGAAGACCCTCAGAGCTGGCCAGAAGTGCGTGGTCATAATGCCGGACAACATCCGCAACTACATGACCAAGTTCATCTCGGACCAGTGGATGGAGGCGCGCGGCTTCAAACCGGTGGCCAAGCACGACGAGCTGCCGTGAGTTTTTTATCGCCATTATCTCGCTTTTCGTCCTATTGTTTCATCCAAGCTGTTCTCTATTCAGTTGAAATATTGTTTACTAAGACTAACTGGATGCTATGGGAAATAGTTGACTAAATAAATCAAATCAAAATCAATTACCTTTATTCAATTTGATGCATCACACTTTCTTATTGATTGTCAAAACGCTACCGGAAAGAAAAACCACTGACCTGAGAAGAACCGGCCCTCTATATTTATAATGATAATAATAAATATATGTATAATAATAGTAAGCAATACTGACTGTATTGCAGTGAGGTTGGTTTTCTGACGTCCCGTGTTTGTTTTTATGTGTAAGCAAAAATTTATAGAATAGATATAATATGTTAATAATAATAATATAAAATATGATCACGTAAAATATGGTGAGAAGAATTCATCTCACCAAGATTTAGTGATCACCAGCCACAGGCCGCTTGTACTAGTTTCTGCGTCTCGTCGAAGAAAAACCTCCTCAAAAGTGACCTGAAACTTGGCCCATCCGTGCTTATTACAGTTGACGAGATCGTAGGATAATTAAAGCTTCTGCAACCCCAACCAGATACCCTATTAGAGAACATTATAATTTTAAAACGCCAAGTATGTTAGACATAGAAGACTTCAAGAAAGTCTTGATCGATGTCGAGTCGATAGAAACCGTCATCGAAGATGCCAGGTCGGTACTGTGCAAGCTGAGCCAGAACGCTGGGGAGGTCCTTATGACTAAAACCGTAGCGGACTTGAGTTGCCTCCAGGGTTAAAGGAGATATAAGCTCGAACCATTCGGCGTCTGCCCTCCTTTCTCGCACAGATCTACCTGACGGAACCCTAAAAAGTCTAAACCACCCCAATCATATAAGTAAGGTTGCACTCTTTCTCGATATCTAAATGAAACTATGTTTGCGGTTTTATCGCGTATATTTTTAGTTTTAATTTCCAAAGTTTCGAACCCTTTAGAGCGTTCATGTTCACCATAGTATAACTAAAAACTCGTGGCAGTCTATGGGGGAAGCATTTTCAGCAGTGGACTCGAACAGGCTGAATGATGATTATGAAAGATACTAAAAGCTTGTTAATTAGTAATAGAATGTGACCAATACATTAAATAATTAATGTAAGCCGATATAATATATAAAAAGATCAAACAATTGGATAAGAGAAACCAATGAAACAAAGCAAAAATTTCCCTGATATCCCATTTCAGGGATAAACGAAAAAAAAAAAAAACGCCAACACTAACCCCAACCTCCTACTGACCCGAGTTTGCCAAAAAAAAAAAGTATTAGGCCAAATCATATTATGCGGTCAACCGATTCCTTGAGAGAAAAAGACCAATTACCTGGGCTTTCGACTCCATTATATCATGCAATACTCAAATCGAATAGTTTGGGAACACGGTCGTGTTCGTATCTGGCTGAATATATAATCTAGCGAACCCATATGCTTTTATTGTACAAGGCTTGTGTAAGACTTATAATACACTAAGTACTTTTTCCACGTTAATAACCATTTAAACACCTTTACTAACTTTATGTCAATCAAAATACGTTCAACAAAAATACTACTTAGCAACCGGTGCTAGCTGAGTAACAGTAAAGTCGACCTGCGTAGCAATTTTAGACTCCCGACGCAAATAGAAGAATTTAGGGAGCTAACTCGAGCTAACTATCTCGTTTGATAAATTCATAAATTATATTATTTAATTCATAAATTATTAAGTTGAAACAGTGATTATGAATCACCCCCCCCCCCCCGAAATAAACGTTTACAAGCGTCACTCGCGCGAACTAGAACGCGAGGGCCTAAGTACGTCGAATCCGCAAGGAGTCCCGCCCGTGCTAGCATATAAGTGAGAAACCAAATAATTCGTCGCCTCTGAGCACAGCGAAAACAATACAACGCGTAACGCACAAGGTACACCCGTGTTGGTCACACCTGTAAAGAAACAATATATGACTAGAAGATAAGTCAATAAGACGTCGATACTATCGCGCGTTGCGGATATCGCAACCGCTTAGCTCAGTGGCTAGAGCGTCTGGACGTGTAATCCTGAAGGCGCAGGTGAAACTTTATCTTAAGTGGAGAGAATAAGCACTGTAATTAAAAATTTAAAGCGACATCTCTAGTCTTCAAATATTCATTGTAAAATGTCATTTAGAAAGCGTGTTTGCTGTAAAGGAAGCACATACTTAGAGCAAATTTATCTAGACTGATTTGCGTGTCGGAGTTTGCTGTCAAGTCAAATCTATTTTAAGATTCAAAGTAATAATTATTAAATATATACTAGATAAGCTCGTCACAAACTGTCAATTGTACATATCTTCATCAGTAACATTTTAGATATGTTACTGATGAAAATAGGTACAATTAACTATTAACTTTCGTTATGTGTACCAACGATAGCGTATACTGTTTTCATTCTGTCTTCGATAATGTTTTCATCTTTCGTATTGTTTATGACACATTAAGGGCGTGTTTGCGAAATCTCGCGGAATCTGCAAAAATAGGGGATTTTCAGGTACATTTTGCGGCAAAACGAAACGAATATAATGGAAGTAATAATTATCACATATAGATCCCTCCTTCATCTTCAAATGGTAGATAGTTTTTAATCGAAAATTTTGGTTTATAATATTGTAAATGAGAATTTTCGTGACCACTTCACTCAAAATGGACGAAATCCTGTTGGGTTTAGGAACATTTTTCTCTTATTTAATAACATTTTTTTTTTATTTAAAAATATTTTATGTAAGCACACATGTTCAACTCAAAAAGGTAGCTACATTACGTATCAAAATTGTTGAAATTAGTTTCAGAAAAAAATAAAGATTAAAATCTATTTCTTTCACATTTATATCTTACGCGTGAATCTTAAGTGATTGACATAAAGGTTATTTTACTGGTCACTGTTTTGATTTATTCCACAAAAATATTTAAAGAAATATTAGTCGGCACTCGGCTGCCGTCATGAGTGGTCGCTATGTCGCTTATAAACAGCAGCTCGTGAGGAAAAAGATCGCTGTACGAATACAAAATATTTGTCGTAACAAAGTTGATACTTTACACATCATGTTCGGACTTCGGACTACGAACGACAAAAGTAAACTATAATTCACACTTTGTCATATTTTTACTAGAAATTAGTAGGGGTTAAAAATTCATATTTCGTTACGGACTTGATGGAGTGACCTGAAGGTGTACTTCGAGAACTGCTACTGGAACTAACAGACGAGATGAGCTATGTGTGTCGAGTTTGGGCTTGTTTTGTTAGGTATGGTGAGACCTTGCCTTCTGATTTGTTGGAGTGACCTGAAGGTGTACTTCGAGAACTGCTACTGGAACTAACAGACGAGATGAGTTATGTGTGTCGAGTTTGGGCTTGTTTTGTTAGGTATGGTGAGAACTTGCCTTCTGACTAGATGGAGTGACCTGAAGGTGTACTTTGAGAACTGCTACTGGAACTAACAGACGAGATGAGCTATGTGGTGTCGAGTTTGGGCTTGTTTTGTTAGGTATGGTGAGATCTTGCCTTCTGACTAGATGGAGTGACCTGAAGGTGTACTTTGAGAACTGCTACTGGAACTAACAGACGAGATGAGCTATGTGTGTCGAGTTTGGGCTTGTTTTGTTAGGTATGGTGAGACCTTGCCTTCTGACTAGATGGAGTGACCTGAAGGTGTACTTTGAGAACTGCTACTGGAACTAACAGACGAGATAAGCTATGTGTGTCGAGTTTGGGCTTGTTTTGTTAGGTATGGTGAGATCTTGCCTTCTGACTAGATGGAGTGACCTGAAGGTGCACTTTGAGTAGTGCTACTGGAACTAACAGACGAGATGAGCTATGTGTGTCGAGTTTGGGCTTGTTTTGTTAGTTATGGTGAGACCTTGCCTTCTGACTAGATGGAGTGACCTGAAGGTGTACTTTGAGAACTGCTACTGGAACTAACAGACGAGATAAGCTATGTGTGTCGAGTTTGGGCTTGTTAGGTTTGTTAGGTATGGTGAGATCTTGCCTTCTGACTAGATGGAGTGACCTGAAGGTGTACTTTGAGTACTGCTATTGGAACTAACAGACGAGATGAGCTATGTGTGTCGAGTTTGGGCTTGTTTTGTTAGGTATGGTGAGACCTTGCCTTCTGACTAGATGGAGTGACCTGAAGGTGTACTTTGAGAACTGTCTACTGGAACTAACAGACGAGATGAGCTATGTGTGTCGAGTTTGGGCTTGTTTTGTTAGGTATGGTGAGACCTTGCCTTCTGACTAGATGGAGTGACCTGAAGGTGTACTTTGAGAACTGCTACTGGAACTAACAGACGAGATAAGCTATGTGTGTCGAGTTTGGGCTTGTTTTGTTAGGTATGGTGAGACCTTGCCTTCTGATTAGATGGAGTGACCTGAAGGTGTACTTTGAGTAGTGCTACTGGAACTAACAGACGAGATGAGCTATGTGTGTCGAGTTTGGGCTTGTTTTGTTAGGTATGGTGAGACCTTGCCTTCTGATTAGATGGAGTGACCTGAAGGTGTACTTTGAGAACTGCTACTGGAACTAACAGACGAGATAAGCTATGTGTGTCGAGTTTGGGCTTGTTTTGTTAGGTATGGTGAGATCTTGCCTTCTGACTAGATGGAGTGACCTGAAGGTGTACTTTGAGTAGTGCTACTGGAACTAACAGACGAGATGAGCTATGTGTGTCGAGTTTGGGCTTGTTTTGCTAGGTATGGTGAGACCTTGCCTTCTGACTAGATGGAGTGACCTGAAGGTGTACTTTGAGAACTGCTACTGGAACTAACAGACGAGATAAGCTATGTGTGTCGAGTTTGGGCTTGTTTTGTGAGTTTTTTTTTGAGACCTTACCTTTGACATTGATGTATTGGCATGAAGGTGTAAGAATACAGTAAAAAAGTTATTTAAAATATGGAACTATGTATTCTACATCAATTCTGTGTATAAATATTTGTGAAACATGTTAATATAAAAAAAATTGAAATTTAGATTATAATTATGAGTCAATAGAGTATAAATATAAGTCAAAGTCAATCACAAGTCAAAGTAATGAATTTTTAATATAAACATTCTACATTACTTAGACATGATTAAATATTTTAAATGTCTAATTTGACAGTGTGCAGATTTTAGAATTTTCGTTTAAATTTAAATACTCCGGGAGGCCTATGAACCTATCTGGTATTTTATTAGAAATTCTTATTTCCATGCAGCCAAATGTTGGCCAAAAGTACACCACATGTAGAAAAGTTGTATGGATAATTAAAAATACAAGTAATACAAAACAAATTTGCACACTTGCAAATTGTAAGATTAGGCATGTCTAAAAGGTAATTTTTTTGTATATTCCAATGAATAGGTGTAATAAACATGTACTTCAAAAGTTTCGAACGACAGCTATGTGGCAAACTTTTTGTTTCACGTTTATGACCCCATTTATCGTTTATTGTTTTGTCGTGTTTCGCACTGATCAACTTTTATGATCATGGATTCTGCCTAAAATAATACTTAATTTTTTTAATGACTTGCAATCTTTTGGAACAAATGGTATCTATAGTAACAACGTCTTTAAAATAGGCAAAACACGAAAAAAAAAAATAGTTATGTAAAAATGTAGTGGGTCTCAACTTAAATTATCAAAGACTTATTTTTATGGCACAGTTATTACATACAACATTTATACCTCTTATAACTCAATTGTTGTGTCAGATTCAAAGCCTAAAACGATTAAATTTTAGCAGGCTACTACTTCGATATAGATAACAAAAATAATTAAATGATAGAGAACTATAAAGAAAAATCACAAAGATCCGACACAGAGCACCCCGACTCCGTGTGGTCTTCCCTATCGATAGAGTGAACATCAAAAGGCGGAGCCAGAACCTCGTGTCGGAGGTATAAATTGGCCTCGCGGGCTTGCTCCACCCAGGATCGACATAGCGACAGTTCTGGCGAAGAGCATGGAAGAGTCAAATTAAAAAATGAAACAATATTTTTTTAAGCTATTGCACAGCTTTTATCGCGGGCTTTGAGCGCGGCGAACGAATCAATAAATTCCGTAACGAAAATAAAACCTAACTCCGCCTACCACGCAAGAGGAAAGATTTGATTGTTTTTATGCATTGAATAGGCTCCTAAACCCCTGAACAGATTTGAAGATTTCTTTCACTGTCTGGAAGCTACATTATCCCCGGATGACATAGGATATATTAAATTTTCAAAAACTAGGAATCCTTACTAAAACTTGAATAATGTAACCCAAAGTACAAAAATTACCTAAAATATTGTTTGCATCGCGTGCGCTGCTAAAACTATTGATAATTGTATAAAATAATGTACTACGAATTTGCAGAACACATCATTATTTATAAAAAGTGTTTCGACAGTATATGTCTAACTATTATAGTTATGCCACAATAAGTATTCTTTTACTTTAAAATTTTGATTGAAATGCAGCCGCTAGAAAAGGCTCTTTATTTGTATCTTGGTATTAATCCTTATAAAAATAAATTACTTTATATTTAAGACTGTTTCAATATCTTTATATAACTTTTTGAATGATTAAATTCGGACATTCCATTCGAAAGAGATCACAAGTTTAAAAATGTTAGTATATTGTAATTTAACTATCCAGAGCTTAGTGACTGACTTAGTAGTTCTTATCATTTTTGTAAATAATATAAATTAATTATATATTATTAATTATTATATTATTAAAATATTATTTATTAACATAAATATAAATATCAAAGAAAAAAATACTGCATAATTAAATAATTATAATCGCATAAGTTAAAAGATGCTATGCTATAGCTTTACCCCAGCTGAGCCGAGTGCGACAGGTTTTTTTTTATAAAAATGTTTTTTAATTTTTACTAGTTTGTTTCCTTCGTTTTATTATTTCATTTTTAGTTTCTAGATACTAGCCCGGCTTCGTACGCCATGCTATTTCCAATTCATTCACAGAAATTTTTTTTTTTTACAACATTTAGCATGAATATTATTGAATCAGCAAAATGCATTCAGAATACGATACAAAGTATTTTACTCAATTCGTTAGCGGGTTTTACCTAATTATCTGCCTACATAGCTACCTTCCTACGTAACCTACCTATCAAGCTATCTACCTACCGCACGCATAATCAAACATGTATAAAACAAGCTTCGTTTCCTTCATAAAAATTAATTAAAACATAAAATTAAATTATATACATAATTAATTAAAACGCAAATTATCAACAGCTACGAGCTTTTAAATGAAATTTAATAAATTATACCTAAATAATTATATAAAAAAATATTCAGTTTAAAAACTTGTTGAAAACAAATTTAACGTAAGCTTAAAAAATAAATGACTTCAAATTAAATAAAAGTATCAAGTTGCGTCAGTTACATAAAGTTTCGCTGCTTCGCGCTTGTCGCTGTGTGCGTGAGCCGTGCACGTGTAGTAGTACGCCTCTGTACCTAAAATTGAAGCGCGTGAATTCGTAAACGCGTCCTTAACGCTGAACTTTAACTTGATTATCGTTAATGGGTTTCCGAACTATATCGCGCGCGTATTTTTTTGTTTTCCTTACACACAATTAAAATTACATAAAAGAGGGTCATGCGATAAAGTAATGTATGATATAGAGTACATAATTGGAAATTTAAACCGTCTTGAATGATGTAAACCGTCGCTGTTTGAATAAAAGATTGCTCCAATATCGTTGCATCATATCTATTCATAATATGTGGATGTACAATTTACATAATTATGGATAATATTTAAGAGATTTTTAACGTCAAATTCCATATAACGTCTTATGAAAAATAATTATATATTTCACATATTGTACAATTTCTCGCCTCGGAAGTTTAGATATAGGAGGTATATGAATAATTTAAATACAATAAAACCTGATACACATATAAAAAAATCAATAAAAACCTCTCCTTACTCCGTCATGTTCAATTTTCGTAGGATAGGTTTAATTTATTTCCTGTTGAGTTTCGTCTAGTGAGTGAGGTAGCCGGGGCTCACTTTTAGAAAAGGTTGCTAAGTATTATACCTTCATGTATTGTAGTTTTCCATAGATAGCGGTAATTCACTTAACAACAGCTGAATCACTTCCTCATATGCCTTCTTCTTCCTTAAAAAAAAACAAGTCGATGAATTAGTTAATTCGATCCTCGTCGCACCAAATTGATGTCGTTCTAAATATGTCACATAGCGTGGGCATTTGGGTAGCTTGCAAAATAACAAAGCTTTGGGTTCAAACGCTAAATGTTACAAAGACGCAAAATGAATCGAATACGTCGACGATCACTAAATAAAAGTAAATATTCGATGGTAAGTAACTAAACGAAAAACGGAATGGGAGTTCAGTGATGTCTCATTGAGTGGCATGCCAAAAAAATAATGAGGAAGCCAATATACTTCACGGCTCTGCCTCTAGACGCGTCGAAGTGAGCTTGGCACCTTTAGGACCATTACTTTTAAAGCATGCCTAGTTGCCTTGTACAAAGGGACACTTGTAGGGCCACGCAACAGTGTTCGCTGTTGCACAAATGGGCAGGTCCGTCCGGGTTATTACCACGACCTCACAGAAGACCGGCGTGAAATAGAAGTTTTACACATCTGCGTTTCGTCCGGTGATTGAGGTAGCCAGGGCCCACTTTATTAAAAGGTGGCAACGCATCTGCAACCCTACGAGTGTTGCAATGGGCGGCGGTTATCACTGAACATCAGGGAAACCGCGAGCTCGTTAGCCACTTTTTCGCACATAAAAAAAGTGAAAGCCTTTAGATGTGCCAAGCATTGCCTAAAGTAACAATAGCGATAACAGTGTAAAACGTTGAGAATCTCGTCGGTTTTGCAATCAGCCGTTTGGTTATTAAAGCGTCTGGGCGCAAATCCGGAAGACGTGGTTTCGATTCCTGCAGCGGCGAATATAATTATGTTCGTTCATTGTCTACAAATCTTAATGCCAGCTTTGCTTAAACTAATATTTATTGCTTGAATTCTAGATGGTGGAACGCCGTGCTCACGAAGAGCCTAATAGAGCCAATCAAAAGTATATCGGTGGATTCGACCACGGCGGAGGCGCTTTACGCTCTGAAGAACTCGAAGGCACCCGCCGTCAGCATCGTAGACGAAGACGGGTGAGACATTGCAAACTTCTTGGTACTCTCGTTCTATCTACCTACAAGTGCAAATTGCCGTCTAACATGCGGTCGTTTTTTTTTTAATATTTTTTGTTGCTTTTGCTTGTACAATTATATTCTACCACTTATAAATAATATTAAGGAACCATTTAATTATATTTTATCTCTATAAAATTAATTCTTTAAAAAATATAAAGCTCAAAGACAAAAAACCACTTGTTGACTAGACTACAACTTGCCTACAGCCTAGCAGCTAGTAAAAAGTTAGAAAAGGTTTTGAAATATAGATTGACGGCGGAATAGTGAACCCGAAGAATTTATTAATCTATTCTTATTGTTTGTGGTAGGATGTTTGAATGATTTACATGTATTCGCACCCGAATAAAAGCAATTTATGTCGCGTCTACTTTAGTTTTAAATTCATTATCAAACGTCGCTTAGCTTGACGCGTGTGACCTTGCACCGATTATCGTGAAAAGATGGCGATAAAAATCTAAGTCGTATTGTATAGAGTCCATCGATTAGAACCAATCGATAACCCGTCAAGTCAATTCCGGTAGATTTCGTTATAATCTATGATAATTCTATGGAATATAATATAATCTAAGGAATTGGCGCCTATGGCAAGTAAGAAATAAGCACATTTGCCTACTTTAAATTTGCATACTCCTTAAATAGAGTTTTTTTAGGATAGAATTTGCTTTGGGTACGTTTTTACGTGTTCCCGAAACTAACCGCCTCACAGAAACACCTAGGGCTGTCGCTCGCTCAGTTTAAGAAAAGATTTAATTTAATTTATTTTAATGTCTTACTCGCTTATAGTGCGCCTTATTTACGGATTATAATATTCATTTAATAAGATTTTGTTAATTTTAATAATTTGTCAATTTCTTACGCCCCGTGCAAATCGTAGTCGGTAACAACCGGTTTATAGTTAGTTATAATATTAATAAAATTGAGAATAAGACATTTGTAAACACATTACGGTAAAGTTTAAGACAAAAGGTTAAATACTTTTTTACTTGAGCTTCGTAAAAATTTATAATTTTGATATGAAGGTGAAATGAGAAATATGAAAACTTTAATTTAAGATCCTTATTATTTACGACACAGCTCATTTGCACGCAGTTTGAAAGCTGTTTTATATAAATACCTATCAAAAGCATTCAACGTTAAATGGCAGGATTGCTTTCTCATTTAAAATGTGCAAATAAAAATATTACATATAAGCGTACAGAGATATTCAAAAATAAGAAAGAGTTCAAAAGCAATGCGATATAAAATGTGTAAAAATATTTTTAACCTTCTGATATTTCGATAGTCTTTCGTGCACAAAAGTCATAGCGTTTGTGTCAAAATTTTGCTATTAGCATTATATCAAAATTATAGTTTTTTTACATCAGTTTTAATTGTATAACTTGAAATGTGCTACCAGTGTAATGATTTTCTTGCTTATATTTCTCATTTTATACGTTTACGTCATAATTGTTTTCCTTGTTAGTTATCATCGGCAAGCCATTTCACGAAATGAGTCACAACAATGAACTTTCGAATTGCTAATAAAGATTTATCTGTTTATTTTTTTAATTTTTACTTATAAGTAATTTAACCGAACATCATGCAGTGAGTTTAATGTTCGTTTTATTTATTTGTTTATATGTATAATGGCTTATATTTATTTCTCAATTTGTACCTTAGTGAAAAAAATCTATATAATTTGTATAATATTTAATATCTAAAGTGAAGTGGAAAAATACGAGTGGTATAAAAGCAAAATTGAAAGTCTTTAATTATTACAAATTACTAAAGTACTAGAAATTAATATAATACCTATATATATTCCAACGTATTTTGTTTTGAAAATTTCTGACTATTTATGTTGACATTTTTACATTTCTCTACAGCAATTTGTGTGGCATCTTCACCGCTGACAACGCACGTAAGCGGTTGGCTAACCTGTCGGGTTCCGTGTCGGATGAGCTGAGCAAATTCATCGTGAAGAAATATTACAGCGTGGACATAACTCAGGTCACGGCACTAGGGCTCGTATCGCGCATGCTGGACATCTCTCCATTTGTGATCGTTGTCGAAACGGGTAATGCCATCATGTTTTTTTTTACTAATGACCTTGCGGAATATGATAAAAAAAACCGAAAAAATAGGTGATGCAAAAGTTATATACGGAAGCGTAATAGCTAAGTAATCGATTGCAATAAGGGCACGCGCGTTTTTCATATAATAAAGTATACAAACAGTATTTAAACTAAAAATAAATAACGTTTAACACGTTTTTTTCTGAAAATGTACTAACTATGTACTTCGTATTAATTGTTTCGGTTTTGTTTCTCTATAGATTAAAAATATTTGTATACTCAAAACGCGTGTTGTAAACAATTACCTTTGTTGTAACGCCCCTATTGTAAACAATTACCTGTTACCGTCTAAATATCTTTAGGTTTGTTTGAGGGTTCCTGGCGCAGAGCTTTTTTAATTTTCTTCGTTATTACACACAGGTTGTGTACGAGTTATAAATATGGTATTCTAGATATTCTGTTAGAAAAAGATAAGATTCGAGATAATGTTAAAAAAAGATCAAAAACAAAATAATTTTGAAGTCATTAGGTCTTATTTAGGGATAACTTTTTGCAAGGATAAATAAAGAACTTGTGGTAGTAGAGTTAATTTTACTCAAGCACATATAGGCACGGCCTGGATGATGGTTCTAAACTTTAACATTTATAGGGAAAAGGAAGTTACCTAGTGTTCGCGCCATAATTATTATCGTACCTGTTTTATGCGATAAGATTAATGTCGTTTTTCATTATCAATTTTGATGTTAATTTTTTTTAAAGTTTTTGTAAAACTTTTTTTTGTAATCTTATTTTGTTCATTTTTAGAATTCACAAAGAAGCGACCCATTGGATATGTGACAACGGAGCACCTACTACAAATAATAACTGATAAAACACTGAACCTAAGCTGCTTATAATTCATGAGATGAATGAAACACTGACAAACAATTAAGACATAATTTATTATTCAGTATTGATAAGTTTATATATGTACCAATGTATCTATTTGTGATATACAAAAATGTGAATGTTTAGAAATAAGTAAATCACTGTCACAATAACAAATCACTCCATTGAAAATTGCATGTTTGTAAATATTTGTATAAATTACTGTTTACCGCATTTAAAAGGGGACTTATCGGATGATATTTTTAAGGCATTTATAATATGAAACTGATTATTATAAATAAATGTATATGCAACAAATTTTTATATTTTCTTCCCATTTAAACCTTTTATCAGCTTTGATAATGATGAATTACATATAAACTAAATATCACTGTATTCAAATAAATACAAATTTAAATATATAAAGAAGTGTGTAATAGAACCATGCATTTGGTATAATCAACTTTAAAGTATACTGAAAAAGTCTGTGAAAGTGATCTTTATGCATATTTTTTTGTTTAATTGTGATATCTTTCATTCAATTTATTTTAAATTGAAATGGAAAGATAAGATATCAAACTGTTTCAAATTAACCACATATATCTAGAAAATATGTTTAACATAGAGATTTTAATGCTCTCAAATATTGCGTTATGAACAAGCTTCTTTATCATACATATTTTACACAACTGCTGTGGATTAAGAAAAAAGAAAATTAGACTATGGTAATGAAGGTTTTTTTCTATATTAAAATTAAACCTCTATGCCATGGTTTGACATTATTATTAAATTTTTTTCATCTAACCAAAACCACTAATTTAATTGATATACTTTTAAACAACCACCATAATATATTTATTTAATTATCGACTTGCAGTAAAACAATATATTTAAAGTATATACGAATTAACATTTAAAAGAATGGTTTTTTTTTAAACTGTTGATGGATCTTTGATTTGCAATAATATAATACATAATTCACTTGAAATATTTTTATTAAAGCAAAATATCTATTATAATGAAATGATTTACACTTTCTGAAATGCAAAATATTTAATTTTATCTTTTAATATTAACTGCAATAGTTATGAACATCATGGAGATGGAGGTGGTGAGCCTTTAGCATTAGCTGCTAGTATAGCACCTGGTGCAGGATATGGCCTCATTTGGTATAATGATCCTGATGCTGTTGTATCAACTCCAGTTTTGGTATGATTATCTAAACCGGACGTCCAATTACCCCTTGGTATATCTGAATAAGAAGCAGGATCCATTGGATCCAAATCATTGTCCTTAACTCTTTGTCTTTTCTTATCTCTATGATGCACTAGTTCCCTACTTTTTTCTCTGCGATCATGTCGCTTTTCTTTTGTATGCTGCTGTGGAACTTCTTGATCAGATGCTTCACTACTATCATCACTCTCATCACCTTCTTTCAATAATCTCTCTTCTCGTAAGTGTGCAGCACTTTCAGAAGTCACTGCTTGTGGATGTGCAGGTGGCAACCAAGATACCAAATTGTTATGGACATTCCAAAAATAATGTTGTCCAGTACCTTCGTCATATACCTCTTCCCACCCTGGAGGTAAAGGCCAAAGCTCTAACGCTTTTTTCTTATTTTCCATATACACTTCATTTGGTACCAGTTTACCTTGTTTCCACGTTTTCACACAAAATTTAGAACATTCATGATAGATGTTACTTTTGTTTGGGCAACCACGATGACCTTTAATCGGGTCAACATTAACACCTTCTATCCCTTCCCAAAAATGTTCTTTTGCATTATGTTCTTCTGGTTTATTATCGTAATCTTCTGCTATAATCTCTTCATTTGCTTGAACTTGAACTTGGTTGTTAATAGACTCGCCGTTGGGGTTAACTTTTAAAATGCCCCTTTTTGCAAGTCGAGCAGCTAGCGCAGGAGGCAAAGGCATATTAATGTCAGAATTTATAAAAATTTATGAGAAAACATTAAAAATTAACTAAAACATTTATCTCATCGTACAGTAAACAACAATCATCTATATACCAAAGAAAGAATCCAAAGACAGATGTTTATTTTAGACATAGACAGATTATTTCAAAACGGTAGTAATGGAGTCTGGGCATTTGAGCAAATATATAAAGTATAGTCTATGGACAATTTTTTTTCTCTATTTCTGGCATTTTGTCATCTTAATCCTTTCTGAACCAATGACAAGTCAAAAGAGGGAAACAATAATATTGTTGAATTTCAACAAGAGTCGGAATCGGAATTTGGAAAAATAAAATAATCGACAAGATTGACGATACATAATATATGGGCTGTGTTACTAATTATAAATATATAATTAAAAATATTTATATTCAATAAAGCATATAAATATAAATATGCTATAATGAACATGAATTGGCTGTGCCTATATTGACAAAAATATTATTTTAATGATTCAAGTGCGCGTTCCAAAGAGTTCCGTTGCGTTATATTATATAATTTTATAGAATATTTTTTGTATAAATGAAGCTAATTTTTTATAAATACAAGGGTCGTTTTATGATAACATGAATGGTATATTTATAGGAAAAGATATTCGGAGCAATACGAGATTAATAAAATGAGAGGATCAATATACACCAGGCAAGAAAAAAAAGTAAAGTAAAATAACCATTAATTTATTACCCACGGCTGGGCAAAGACTTCATCTGTATAGAGGGTATTAGGGCATAGTACACCATCCGTGTGATTTAAATTTCCTTCTTTCGTTCTACAAGCATATAAACAAGTACCAGCTCGCTTGCCACCTTCTTACATTAAAAAAACATGGAAATTTGGCCTAAAAAACGTTTAATGGGTGGATAATGCCTTGCCTTTTCATTTCTCTTAATGCCACTTTGTTCGGGAATCCATGCAAGTACTACTGTGATATTTGTGGGTAGGAGTGAAATCAATAAGACACATATGTATAAATTAATGTACCTGTGACATCCCAATTCCCACCAACTTGTCTGATATATAATTCAGGGCTTCATTAATTGCTACACATTGTTTTCGTCGCTGCCTTTGTTGTATTCATAACCTCAAAGTCAAACCAATGGAATCTATCAAGAAATCTGTGGCTGATCTTACAGAGTTCCAAAAGGACCTTAAGAGCGTTATACCTGCAACAAGCCCAACGTCAAACATTAATTATCTCCACCAGTGGCCGGCTGGTTTCAGAGTTATCTTAGTGGCCGACAGCAGCGTATTCGCATTGATGGTATGTTTTCATCCTGGCGTGAATTACGAGCTGGAGTGCCTCAAGGTGGTGTGTTGTCTCCATTACTCTTTGCTATCTTTATTAATTCAATCTCTCACAATATTACTTCTCTCTACCATATGTATGCAGACGATTTTCAACTGTACACACATTCAAATCTTGAAAATTTGCCCACTGCTGTTACTGCCATTAATGGTGACCTGGCGGCTATTAGCGAGTGGAGTAAGAGCTATATAGATAAGTCCTATAAGAGATAAGTCTTAAGATTAATCCTTGCAAGTCCCAGGCCATCATTGTTGGCGGAGTTGGCATGATTTCAAAGGTAGATTGGGATAACCTTCCCTCGATAACATTAAATGGTGTTGTGGTGCCATACAACAAAACTGTTAAAAACCTTGGTGTTCACTTCGACTCTACTTTCTCGTGGTCTCACCAATTAAAGGAAGTTAGCAGGAAAACATTTGCAGCCATGGGTTCTCTGCTGCGCTTACTAAGTTTATGTTAGCACAATCCTTACTTCTTTCCCTTCTCGATTATGCGGACGCAAGCTATCTTGATTTAACCGAGGACCAACTTAACAAGCTTGAGCGAATTCAAAACTTAGCTATCAGATTTATTTTCGGTTTACGCAAGTATGACCATGTCTCCGAATATCGTACAAAGCTCAAGTGGTTACCCATCCGCCTTCGCCGGAATCTGCATATTGTTTCTCTTCTGTACTGTGTTTTGTTCAATCCTATGACTCCGAGTTGTTTGAAGGAACAGTTTAAATTTCTTGGTCATGACAGACCAGAAAGAGTTCTGCGATCAGCCAGTGAACTCATTATCACCCCGCATACTTTCCGGACCAATTATTTTAAGAACTCTTTTACGGTCAAAGCCATTTGCCTATGGAACGCGCTTCCTCCACACATCCAACGCTCAAAAACGTTACGCAAGTTTAAAACTGACGTTAAAAATTATTATCTGTCACTGTGTTCAAGCTGATTATCACCGACGACATTTGTATATTTATTTTTTATTCTTTGCTTCCTGTATATATTTTTGTAAGTTATTGTACAGTATATGTTTAGATTTATGTATGTCTATTGGATCTTATTTCGTATATATTAGTATATTATTATTATACAAAAATACAACATATTCGTTTAGTTTATTTAAATATTAGTATGTAAGTTTATCATTTACACCACCTACCATTGTCCAAATTAAATATTTTTAACCACAAGGTTGTCTGGAAGAGATCGCTCCTTAGCGATAAGACCGCCTTATTGTTTATACCTCTTAAGTTTATAGTTCTGTAACATTTCCTTTCATGTTTTTTTGGTGTTCAATAAAGAATATATAATAATGTTTTTAACTTGGCATCCTTATGCATGCTGCATTTTGATGAAAGTGGAAAATGTATGTTTTTAAAGAACTCAAACGAGTTAAACTTAAACGAGTTTAAATTAAGTTAAAAATTATAGCAGTAACATTCACATTCAGTAAATATTGAAGATTCAGTAATGTAATTTTTTATATAATATTAAACTGAGGATCATATACCATAACGTAATTACATTCTTTCTGTCATACTCCAACCCCAACAATTATCGGTACGTTTAGAAGGCATCACTATTATTATACAGTGCCAATTTTCCCAATTGTTTTTTAATTTGAAAGTCGTTTAATTCCAATATTGAGTTTTTGGGGGTGGTAAGAGTCAAGATTTTATAGTCGTTTCAAACATTGGGAGAGTTTAGGAACGATACATTCAATAGCAAGATTCTCAATATGCAGATGTCAGCTATATAGATCTACTTGATAAACTAGAGCATATTCAAACTTTTTGCATAAGATTCATATTTGGCTTGCGCAAATATGATAATATCTCACATTTCTGTGCTAAGCTCAAGTGGCTGCCCTTTCGTCTTCGCCGGAATTCTCACATACTTTGTCTTGTTTACAACATTCTGTTTAATCCCTCATATCCTACCTATCTATAGGAACGTTTCCAATTTCTTTGTGGTTCCCACTCTAAGTCTCTGAGATCATCAGAAAACTTGGAGCTGAAAATTCCTACGCACAAAACAAAGTTTATGAGTAGGTCATTTATGGTGCAGGGGGCGCGACTCTGGAACGACTTACCATTAGAAGTAAGGTGTGCTCAGTCATTAAATATTTTCAAGAATCTTGTAAAAAATCATTACTTATCTCTGTAATGTTATTTCCTAAAAATCATATATGTATTTGTATATATGATATGTATATACTTATATGTAAATGTATATTTATATGTAAATATATATTTTGTTAGCCTTTTGTATACACATTTATTTATGTACTTACATATTTATAAATATCTTATTAATATGAATAATGATTGTAGATAAGTATTTTTTTTCATTCATTTAGTTAACTAACCCACCCTTTATTCTTAAATTATATCTTTTTAGACCATCCAAAGGTTGCCTAGAAGAAATTACTCTTAGTAATTAGGCCGCCCATTGTACCCATCAATTCTACATTGTTTTATTTTTGGTGTGCAATAAAGTATATTCAAGATATTTTTGGTAACTTTTAAGACAGTAATTCCTTTTGTTTTCAATACGCAGATGAATTATACTTGACCTAGAGCCTTGGGTTTGTAGTTTGGCTATTAAAAAATGCTTTAAAGATTATGAACAACGCAAAACAAGGATCTGTCAACTAAATATTGTCTTCTTAGGTGGAGCGGCGGATCACCATATTCCACTTAAAGAGCAATAAAAAGGCTGGGTTCCATTACACCAGGTAATAAGGGTTCCGTACCCAAAGGGTAAAACGAGACCGTATTACTAAAAATTCGCCGTCTGTCTGTCATCAGACTGTATCTCATGAACCTACGATTCTCAATTCCACAGCATATATTTTTGTTTATTTGACTTTATGCGTTATTCATCAAGAAGAAGAATTTGTTGTTTTAATATTTTAGCATTAATTTTTATTTTTAGTAGTGTCTGAGCGCGAAATCAGAAGACGCAGATTCGAATCCCGCAGCGCCGAAAGTTTTTGTTTATGTTTCTTAATCTACAAAAATTTGCAACTTAAAATTTTAATTGTCGATGACTTTCAGATTTCTTAATTTTCATTTGTTGATTCTTATTCTTTTAAAAGTATAAAAATAAAAACGCTTTCATGGTTTTATAAAAAAGATAAATAAAATCCAAGTATACTTTACGATAGCCCACAATATCGTTAGTATCCCAACATTAATAGATATTCAACTCTATCGTCACCTCGGCAAAATTCGCGGGGTGTTTTCCGCATCAAGCGAGACTACCCGTCCCCTCCTTCACCACCAACCAGTACACCATTCAGCAGAAGAATAGAGAATCCCATAAAAGCAGGAAACACTCCTCTGGTGTTGCCATTATATGGGCCACAGTGATCTCCTACTATTAGGTGGATCACTTGCCATTTGCCATTGTCACCCGCTCCATACAAAAAGGAACGAACTTTTAATGAAACAAAAAGAAATAAGGTAATGGCTTTATTTCAAGAAGTGATAAATTCTTATCTAATTTGTTTTAAGAATTGTTCCACACTAGAAAATAGACCAGGACGTTTTGAAAATCTGAAAAAATAAAATACGCTAGGTTGTAAAGAATATGAAAAATGACGCTTTTTTTAAGGCACAATCAGTTTTACAAATGACGTCTATTACACCATCTAAAAGTTTTTAGAACATTCGTCGCGTCAATAACTTTGTTAACTACGAGAATTCTTACCGGATGAATGAAAAATAAAAACCCGATGTTACCAAAAATCACAATCAAATTATGTTACAATATATATTATAGGTATATCATATTCAATACATAAGCGTTGCGTAATCTGTAAAATTCACTTGCCCATCTGCTGACTAATCATGAAAGCCCCTTAAAAAACTCATATATTTTGGTCCAGAAAGCAACAAGGAAGGAAAGGGTGTGTTTGCATATTTGCTTAAGTAAATAAATAGATACAAAGCAATTATACCCTAATAGAGATAATACGGGGTCGATTAGCAATCAAGTATCATTAAAATGTTTATTTGTGCAATTAAAAACAACTGCTCTGTACATATAAATTAATTTAGTTACGTGCTCGTTTGTAGGTTTACTTCATATTTATTATACTTTCTACATTGCCCTACTAAAAGACTAAATTATACAACAAATTATTTAAAAAAAACTCGCACTCTTATCATCGTAGCGTTATTAAGCCCAAAAGGCAAAGATTCCTAACTACTAATATTTAGCAGTCATGCGTTGGCCTCAGTAGAACGAAAAGGTTTATCACCTGATAATAGATGTCTTCACTCACCACGGACGACTGACGTGTCAGTGCGGGACACCTTCGTGGGCAGCACTACATCGTGGAACTCACCCGAGTGGAGTAACTTCTTAGTGTCAGAATCACTGGTATTATTTTCCCCAACATTCACATAGGGTGTTATCACGTCGGATTCATCAGAAGATATTTCTGTTGTAAGTTTTTTATCAGATGACGTTGAATCCCCATCCTCCGTCAGATTACCCTCAACTGTCCCTTTGGATACCATATCCTGACAGATATTAGAGTGTAGAGGCAAGCCATCGCCCACTGTCCCCCGTGTTTCATTTTTAACGTCTTTTAGTAAAACTTCCTTCACAGAATCATTTTCGTCGCTTAACCGAGTGCTGTTGTTACTGGGCGGCGAAATAGATTGAATTGCATCTTCTCTTTTTAACTGCTTTCTACGTTCGCTTTTATCGTAGCCCAACGGATGCAAGTTACTAGACGCGGGTGGGCTTCCGTCTAAAGACAATTCCACTGATGTTAACATGCTTTCATCTCTGCTCAAGAAGTGGCTTCCTTCGGGAACAATGTGTATGTTTAAAATAGTCTTATTCCTGACCGGATCAGGGTCCGCTTCAAACGAAGGGGCTGACGGATTATCGGAATCTGCTAGAGATGTACTCGATACAGTTTTGTTACGATTCAAACGGGTCCTGACTAAGAATCCCCTGATATGAGCTTGAATAACAGTGGCAGCACTGGACAGTGTTGAAGAATCGTCAGTTGATAAAGAAAGAGACTTTTCTTCATTGACAGTTTGTAATACCGTGTCCATTCGACTAATGCCATGGGCTCGTTTATCTTTGTTTAAGATTTGATTTTGATTTGAATAACCATTTTCATCCTGAAATATTACATTATAGTAAGTTTAATATATAATATGAAATTAAGTCTAAAGAATATTTATTGCAGGACTTGACGTGATATTGAGACAAAGTGAAATCTAAGTTATAAAGACGGACAAGCTCTGTCTTATCCGTCTAATACTGTGAACGTCTACAACTGTTACAAAATAATTGTTATTGCCATTAAGATGGGAATAACGACGTCATACTAACGAAGATATAAGAGTCTATATCTTTCCAAAACTTCAACCTGTCCAAGTGCAGTTAACTCGCCGCTTTGACATCCCTTTGCAAAACAATTATATCTATAACAAAACCGACTTTCACCACTGTACACTTAAATGGGGGCGAAAAGAACTCCCCTAAGTTAGATTATGGCGTGGAAGACAGAGAAAAATACCGTACACCGTATGCTGCGCCTACACTACATGCTTTACTTGACTGATGTTTTTGCTTTCAACCCGTAGAATATTTGCTTCATCAAACGCAGATGTCGCGAGACGAGTATCACCGCTGGGGGCGGATATAACCACCCTAAAACGGTGATATACCTTGTGTTCGCGTTATGTTGATTTCCGTGCTCGTACGCAAGATCGAACTATTTAGTGCGTGTAATCACGTGTGTCTGTCCAAAGTGATCGAGTAGCTTTGAGGAACGACTGAAATGAGAGTCCTTTACTTGGATAAAAGTCATTCAGCAGGATGGCTCCAAAGATGGGCACAAGGCATCTATCTGGCATATTGAGTAAAAACAGCTTTTTTTCTTATGAAATAACTGTTGATAACTATGGTAGAGCCAGGCAGGAGCCTCGGCGGTTGTATAAGTACCACGACCTCACAGAAGACCGTCGTGAAGTGAAAGCATAATACTTTCGCGTTTTTTTTCAAAAAGGTTGTCAATGCATCTACAAACCTTCGGATGTAGCAGATGTCCATGGGCTGCAGTATTTACTTAACATCAGTGGAACCGCCTGCTCGCTTTTTTTCCACGTAAAAAATATATGTATAATATAAAAACGATTATAAGGTGTGGCATAACACCAACCCGTTATGCCACACCTTATAGAATGGCCTTTGTGAAATCGAAGAATATGGCACTTAAACTAATGGTTTGGGTTTTAAAATATGTAGAAAAAGTACGAAAAGATTGTCGCCGTTGTGGGAATCGAACCCACGTCTTCGGCATTCGTGGCCTGATGCTCTAGCCACTGAGCTAAACGGCTGATTGCCACGGTGGTTTGGCCGATTAAAGCCTAACTGTATGGTCTGCGTCAGGCGAAAAACTGCTCGGTGCAGGAGTCACTTGGTGGGAAATCGATTGGCTCGAGGGATATAAGGTGGTTGGGGTAAACACAGCCATTCAATCTGCTAATGCACTCGTACTTCTCTTTTCTTCTTCACCTTTACCTTATACTTTCACCCAAACAATTCCGAAGAGAGATTGGGCGATGTCTACATGGGCGGTCTACTATATGTAAAGTTATCGGAAACCGAAGAATAGAGCATATTCTTTCTTATGCCGAAAATGCCGACTACGCATTTTTCTTGTGGTGTTGCAGATGTTCATATAGGGAGATTTTTTGAGAAGTGCCCAAATTTACACAGGAGGTTCAGACTCGGCAGTATAATCGTTTATTGATATAAAAACAAAGTTTTTTTATCCAAAAAAAAATGCCATTCTATTTCCTAAAAAACAGAACGTGTTGACAATGCGGTAGTCATTCATAAATACCTAAATTTTACTGTACTTCATTTCGACCAATTTTGAATAGCTCTAAAAACTAAACAATCGCACGTGATTGTCTCATTACGATAAATTAAATAAAATGGATTTATTGTATAACATTATTGTAAGATACTCAATCAAAAAATACCTTAGGTCCACTTTCGTGATCAAATATATTGAATTCGATCTTTGTAGAATCTTCTAAACTGGATGTTTTGCTTCTGAAAAGAAAGTTACGAAATACTTTCTGTATTGTTACAGCAGCTGTTTCCAAATCCATTGTCTTTGAACTTATTGATTCCACTATTTCGACCTCTTGAGAATTATCAGGACCATTATCAATGTTTTGGGAACTAATTTGGTTATTTAAACCACTTCTATTATCTTTATTATTTTGACCATATTCAATATTTATAATTAACGGTTTAATAATACTCTCGTCTTCAAAATTGTCTTTTTTTAATTGAACGGAAAAATTTCTTGAGTTTATGTCAGGAGTCAGGATCTCAAGTTTATCTTGATGTTGAGGTTCTGTTATTTGATCACGTTCACCGTTTGAAATGCTATCCATTCCACGCTCGGTATATACAGACGTCAATTCAGGCTCTTTATCTTGTATAACTTTATATTGATCAACATCATTACGATCTTTACCCGTATCAACAAAGTTTAAATCTTTAATCTCAATCTTTGATGTCCTTTCAAGTATTCTTTGATCTTGGTCAAGTTCCGATAGTTTATTCTTAACCTCAAATCCCACAGTAGAATTATCAGTGTACTGATTCTCTTTAATCGTTTCAAGGTTATCATCAATAACATCATTCTCTGATATGGCAAATACTTCCGCATTCAAATTTTTATCAGCTACCCCTTGTCCTTTCATTTCTTTTTTGATGTTTATTTCATCAATTAATTTATCAGCAGTGTAAGACTCTTTATATTTTTTACCCAAATCATTGTGTTCTTTCATTTTGTTTTGGTCATTTCCGTCCTTATTTCCACATTGGTCTTTAATTCCCTTTTGGTAATTTTCTTCGTTACTATCACTTGCATCTTTCATTTCTTTTTGGTTATTTTCATTATTATTACCAATTTGGTCTTTTATTTCCTTTTTATCATTTTTCTCTTTAATGCGTCTTTGGTCTTTAATTTCGTTTTGGTCACTATTGAAACTTTCATCTTTTATGTCTTTCGAAGCATTTTCGTCATTATGTGCACTTTGTTCTATAATTCCCTTTTGGTCATTTTCGTAATTATTATCACTTTCGTCTTTATTTTCTTTTTGGTCTATCAAATCCTTTTGTTCATTTGCGTCACTGTGGTCTACCATAACCTTTTGGTAATTATCGTCGTTATTGTCACTTTCATATTTTAGATCATTTTCGCCATTACAGACACTTTGGTCTTTCGTCTTTAGTTCATATCCGTCATTACTACATATTTCTAAGTTTGCAATTTCACAATCGTCTTTTTTTAAGTTTTCCACGGCGTTATTCTCAGTTTCAATTGCAGTGGCAAATGTGGCGACATTTGATTCCTCGCCATTATTTGTATTTAACAAATACTGCAATTTATATGAATCCGTAACAAATTCATTATTAGTTTTACTATCGAAATCGATTTGTTGCCTAGAGTTATCGCTTGAAACCAAAGAAACATCGGAGTCTATATTTATTTTCTCGGTAGTTTCTTTGCCTTCATCATCTTTTGATTCTATAAACGTACCGCCATTTAAAGAAGCTTCATGTTTTGCGTTGTCAGTTAAAATGTTTGTAGGTATATCTAGTAAAGTTTTTTCTTCTATATCTATTTTTTTATTATTAACAGAATCTGTCTCAATATCCGTTTTCACAGTAAGCAAATTAATTATTTCTTCTGTTGGATTAAATAATATTTTCATATCTACATCATATTTCTGACGTCTTTTTTCAGCTCTTTGTTTAATGATATTATTAGCTCTTACAATTTTTTGGTCCAAAGTCAAATATTTTTTTTGCGCTATTATAAATGAGAAAAAATAGTACATCAGCAAACACGCGCAGGCTTTTAATAAATAATACTCTAGCATAACATGACTTTAAATCCTTTGCTAGTGTCTAGTTAAAATTTAAAATCAAGTACAATAATGTAATTGCAATTATAAGTACTAATTGAACATAAAAAAACAGCATAAGAAACAAAATAATCAAGAATTAGTCAAAAAAATAAGTAAAACCAAACCACAACGGGAGAGGATAGCCTAGTACCCTCTGTAGACACATTGGTACAACAATGGAACTTCTACGTATAGCGCATAGGCGGTAATTAAATTTAAGTTAATTAAACAGTTGAGGGGTAGAGACAATATTTTCAACAGTAGAATCGATTATGAAAACCAAGCATGTTAAAAATTTACATTATGTGACGACTGTACTCTTTATACATATAGTTACGGATTCGAGATATTCAAGCTAAAGTATTAACTTCAAATATTACCGAGTACACTAAGCGCACGCATACTTGCACATACATAATTTTATTGTTACGGGGAAACATATTAGCATAATGTAGGATTTTTGTTATTGCTAATTGTACTTTCAGATGAGACAATAACTACCCTCTTAATAAATTCAAAATTTTAATCGCGGTAATCGCGGTAAATAAAAAAAATATTTTTATTGAAGCAAGTCGGTCTGTGGCGGTTTTAATTCAAGTTTTTGATCGATTTAATTTTTTGTTATACTTACGATGGTTATCTCTTAATTCTAGTAATTTCCACATGTGCTCTGCACAAAATTCATGCACATTGCTCGGATTATTCTTTAAAACTTCCTTCGTCAACCCCTCCATCAGTTCCATTAGTCCTGGTGGCATTTTAGGCACAGGTGGTGGCATATTCATATAAGAACCCGAACCGCAAAGATTCATGTTCTATAATAATTTTCGAGGTGCACTAAGAATTATCACGAACTGAATATATAATGAATCGATTGTTTTCACTTAGAACTTACCATAAGCTTAACAAGCGTACTCGGAAAGTTCTCCGAACAATGTGAACTCTCGACACTTGATGTCGTAAAGTCGATACATGTATTGTTTGCAAGTGGTCGCTATGGCAACTCGCCAACTTGAACTTGATATCAAAGCTAGCCGTTATCGACCCGACTCAAGTTCACTATGTACCAAATTTCAACAACACGGAGCGGTGGATTTAAATCGTACACTGCGAGGCGGACTGAAGTGAAGGCCGTTTCAAGAGCAATAAGTCAAATTACGTTACTCGTAGACATGCGCTTGTTTTTTATTATTTTATACATATTTGTGTTACAAGTGTTATCAAAATTTCAGTAAGTTGTATCCCTCTCCGTTCGGAGTACAGACATGTTACAAAATTAGTATTACAAATAACAGAAGAATATTATTAGTAAATAAAATATATAACCGTAATGTTTAGCACTACCTAAGCGTGGAAGATAACGTGGGCGTTACACAAGGAATCCGGGCCCGCGATGGAAATGAAAAACTAAAGTAATTCGAGATTTGTTGTGTATTTGGGCAGCGCAGGGCGTGGCGTGGCAGGGGACGAGGCGAGAAGCCGCCGCGGGCGCCCGCACTTGCGCACAAACAATCCAATTATGTGAATCAACTTTTTTATTTTTCATACTGTGTTCTATAATAGTAATTTATATATAAGATCATATATTTAATTTTTGCAATGTTAATACATTATACATAACAAACATCTCCATAGTGTACATACATACATTGCGGTAGCGCTGATGGCGGCGCGTATCGGCGACGCTCCGCCGGTGATGATAGAAAAATTAATGGCTACAGTAATATCATACAAATTAATGACTATTCCCTTACAAATTATCATAACTACCTTTAGCATTGTTCTACTCCAATATGATCAAATGAACGTTTTCACCGAGCCGTATGCGTGTTAAACGATGTCACCAGTTCGCTCCGACCGATTCGACCTACTATCGCGTGCCAATCCCGCAGCTATGTATAAAAATCATCGTCCGCTATAAATTTATAATAAATAAATGCCTATTTACACTATGTAACTATACAAAATGATAGTACGACGAAATTACATTTTTGAATCCAGCATCTAATTTTTTTAAATGAAGACTTCATATAGAACAATCTACTCGCGGGTCCATCTTCAAGTCCCTGCCACATTGAGAACCCGCGCACTAAAATGTTACATCTTGCAATTTACCTAGCTTTGTTTTTTTTTGTACAATCATATTCAGCCGAAAGCTGGGTGCCCGATTATTATAAATATCGGTGATTCAAAATGCAATACAATCGATCATGCATCAATAATACATACAACGTTTTTTTTTTTAACTTATTTAAACAATTTAACAATGTTGGAAAAATCCTAAAGTAATGTATCATTAACCTATGTAAACATATATAAAATACTAGTACAGTAATAATGACAGTGCATTCGGGGCGCGGATATTTCGAGAGTGCCGGATTGCAAAGATAGAGGGCGCTCGCGAGCGAACCGACAGACAACAGTGGGTAGTGGGTTGCCACCATTTTGCGTCGCAACTCGCAACGCTTCACGGAATACAGCGTTATGGAGAAGCCGAGGACACAAGACGATGCACGTGTATCTTTAAGTTCACTAACGAATTTTAATCCTAATATATTATGAGCGAAAACACATGCTTATATCACTTTTATAAGTCTGCTCCGACATATTATTCCGCATAAATATCTAGTATAAAGAAATGTATAAAATTAAAAATATAGCATCTTTCATATATTTCTCTCAACACTATAAAGTTTAGTATAAATATAACCAACCATGACTTTACACATTGTATCATTTACGCCCACAGATCAGAGTTGTCAGTTCGTAACGTATTTATTGCTTCCTATTAGACGCCTGCCTTAAAATAAAATTCAAATTTCAATCGGGGCGTACTCATTTCGCATCTAAATCGGACACACAACGAAATGCAAGTACTAAGGTACCGGGTGGCAACCCAGGAATCGGTACAAATACCCGAACGAACAAATCATTAGAGGTGTAAAAAATTAATAACGTCGTTAACAAAAAATGTAATTGAATAGACAATACGAATGGATGCGTAACCGTAAAGTAAAGACGGGGCATTATCCTAGCGAGTGGAGGGAAGTTGGGAGCATCACTTGGCGACGGCGCCTGCTTGCTGCCGCTTGTGGCTTATTTCAAGTTCCCCCAGCTTTTTCCACAGTTCGTCGCGCTCCTTCTCGCGTTTCTTCTCTCTGTAAATCAGAGACGAAGTCACATGATGAGGTAAATTAATAAAGATTGATTATAGCATTTACAATCGCGCACCGATTAAGAGAACGTAATAAAAAGTATTACAATGTCATTGACACTTCAGTTCGACTGGTCATCTAAAGCGACTTTTCTCGAGCATGGCAGAAATGTTTAGTTTCAAGGATCCCAAAGTGGCTAAGATAAAATGATGGGGTCCAGGGAATGGAACTCCAGGAATCAGAAGAGCCCAAAGTCGTATATAAATATTATATGGTCTCTTATATCATTTGTTTATATAAATAACCTTGGATAGGGGATTTTTCTTCTTTTTTTTTTTAAAACATTGCCCTTACTTTAGGATAACTTACAACAGGATAAAAATTTATCCTGTTGTAAGGACGTTTTACATAAATTTCACGTGGACAAACACCCAGATGCGAAACAACTATTTGTGGGTCACACAAATAGTTGTCCCGTGTGAGAATCGAACCCACGACTCCCGATGCCGAAGCCGATACCTTGGCCACTGCGCCCGCAGTCATCTATTATTATTATGGAAAATCCATAACAAAATTCAGTTAGGGACTCCATGCTTGAAATTAAATAAGCAATTTCAATGGGAATGTAATTAGATAGCGATTTGTTAAAATATTACCAAAATTTACATCTATGTACTCATACATAAATACTTCTGTACAGAGGCCTTTGCCAAGCAGTGGGACATGTATAGGCTGATACATAACATTTTTTTACATACAATAACATTTTAATGGGTAATAATATATCAATGTCATAGAATTGCTACAAATTTAATTTCGAAATTGAACAAACTATATTTATATAATAAAGTTTGATTCAAACATTTATTACCAATATTCTATGCTTATTACATTTAACATTGCATGATACATCCCAAAACTGTCGAATTTTAACTAAATACTCGACTTTATAATTTGCATTGTCATCTTACTAAAACCCCTTGAGGTTATAGAAAAAAAAAATAACATATAAAGTTATGCAGCATTCAGTCTCAAATTTAAGGCTCTTAAAAAGAAAACAAAAGCATAAAATTAGCATTTTCTTTGAATTGCAAATATAATACCGGCCTGGAGTCTGAATACACTTTTAATCAACATTTGCTCATTCCCTTATTTAATATACAAAATTCTCGTGTCACGGTGTTTGTAATTGAACTCCTCTGAAATGGCTCTACCGATTTTGTGTGCATATTGGCCAGGGTGGAGAATCGGACAACATCTATTTTTCATCACCCTAAATGTAAAGGGTGGTCCACCCCAAACATTTTTATCTACCCTCTAAATAATTTATATGACAAAACAACGTTTCGCAGGTCAGCTAGTTTTCCATAAAAATATATGATTTAAAAAATAACTTACTTTTGCCGTTCCGCCTTATAGCTAGCAGTGAGCTCGTCAAACAGCTTGGAGTTCATCTCCATGAAGGTCTTGAGCACGTTGTAGACGAGCGCCACAATGGTTTGGTTCCAGTGCTCCTTGCTAATACGGTACAGTGCGGGGAACATTATTGGCATTATCACCTGGTTGTTCTCCTCCATCAGTGATAGAATATATTCGTTGTTCCAAAAGTATAATGCCCTTTCAGCCACCTTAAATTGATAACATTCCTTATTAATATGTTAGACACATAATATCACGAAACATTTTACTATTTTGCCAAAAAATAGTGGTGGTAATAAAATATAGTTTGTTATATATATATTTATTATATATATTTATTATATACATTTACACACCACATTTATTTAAGTATGTATGTTTGAAAAGTACTTTAATTTTTTTTTCTCTCATTCAAAAATTTTAAAGTTTTCGAATGAGAGAACAAAAAAATTGTATTTTTATGGATTCAATTGAATTGAGTATTCAGTCAGCTACATTGCATAAAGACTCCCAAAAAGGTTTGCTAATTTCAGATATTTTTGGTTAAAAAATGAAATAACACACTTGTCAAGTTAATGATATAATTACAAAAGTTGCTTTTGCATTTTTAAGTAGGTATGTACCTGAAAATGTGGACTGGACACGCATTTTGCAATTTGTCTAAATAATGGCTCTTGTATTTTGGCAAATTGAGCTGGCTCAATCACATCCAGAATTTCCTCAATCTCACCCAAGAACATTACCTGTAAAGAAAAATGTATACTAATATTACATTTACATATATAAAAATACAACGCGTTCCTTAGTTGAAATTTCGACAGCATAAAACTCGTCCCAATATTGCTCATTGGATGCAATATTTTTTAATAAATATCGCAACACCGAGCGGTGTACGAACTTCAAAATTTAATTTCCCCACCGGAAATCGATTTAAGTCGTTTACGGAGCGACCGCCTCGTTGATTGAATGAGATGTATTCTAGTTATAAGAAAATAGATGGGTATCTAATTTTTTTCATAAGGTTAACTTTAAAACTTTATGACGAAAAACGGAACTAAAAAAATATGTCCTTAAGAGGAAAACTTGCAGTTGTAACCATGAAAACAATTATCAACGACACGTGATAAGAATACATCGAGATTCAAAGGAATCGGATATACAATAACGGTATTCATTGTTTACGATAAATAGACTCCAATCTAAATTTCACGACCATACATAATGTCTTTAGTAAATCGTTATTCAAATCTCTTCACAGTTTGTGATCAGCGATGCAGCGCTAAAGGAAACTCACATTTATGCTATTACAGGTTTGTTCTAATATAATTGATATAGCCATTGGTTGTAGACCGTTCTATTCCATCCCTATTTTTATACTCAAAGTAATAAATTTAGCGGGTATGAGTAAATAAAATAGGATCCCTACTAGTCGCATTAATTCTAACCTTGAGTAAAAGAAACAAGATGCATAGTTATCCAATGAGGATCAAAGAGAGAGTAGGGGGGGCTCTCTTTTTTTTTAAAAGAGTAGCTTACATATGAACTGAGCTGGTTCAAGCGATGCGATGGTAAAAGGTCACCATCGCCCGTGTTAATCCAGCGATTAAAATTACGTATTTTTACTTTTCCTTTGATGCCCTTTGAGCACCAAAGAAGAAGTATAAATATACTCTAGTCTAGTCTTTGGTGTGAGCGTGGTCCTTTCTCGGACAATCTGGCCAATACAACAGCATAACGCAAAACGCAACTGTTATTTTACGAGTGCGTTGATATCTATTCAGAGGTAAGTCGTCAAAGCGAGCTAATTGCTACACTGCTATACTTATAAAAAGTCAGAGCTAAGTTTTCTAATTGAATGCTTACTTTCCTTTCACAACGATAACAGCGAGTCATGAAGATATAAAATAGTGCGTAATAATATGATATTGATAAGTCAACAAAACACTTAAAACAACGCTACGGTTGATCCGATGTGAGATACCTACTACATGCAAATGTACACAAACCTTGAATTTGTTGTTCGAAGGCATTGACGACGGTTTTGCTTAGATTTTCTTTCTTATGTCAACTTTAAAAACGGACAGTCTCGGAAGTAGATTTTGCACTCAAAGAACGTTTACAGGATAAACTACACGAAACTAAGTATAGTGGATAGGTTGCAAAAGGTTTAAGATGGCATCAACTAATGCCTATTATTTTACAATATTCTCAATCAAACGCTCACTGCGTTTCACCACATATAAAGATTATCTTATATATAAAAATGGATTGCTGTTCGTTAGTCTCGCTAAAACTCGAGAAGAGGTGGACCGATTTGGTTAATTTTGGTTTTGAAATATTCGTGGCAGCCCAGGGAAGGTTTAAACGATGAGAAATTATGGAAAAATTGCATGGAAAATCGAAATAGCAACAATTTTATTTTCCCATACAAACTGTTCCTACCTATCAAACGTTTTATGGGTGCGTTCCGAAAATTCTTTTTCTATGTGTCGGAATCACTAATTCCCTAGAAATAATTTATATGGCAAAACAACGTTTGCTGGGTCAGCTAGTACTTTATAAATATTTTCAATAAATTTCCAATTAACCGTAAAGGCAAGACTTTCACCTATACAACTAGTTAAATAATTTAATGACAAACTACAACTATATAATCCTCTTGGGAGGATTGTATAGTTGTAGTTATTTTGTGAATTACGATCTACAAGTATGGGACTTATGCGTGGTTTCATAATCCCATTAGTATACGGTGAACAGAAAAGCCCATTAAGAAGAAAGATCTTTCAGCTCTCAGGATAACTTTAAATGTATGTGAATGAATTCATTTGTCGCAGTCGCCATAGCGAATTAATGTGCCTCTTTTACAAAATAACCATCAGGAGCTCATGTCCCAGTCCCGCTTCATGATTGCAAAATAAAAAGACATTTTTTTCGCTCTTATTTAAATTAAACAGATCACAAGAAAGGCAGCAGCCCTAATGTTTAAGCAATGTTAGAAACGTATCGAAATTATTTATTTGCACTCGTTTGGTTACGAAATAGAGCACTATTTCGCCCCAATTTTATTGGAGTATTCCGCTTGTATAAAGACCGTTTATGTTGTATCCATTATTGTCTTTCAAGAAAGGAAGTACATTCTTTGTTGCTGTAATGATCAAACTTAAGCCTAATATTTAAAAGCATGATTGACTGACGTTTTTAGGAATGAAATTAATGTTTCCCAAATCTTGATGTAAATACAAAGTCCTTAAAAATCATGGAATATTTTACATAAAATTGGCCAGTTCTTAAAAGGCATTGACTCGAGTCAGGTTCGTGTTCGACTTTTGTAAATTGGTCAAGTATTTTCACAGACAAATATTAAATCGTATTTTTTACAAAACATATGATTGGCGGGCAAACTTTCGTATAGGTTGTATTGGAATGTGTAGGTAAAGTTACAGTCTATATATATCCCTTTGCTGGACACAAGCCTCTTCTGTACATCCACCACGCGACTCCACTGCGGATTTTCAGACTTCACATATCTTCGAAATATTTTTTGTTATCATTTTCAGGTATCACGATGTTTTCCCTCATAGCTGAGCACGTGATGAAAGTAAAAAAAGTAAAATATCTGCCTATACATGTCCCACAGCTGGGCAAGGGCCTCCTGTGTTCAGAGGGTATCAGGGCATAGTCCACCACGCGGCTCCACTGCGGATTGGCGGACTTCACATATCTTCGAAATATTTTTTTGTTGATTATCTGCTACTGTTACGTATGATTTATGTATTACTATAATTATTACTTCAATTGATGAATTCTTACATAGCATCATAGAAAAATTGAGTAGCGACTATTTCTTATTCGTGGATAGAAAGAAGTATCTGGATGCTTCAGGAGGTGAACCATCCAGATACTTCAATTATTTTTTTATTAAGACTGTAATTCCAACGAGAATTAATGATAAATCTGATGAGGGATAATAATAATTATACTGCCGACGAATCGAACTTAGTACAGACTAGGTAGAAACAAGCGCCTGGGTAATGTTTTATATTTATCCAATTATATTTACTACAGTGTAAAACTGAATTATTTGTTTATCGATTTCATTACATTGTACCAAGGGTAATGATTACCTCAAACATTTGTTATTATCATTAATTTTACATAGAGATACGTCGGTGATGCCGCTGGCGAGAGCTAGTCATATTATCGAATAAGTAGTTCAATGATAGTTTTCAGTGAAACGCTCTAGTGAATACATAAAAACTCTCACGCTCCCAAAAACGTTTCAACTCAACACAGGAAACACCGATTTAATGCACTTATAATCGATCGCATGAAAATCACACATGATTACGAATTGTGCCCACTGCAACCTACAACCTTCCCTTTGAAGCTACATAGCCCCCTCGAAACAACAGCCCTAACGTAGTTAACGGTCGACGAGGAGCAAATAGTATGGTTTTGCTCGGTTGCCAATGTAAAAAACGTATCTCTTTCTAATCGTTCCCTCGATGCTGAGGATCCTGACCACGTACAATATATCGCCAGCCACTGCTGCCCAGTTTACATCATCAGTCCATCTTGCAGGCATATAAAAAACATATATTCACACATATTAGCATTGGCGTGCATCGGCGATTTGCCAACGTGTTCGCGCGATAGAGATGAGGCGGTGGCCACCAACCTCCTTCTGGGAGCAGGTCTTCGGCCAGAACTTGAGCAGGCCGCGCACCACGGGCTCGGTGAGCGTGGCGTCCTTCTCCAGGAACTGCACCACGCAGTAGGCCAGCTGCGCGTGGTACAGCGAGAGGCACTTCACCTTGTGCAGCGGCAGCAGCACCTTCACCAGGAACTGCTTGTGCTCGCTCTTCAGCGGCAGGGCGAAGCCGTTGATTATGCTGGAATGGGACAAACGTTTAGTGTTCCGTACGATGATGTCAGACGGCGTTCAGAGATTGTTCCGCTTTACATTTTATGACATATATAATGTGAATGTGACAGGTGATATAGAACGTATGATACGGAAAGAGATGGCAATCTATAGAATTGAAATGTAATTACACCAATTGGTGTGATTTGCTTAGTCTTTGATGCACTAGTGTCGTATATATGAGGTGGCCTATTAGTATATCATTGGTTCCGTATATTTCGTGTTTTTGTTTGTAAAAATACAAATTATTATTATGTTCGCACAAATGCAAATAAAGTATTATTATGTTCGCACCAAACTCGTATGTGTATGTAAATGGGACCTGCGACTTTTGTGTGACCACCGTCGAGTTTATGGTAAATTGTGATATCGTTCTATGAAGATGTAACATAAACACACCGAGTTTTTTCTGCGAAACATTTTGTGACAATCTGTATATTTTAAATCTGTACAGATTAAAAAAAAGATTTTGACTACGCCGCAATAGATAGGGAAATATATTACTCTCCTGCCCGCATATGCAAGGTAGCCATTCCGCTACCTTGGGCAGACTTGAATTTGTTCATAACTAACATTTACATTAAAGCTTTTCACTGCAGTTCCTGATTAATATTTAACCAGATTACGATATAAACGTACACTAATTTAGGGCAGTAAAATGTCAGATTTCAAATCATATGCAAGACCTCTATATCTTTAAAATTCACCCTATCTTAAAAGCGGTGAAGGTGGAAATATTATATTTTCTTCTATACTCGTAAAATATTCACAGTCTTAATTCTGTGGTACGGCCACGCAAGTCTGCGCTGTTGCAGGAATGGGCAGATCCGTCTCGGTAAATACCAAGACCTCACAGAACATCGGCGTGAAGCGGAAGTATTATACATCTGTCTTTCGTCTGGTGAGTGAGATAGCCAGGACTCACTTTATTTTAGGGTGGCAAAGTATCTACAACTCAAGGGGGTTGCAAATGTCAATGGGTGGCGGTTTTCACTTAACGTCTGGTGAACCGCCAGTTCGCTTGCCACCTTCTAATATAAAAATAAATATTTACATTTGATTCTCTAGAAGAAAATTATTAAAAAGCTAATCTATGGTCTAAAAATCAAAATCAAAAATATATTTATTCAAATAGACGCTTGCGCGCTTTTAAGAATCGTCAAATTTTGCATCAAAAATTATGTGTATAGGTTCGTAAGGTACCACTAAATTAGTACATCATAGCTGTGGCACTTTGATAAAAAGAAATAATTGAATCATAGGCTTTCAATATAATAAAAATCAGCTCATAGATAATACTTTATAATAATTAAAACTTTAATGTACGATAAAATATTTGAAATTATTATATAAAAATTATCATTTGTGACACTAACCTCCCCAAAATTTCCAACAGCTCTCCGACACCGTTGAAATGCTCGGTCTCATACACAAACCGTAGGAAAATGTTGTTGATCTGTTTCCGTATGAAGGCACGTAGTCCCAAGAATTTCCCATAAATGCGATGGAGCACGGTTTTCAGAAAGTCTCGCTCGCGTGGATCTTCGGAGTCAAATAAATCTAAAAGCTATAACAATCATAATTCATTAGGCACTATGTGTAAGTATACAGAGAATGTTAAGTTGGAAGATGAATGCCCATGAATAATTTGGACGAATACCGAATATCGGCTCCATAATTAATTATACAATAGAAAATTTCACACATACACGTTAGTTTTAGTGTTATGAAATCTTACGTACAATATCCAAAGAGGTAGCAGTTTTAGTGGATGTTTTTTTATTTTATTTTAATACTGATATGAAACTGAGCCTTATCATAAAAACTTCAAATCTGACTCGCAGTTTTAAACGAAATATAAATAAAGCAAATTTCATTGCACTAATCCAAAACTGACCTATATACCTAGATATCACACTTGCCCTTATAACTTTTCACTTCGCGTGAATGAATTCGAATTTAACAAGATTTGACTTACAACTCTCGATTGACACCGGACATAGAAATTACCTATATAAAAAAGCGAAAGCGGGCTAGTTTAAAAAGTATTTAATTTGCGAAATATACTTGGCAAAGAAAACAACGTTTCAGAGAGATTATACAATATAAGATAAACTTTAGAGAACACTCGTAACTCGAAATAATCCATGGCATATAAATTGTAAAAACTAAAACTGAATACGGACTACCGAAATATCTCGTATTTCTGACAAATCCATTGAATTCGTCGATATACCAAAATAAAACACGTATTTTAGAATTGTGGTAAGGCCACGCAGCAGTCAGTATTCGCTGTTGCACGAATGGGCAGGTCCGTCCGGGGAAGTATGGGCAGTAAGGCTACCCATTTGTAACCCAGCGGGTGTTGCAAATGTCCATGGGCGGAGGTTATCACTTAACACATCGGATGAACCACCAGCTGACTTACCATCTTCTTACATAAAAAGCATGGATAATTTATTTTCTCAATAGGGCGGGCATTGGACGGCGATATTTTAATAGGGTATGAAATGAGTCACTCTCATTGTATCGCCCACTCCTAATTACAGAAAGTTCTTAAATTCCCTCTTTCGCTTCTTACAGTATGCTATGATATTTGAGTGAGAATGAGATGTTTTGTACTTGTTAGTCTATTTAAATGCAGGCTCAATCAAATTGTACAAATTAATAGCATAATCTATATCTAATTTCAAATTTACCAAGTGGTCCAAACGCATCCCTAGCGAGTTAAAATTATGTTGGGCGTGCGCGAATATCGTGACAGAATTATTTATGTCAGGGGTGACCAACTTTTACGTGCATACCTATACCATTTTGCTTCAGTGTCTAGATCGTCTTTTACGAGGAGATTTGTGTATATGTATACAGGGTGTTTTAAATACGGTGTGTAGTTCGCGTGACTAGTCAATAATATAAATCCTTATGCTGTACCTGCAACACAAACTTCTGGTCAATGACCTTCTTGCCAATGACTGGCTGGAAGTCGGTCGACTCAAGGAAACGGAGGAAGAACTCGTAGACCAGCTGGAGATGAGGCCACGACGCCTCCAAGGTCGGGTCGTCCTCTTCAGGGTCGAAGTCAGGATTTTCACTCGGCGGTAGAGTGCGGAACAGGTTGGCCGATATCTATAGTAAACAATCTCATTAGATTTCAGTTCATTCTATTTGAAAGCAAACGGTCGTGTGGTAGGTTCGCACGTAAAAAACCGTGTCAGAAAAGGAAAAGAAAGGATTTAGCTCGTAACGGTCTAAACGAGAATTTTTTATAAAGTTGTTGTCATGTTTGTTGACATGACCACCTTTTAAGAGTTCCAAATAGAACATATAGCTTTTGTAAAAAATGTATACATTACATTTTTAAATATCTGAACTTGAATAGCATTATTATCGAAATACGTTAAGAAATCGATGTTTTTTCTTATTGTTAGAAAAATGAATAAACCAATGCAAATTGCTCTCAAAGGGCTGCCCTTCAATTAATCGCTCTTTAATTAATTAATACTAGTTTAAAACAGTGCTCGTATGTTAAACAGCGTTCTCGCTATGTCCTTACCTTTAACACAAAGTGTAAGGTGTAATAAATTTTAATATTATCTAAGTTTCGCGTAAACCGAAAAAAATATGTCTAGTAAATTATACGAGCCGTCAACTACTATTTAAATTTACTTGCACGATGACTTTTTGCACTTGAGTTCATGTATGGAAATTGAATCACTACATTCGGGACAATGGCTCAATAAAAAGATAAATTCAACTTTAGATTCAGACACGAGAAATCCTAACCGTCATCAATTTAACGTAATTGGCATTTACGTTGGTGCAATTCTATACTATATTAGGTACATTGAGTATAAAAATATTAATGTCAATCATTTTGTGCCCCATATTTGTTTACTTATTTGTTTAATGTAATATCAATTTCAAAATTTTACTAAAACAACGTTTAGGCATTATAGTAACTAATACTGATCTTTTAAAGAAGACTATTAACTAGACTTGCAACAAATATTCTGCTATTATTCGATGTTTGGCCTACACGTCCTCGGCATCTCCTTTTTGGCCCAATACCGATTATGTAGGTACTATTAGGAAGAATATTAAATGAAGTACTTTGTTGTACACAATTAATTGTGTAAAATGCAAATATAATTTTTTTTATTAAGATAATAATGATTTAAAAAAAAATTTTAAAAAATTTCTTTATTTCTCACACTCGTATATTTTTTTTGTATTATTGGTCGTTTTAGAGGTTATACGCGATTATTATTACATACTTTACGCACTTTTACTTTCAAACTAATCAAAATATAGAAAATACGACACAATTGTACTTTCATATTTACTAATTTAGTCAAAACACGTAGAGCGGCGAAAAGTAAATTAGATTGAAAAAAAGTAGAAAGAATCACGTCGATACAAGATTTTACCGCGAGCACTGGCCGATATTTGGCTAATATTCGACGATTTGACGGCAGTTGGTCGAATATACTATTTGTTGCAAATCTACTATTAACAATAAACTAAGACTAAACTTAGCGATTAGGTATTAACCAGTGACAAAAAGTGCAACTGTCATTATTCTTAAAACTAATTTTGTTCTGTTCACTACCAGTCATATTTTGTTGTCACATTACAACTTCAATGGAAAGAAATGTAGTGGAAAAATATGCTTTGCTATACATTGACACTTAATATCATATTATATTATGTGTATGAACAGTTATAGCTCAGTGGTTAAAGTACACATGACCATAATATCCTCATACACTAGGTTAAAATAATTTTTTATAATCTATTTTAATATTAGCTTATGCAACCAATACATGATATGGGGCACATATCAAATGGTATTACATTATACACTTAAGATGAATAGATAAAGAGTTATTAATTAAATATGAAAATCTTACTCTCTTCTTATCTCACCTTTATTAAAACAAAACTATTTTCCACATAAAATCATGTAAAATCTGATTTAAAAAGATAATAATACATTGGTTTTCATAACAGGGGAATATTTTGACATAATCCTTACTCTGCATTCAAGCAAAGAACTATAAAAAGGGCTATGTGACAACTTTACATAAATGGACTTTATAAATAATGTATGTGAATAGTAATGGATCGGCAACTGGTTACCTGAATTGCACAAATATCCCCATCGCACCAAAACCACCTTTCACATCATTATTAGGAATCAGAAGCAAAGCATTTTTTTGTATTTTTTTGGCATGTAGGATTTCTATTTAAACATAAATAGAAAACCTACATTTTGATACAATACTTTTAGTCAACCACCAATATATATGATTATGCCATTTTAAAATATTTTTTTACTGAGCTACAACAAAAGTTTGTAAATGTAATTTTTTAAATTTATAAATAGTTAATTCTTATTTCGAAAGATTGAAAAAAACTTGGCTTACACCACCACCAGGATGGGCTGAGGAATGTTAATTTATTTTTATAAGAAAAAAAAGTTTTAATCTGACATTATATTTAATTATGATATTGTATATTGTATTTGATAAAATATAGCACAAATTAAATAAATAATATATTGTATTATATATTATTATATTATATTTACTTATCTGTATATGTATATAATTCTATTGTACATGTGTATGTCACTGAACACCTAAACGGCTGGACCGATTTTAATGAAATTTTTTGTGTATGTTCAGGTGGGTTCGAGATTGTTTTAGATTCACAGAATTATTAAAAAAAAGTTTGAAATTTTTCGACTTTAAGATGTGTGTACAGGACAATGTCTGTCGCTATTTATATTAAATAATATAATTAATTATAATTTATATATGCTTTGAAACACTCATTTTGATACCATAAATATATAAATTTATCCCCATTAAATTATTTATATTTCCAGTTCACGTCTATCTACAGCGTGTCTTTACAATCGCGACAATAAATGAACACACATATAGGGGATAACTTTTTAAAATTAAACATTTACATTTTTTAAACATCAATATTTACAGAGTTATGAAATTTTCCAAACAAAGAATTTTAGAACACCCTTATGTATAAAACTGAAACTTAAAGTTCATTTTTAAAGGTCACAAAGCATATGAATGGGTTGAATGAATTTAAAAGAGACAAAACATACTGTTAGAAGGAGGGGCTTGTAATGCGACGCTGTGGCGCGAGTTGTACTTTTTTACTTAATTAGTTTGTTTGAAAAATATTTTTTTTAAATTATGGATTTTGTTTAACGTTAATATTTTTTTATGATTATTGGCAAGTAGCGTTAGACGCGTATACATTTATTGTCGCGATGGTAACGACACACTGTATAAGATAACAAGATAACTTTACCATTTTAATGATCTCTGGATACACTGGCTCTGTAAGCACTCCACGACCAGCAGTGATGTACTCTACAAGCTCATTGAGTGCAGCACGCTTAATCTCCTTGCCCTTGAGGTCGGCTACAGGATCCATGAAGTCAAATGCAACACAGCATTGGCGGAGTTTACGAATAAATAGTTCCTCTTGCTCATTGCTTGGCACATCTGAAATTTAGGTTAAAAATACTGAAGCTGCTTGTGATATCATAAGTACAATAAGCATATATCATAGTCAGTAGTACAATGCTAAAATCAAATTTTGCACATATTTGTATTTATATTAAAGCATTACTAACAGGGTAACTATTCAGTAGATTCAATTAAATAATAAAATTACAAGAACATCGGTTAATCAATAAACTATTATATAAAATTGAAAATGTAATGGTAAATGGTTGGTACATACAATGTTAAAAACAGTAATGCTATTAAAACTAACCTAAAATTGTAATAAAAAATATTGGTTAAAATAAATAAGATTTCTTTTTTACCAGTAAATATCAATTTTTAATAAATGCTCACAGCATTAACTAAAAATGGATAATTATTAAAAATGTATTATGTATGGTATCTATGCAGATTTTTTTAATTAAATATGTGAAAGATATATTACTTTAAATTAGTGTAAAAATTTATATATTAACCTATTCAAATTTCATTTTCAAAATTAGTTGATAATTCAAACCATAATTAACGAAAATCTAATAAGTCCAGAAATTGATAATTCTAATTGCATTTTTAAATGGTAATTGTTTATAATAAGAATTATAAACAATGTTGATAAAAACAAGAGTATAGCAAAGTGAAGCCAGTACACACCTTTCAGAAGTGGCAGCGCCTGTAGTTCCACGTCCTGCGTGTTGCGGTAGCGCGAGGAACCTTGCGATTTCTTGGTTTTTTTCTTTAACGAACGCTTGGCGAACGGATCAATCCTATCCACAAACGTTCCCGAAGACATTTTGCTTATATAAAAGTGTCCCAAATGACAATAGTTCTAGAGCGATCAATGCAAAGCTTGTTTTGATTCGGATAGTGTCATGATCCGATCCAGTTGACGAGATGAACGCGCACTACTTGTAAAGTCGCAACAAAATATTACAGCCTAAACAAACATTCCTTCGTCACACATGACGGTAATGGAGTGGTCACACTCAGGCCATTCTTTATACACTTAAGATTCCACAACAGTTACGTAATTTTAAAACGTCTTTATCACCAAAATGACACAAAAATAAATTGGAACAATTCCATTCACAAAATCAGATTTATTTTCTGAGGCGTGTCACGAATACCAAAAGGCAGAAGTCACATATACATACAAGCCTCGTGTAATATCAGCCGGTCAGTCGATGACAATATAATTTCCCGACAATAATGGTCAAAATAGTTGGCTTTTTCAATCTTATAACACACAAAATGCCGAAACAAAAGTATTATTGTCCTTCTCAGATGTTATTGGAAATTAAATCGACGATGACACAGAGCAAATTTTCAACACCAAAAATCTATCACCGTATTCTCGCCATCGCTCACCATCCGTTTCGACACACACAGTGAAACTAGATGCATTTTTTAGCTAAACACGATATTACTTGGATGTATTGCACTTCTACGAGAAAAAATAGATACTTTTGTGACTTTTTCCGCTTTGATAAACGATTAATTTACAAACTATCTAGCTAAAAGACTATCATCACTGGTTTTGCAGCGAAAACGCCAGCACTCAAAAGTACCTATTTCTGAAAATAGATGGAGATATAAAAATGTTCCAATAGACAGTTGAGCTACTTTTAAAACAATTAAATTATTAATAAGTAAAGTCCTCAAAAATAGTATTGTAAAATTACTTTTAAATTTTTTTTTCTTAAGAACTATATACAGCATTTAAAACAAATAAAGGAATCTTAAAAGAACTTATTGCGCAAAGTAGAAACGGAAGACGTATTCTCAATAGGAATTTAAAGCAGCGTTCAAGAAGGTTTCAGAATACAGATAATCTTTGTTCTTTGAACATTGCTTGTACTGCACAATATTTAATAAAAATATTACATAAATTTTAAAAATAACAAGTAATAATACTTAAACTATGTACTTAGTTAATTTTTAAAATTTTCGTTTTCATAGAACACTTTTTTTTTTATTTATACCCAGCAGCATTATTCCGTCATGATAAATAAAATGATTACATTACATTGCTTTGATTCAATTTTGTGTTTTTGTCAATCTCTTAACTATTTCATGTAATATTATGTACGATCAAGGATTTCTAACAAATGTATCAAGGAAGTTATACAAAAATTGTAAGTAGTGTAGTCAATAAAAAATTGATCTCGTATTTAAAAAATCTAAAAACTTACAACAGAATAAAACCAAAACTTATATTTGTTTAAACCTGGTTTTGTATTTCCTTCTTTCAAAATTGTTCTTCATTGATTTGTTCTTATTCCAATATTATTATTTTTTTGGCTTCACTTTTTAATATTTAGTTGGGGCACTCTGTATCTATATTTATTAATATTATTTTAGTATAAATTCTGCATCTGTGCAATCAGAGTACCTACGTTGAGAAAGTAGCTTTCTAAATTTCCTAGAACTTTGACCGTGTACAAAATATTCATTAAAGTGATTTGTTATCGGCAAAATAATATTAACTATACTATTTTGTTCCCTGTGCTGTGATATACATCTAACGGCCGCCTCTTAGTGGAAGACTCATTAGAAAGCAACATGGAAGCACTGACAGTTCCGCCATGAATGCAAAATAAATAGAAATTGTGAAGGTTCATAACTGAATTATTTTTGAAGTTTATATGTATATACGTCTTGTGTTCTTATGACTGTTATTAAATAATAACGGTAGCATTTATTGTCTTAATATGTTTCAAGTTGGAATCTCAGAAAATGAATCCTACGTACAGGAGGAATATGTGTAGGATGGATGCAAAATTTTGGACCTGTTCAAGCGTCCAAAGTAACCAGTCAATTATGAATTTTTCTTTTATAAATTTTAAAACTGTTATTAGGTTAGGTAACTGAGGTTCAGTCAGATTTACTCTGCATTTACGAAAAGAAAAATCTGAATGTTGTAATTTGCATATATGTACTAAAATTTAATTTATTATTGCCTAAAATGTTCAATAGTATGACAAGAGTATAAACGTATATCTGTTACTTATTTTAATAGTCATAATATTTTGCTGTACTTTACACAATTATTTAGTTTCTATGCAGAACCAGTGTTTGTAGGTAATTTGTAAATATAATACCGCAACTGTAGTCAAAATAGTTGCTAAGAAAATGATACATACCTATTATGTAATTGAGTTAGTATTTTATTGATTACTTTAATATTTTGTTGGTTACTACAAAGTTAAATGTGAAAATATGTGCATCATCAATAAATATTAGTATATTCACTTTTAGCTTTTAATTATTTTAGTAATTACATTAGAAAAAAACACTTTGTTAATGATGCTACAAATAATGTTCTAGGTTTTCAATATTTTGAAATGTTTTATTTACTTTGAGCTATACTTACATATTTTTTGTATCCCATGAATGGTTAGACACTTGAAATTTTCACAGATGATGTATTTCTGTCAGGTCCCATATAACAGACATGATCTTTTTGCCATGTTTATAGATAATGGTATGGAACCCTTTGTGCACAAGTTAATTTATTTCAGAAATTAGTAGAATTAGCTTGTATCAAACAAGCTAATTTCTTTAGTAGTGGTGTGGCAAGTCAGTGCATTAGATATTGCCTGCAGTTCTTGGAGCTGGAGGTTGTGGGTTTGATTCACACATAGGATTACTATTTGTGACCCACAAATAATTGTCTCTGATCTGACTGTTTGTTCCTAAGGTGGGTTGATGACAGGCAGGCAGCCGTAAAAAACCTAGAAAAAAAAACCCATATAGTGTACCAACCTCACCTAGGAACAGGTAGAGCCTAGAGAGAATGGCAAGAGGTGTAGTAGCCCTTTAAAAGTTTCCGAAGACGTTTAAAAAAATAAGTATCAAGATTTAAAGAAAAGAAACAAATTACCTATTTAATATATTTGATAAAGTTTAGTTAACAATTTTAATCAATTTATTAATAGTAGAGAAATATGGTTTGTTTATGAAGTGTAATATTTTTTCTTATTCCAGTTGCTGAAAGTAACTCAAGATCAGTGAGAAGCTTCACAATGTTGAGAGGTGGGCGTGGCGGCCGTCACAGTCCGGAACTGTATCCCCACACATTGAAGTGCTCCAACGCGAGTGATACCAGCTCTGCATATAGTGGCAGTGACACCATGACTTCAGTCCACAGCTCTTTAGACATGGATATGGAGGTGGATTTATCAGGTCTCCTTGAATCCATAGTGGATTCAGATGAGGAAGAAGATTTGGAGGAGAGTATGGATAGTCTCACTGTACGAGATGCTGTAAGAGATTGCCTTGAAAAAGACCCAAGTGACAGGAGTGATGAAGATATTGAAATTCTTCTGGAGTTTACTCAACACTTAAAAGCCTTCACAAATATGACACTTACAGTTCGGAAAGCACTTTGTGCTGTAATGGTTTTTGCAGTAGTAGAAAAAGCTGGAACAGTGGTTATGAATGATGGTGAAGAACATGATTCATGGTCAGTGCTTATTAATGGGCATGTTGGTATTGAACATCAAAATGGAGAAATTGAATATCTCAATGTTGGTGATAGTTTTGGTATGGCAGAAGCTACTCTCGAAAAATTGTATCATAGAGGTGTAATGACCACAAGATGTGATGACTGTCAGTTTGTTTGTATCACACAAACTGATTATTATCGAATACTCCATCAAGGCGAGGAAAATATAAGGAGGCATGAGAATGAGAATGGAGTTGTAGTTTTGGTTACAGAATATAGAGGACTAGCAGGAGACTCAGGTCATCAACAAGGACATGTGGTAATAAGAGGGACTCCAGAGCAATTAATGCTTCAGCTAATAGAAGATAATTCACGGGACTCTACATATGTCGAGGATTTCCTTTTGACTCATAGGACATTTATTGAAAGTCCTCTAGTAGTTGCTAAACAGTTGCTTGCCTGGTTCTCTGAACCATCTGATCGTGATAAAGTTACGAGAGTTGTGCTACTTTGGGTCAATAATCACTTCACGGATTTCGAAACTGATCCAAATATGATGGAGTTTCTTGAAAATTTTGAAACAGCTTTAGAACGCGAAAAAATGGAGAGCCAATTGAGATTACTTAATATAGCATGTTCTGCTAAAGCGCGAACACGAAGTGTGACTTTATCCCGATCCTCGAGAGATGAACCTTTAAACTTCACAATACTTGGTGGCTATGAGAGGGGTTATGGAATATTTATATTAAAAGTCGAAAGGCACTCCAAAGCCGAAGATGTCGGTTTAAAGAGAGGGGATCAAGTTTTAGAAGTAAATGGCCAGTCATTCCAACATGTGAGCAATGCAAAAGCTATGGAAATAATTACGGGCTCCACTCATTTGAGCATAACAGTCAAAAGTAACTTATTAGCATTCAAACAAATGCTTTTAATGCCTGAAAATTCGCCAAGGCAAAGAGGCTGCACTAATATGGTGCGTTGGCAAACTGACCCTAGAGCGCGATTGTCTACAGCCGAGTTGTTGAGCGATGATCCAATAACGCTCACTCCTCACTTTCAATCTCCAACTAAGAAACCTCAACCTCTAAGTGTTAAGAAAGAACCACAAAAAGGCTTTATGACCCTCGGTCCGAAAAGACTGCACAAAGCTTTGATGAAAATAAACTTTCTGCCAAAAAATACCATCAATGATGGAATACACACAGACGACAGTATTTTGTCCAATTCGGAATCATTAAACAAAGCTAACACTAGTACCTCCTTTTATAATTCTCACAGTAATCCTGATTTGATCTCAATATGTTACGACGAATATCAATCGTCGAATTATCCTGAACATGTGCTCAAGGTTTACAGAGCAGATCAAACTTGTAAATATCTTTTGGTTCACAAGGAAACAACGGCCAGGGAAGTAGTAATGCTGACGCTACGTGAATTCGGCATAAACGATCCCAGTTCTAATTTTTCGTTGTGTGAAGTGTCCGTTGCACAGGGCGGCATTATAAAACAGCACCGTTTACCCGACCAGTTACAGAACCTCGCAGAAAGAATTGGGCTCAGTTCCAGATATTACTTAAAAACCAACGGCCTCAGTGAAACCTTAGTACCTGATGAAATGGCACCCGAACTCCTTCGTGAAAGCGTTGTGCATTTCTTGCAATTGAATGCTGTCGAAGTCGCCGTTCAGTTGACTTTACAAGATTTTTGTATATTCCGACAGATTGAAAGTACTGAGTATGTTGATGATTTATTTGAGTTGAAAAGCAGATACGGGACGCCTATGCTGTCGCAATTCGCCGGACTCGTCAATAAGGAAATGTTTTGGGTTGTCACAGAAGTCGTCAATGAGCAGAACCTTGTACGCCGTTCTAAAATCATAAAACAGTTTATTAAAGTCGCTCGTCATTGTAAGGAATGCAAAAACTTCAATTCAATGTTTGCTATAATCTCGGGATTGGGTCACGGAGCCGTATCTAGATTACGAATGACGTGGGAAAAATTACCAACGAAGTATATAAAACTATTCTCAGATTTACAAATGCTGATGGATCCTTCTAGAAACATGTCAAAGTACAGACAATTAGTGACAACAGAGCAAGGTCGATCGCCAGTTATACCATTCTACCCAGTTGTCAGAAAAGATCTCACATTCATTCACCTTGGAAATGATACCAAAGTGGAAGGTATGGTCAACTTTGAAAAACTCAGAATGATTGCTAAAGAAGTAAGAACTCTTACAAACATGTGTAGCTCTCCATATGATCTGTTGACATTATTAGAATTAGGAAAGCAACCACCTTCTAACGCAATGGTTGCTCTAAACCAGCTAACAACGGGCGTGCAACAAGGTCAAGTGACGGTGAAAAGAAGGAAAAAGTCTTCGAACGTGCCGAATCCGAAAAAGATGTTTGAGGAGGCGCAAATGGTTAGGCGTGTCAAGGCGTACTTGAATCGTATGCACGTGGAAACGGACGAGGAGCGCCTCCACGCGCTTTCCCTGGAATGCGAGGGCTCCGGGCCGGCCCCGGTGATGCCCCGCCGGCGACACCCGTCGCCATCGCTCTCGACCACCAGCAGCGCGTCGTCGGCGAGCGAGAGCAAGAAAAGTTTCGCGGGCAACAAATTCGGAGCGGCGTCCCCGCAGGCGGTGCGCAAACTACTGGCTCTGTCGGAGCCCGCCAAGACCAGGCCGCACCAGCCGAGGCCGCCGCCGCCGGGCCCGTCGCCGTGCTCGCACCGCCGCGACGGCCAAGCGCCCGGCATTTGCTGCGCGCGGGCGGCGCACGAGAGGTCGCACTCGGACACGCCCACGCCGCTGCCGGTAGATCTGTCGGCGGAGAGCAGCAGCGTGACGTCACTGGTGAACTTGCCCCTCCGGAAGACTGGCTCCGCCACGTCGAGCGACAGTGGGCACGGCTCGTGTACAACGGCCAACTGCGTCCGGCCCGTGCCGCCGCCGAGGATGCCGCAGGCGCCGTACACGCTGGCCGCCCAGGTGGCGCGACTGGAGCGCCTCAGCCGCGCCCACTCCCACGAGGGCGTGACCCGCCCCTACGACTACTACCACGACGCGCCAGACGACGAAGACGACGACCAACAAGTGTCGGCAGTTTGAACACTACTAAATACTCTAATTTAATGTCTATTTATAAAAAACACCGTTTTGTAATCTCACTTGACTAATAGAGAGCACGAGTTATGTAATTTCTTTTTCTTATAAAACATTAAAATTAAATCATGTATGTACTCTTTACAACTAAAGTTTAAAGACTGTATAATTTTATCTTAAGATCTTGTCCTAGTGTTACATAGTGTAAAACTTGCATTAAGCCATGCCTCTATTCTTATTATTAATTAATTATTATGTAACTTGACCCCACCATGTTCCAGTTATGACTAGATATGTTTGATGTGTACCAATGATAGGTGATTGATAATCCACCGTTGGTATGTCTACATTCCGTTGTTTGTATATTTTTTTTATAATTTTCATTATTTATAATATGCAACTTAGACCAAATAATAATTAATGTACCTTTTAATATTTACGATTCAATTTGATTTTAATAATTATTGTATGTTGGTGTAATCTTTTGGTAGCTTTGTGGACCAATAATGAGTTTCAATGTTATTTCTTATGGTAGCAGTTTAGTATCTGTTTATATCATGGTTTTAATTATTGTAATTGTAAATAATAAAACTATATTAATTATATTCAGACAATGTTTATTATCAAATTCACATGCAACTGCTTTCGTGAAAGATTGCATAAATAATGGTTTGCATGCTAACGCATCTTCATGTACGATATAATATAAAGCAGCAATTTTAAGCGAAAAGAAAAGTGTTAAACCGGAGAGCTAACATGTAACATTGAAACGAGTTTAGCTAAATTTAATAATTTCTACAGAGTAGGTACAGTTTTGTACGTATTAATAAATAATTTTGTAAGATTTATCGCTAGTCCAATCAACACTAGCAGATATTCTGTTGGACGGATAAGACTTCTTATGCCACATTGATACTAAACTTAGCCTAAAGATGACGCGGTGGCGCCGTTGTTAAGCTGTTGGCTTCGGAATCCGGGGTCATGGTTTCGATTCCCACATCGGACATGTGTTTGTGTGACCCGCAGATAATTGTTCCGGAAGAGGGTGTTTGCTCTCCAAGGGGTTGTCGGCCGGCGGCCGAGCATTTGGTGGAGCTATAAAAGAATCATTTACATAGATTTTTCATTTCATCATTTTCAAATTAGATTTGTTCATCTTTATTAACATGTGTTAACGGTGTTAATAAAAACAATGCATTCACGAAAACATCGCAATAAAAAGTTATACAATTAATCACGCAGCAATTACGAGCGCCCATACACTCGTCAATAAATAACAATGACAACACGAAGCGCTACGTAATGATTCTAAAACGACCAGGCACACGAGTATATCGCGTGTAGATCGCGAATCTGGGACCCCGCATTCGCTGTCGATCAATCTGAGATCTGAGCCATATGTCTGTATCTTGGTGCATTGTGTTATGTGTCGGACTGCGCGCGAAGAAATCGCGGCGGGTGGCGCCTTTTTTTTTTGGGCTTGATGAGTCCTTGGCCTTAGGGGCCTTTACAGTTTCGCCGGAATTGAGGTGGCCGGGCGCTCGAGGCGCCTAGCTGAACCCAAACGCGTTTAGCATTCCGTTTCGAGGGTGCCCGAAAGGGCCGGACCTTGGCTCGATCTCTAGATCTAATATTACTACCACTTCGGAAAGAGTTGGCGCTGGGAGAAGTGGCGGAAGAAACTCCAGCAACGCTTCTATCATTGACGGGGGAGAACCAGCCAGGTACGTGGCGGAACCTAGTATATGTTTGCCGCGCTCGCCGGTGTGTGCGGTGTGTATTGGTATGCTTACGTAGTTTTTCAATTCTTTCGATGGCGGTAGTCGTCTCATGGAAGTCGAGAACGTGTCGCGAACTGCGGTAATCGGGTTGGGGTGCGCGGCGGCGGATTCGAAGTATCGGCGCGACGCCGACTTCAGGAATTGAGCGATAGTGGGCAACTCTAGATGGACATGTAGGTCGATATTGCGCATGAACCAAGGTGCTCCCGAAGCTCTGCGCAAGAATCGATTCTGAATGACCTGAAGCCGGTGTATTTGCTTCGGAGCAATGTGCGCGACATTGTATAGGGTCAACTTGTTCCGAAGGGACATTTTTGACGTTTTGTTGAGGAGCGGGTAGAGGCCACCGAGTACGAAGGCCGTCTGGTTCCTGACCTGAGTCACGTGCTGGGTAAATTTAAGTTGGGAGTCGAGGACGATACCTAAGAGTTTTGGCCATAGGACGACAATAATACTTGTAGGAGAGAGGCTATCGTTATCTAATGATTGAACAAAACGGTACATACCTATTTGGCCTAATTTTAAATTTAAAAAATTGTTAATATTCTTCAAGTTCACGTAAAAATAATGGATTTCCTTTTCCCAGCATATAATTTATTAATTACACTCATATTGAAATTAAAAAAATGCGTGGGAAATACCTTTATAAACCCCCGCCGCCTGGTGGGTGGGCAGCAGGGGTAAGTGGGAGTTCCCGAGGAATACGGTGGTAAACCCACGTTGCATCGTCGCTTTAGCCGGGGACACGGGAACAAGAAGACGCCATCTTCCGATAACCCGATACGACACCCGGTTCAGCCACATAGTGGCTTGTCGATGTAATAGATACGACATCCCCTTAAGCCCTCTGCCCGGCAGTAGTTAATCAATGATACCTCGGGGCTCGCTATCAGGCGGGAAGGTTCCGTGCGTAGGCTAGCCCCCTGTGCCCTGATCTTCGGTGGCAAATTTCCAGGGAGCAAGGACGGTGCCCCACGACCTTTCGCTATCCTCCTTAGATAGAACCACGGCGGGCAGCGAGAGATCGCAACCTACGATAGCCCTCAGCTCTCGGCACTGCTCTCGTAAGGCTGGAAACTTCTACAGTGTGTGTTGGGACATCACCTCGGCACATACGACCCAGTGGTGGTCTTGCAGTGCTCTTGGTTCCATCTCCGTCCTGTGGCACCGGTACCTCCCGAAACAACGATGTCCCGAGGGAACGTGCTTCACCCGTTAGGCAGGCCGTGATACCTGTCCACCCACCGACTGAGTACAGGATGTATAGCGTCTATAGTTCTTTAGCCGGCACTGAGGTGCTTCAGCCTCTGCTCCTACTTGCCGACAGGGAGTGAGCGCCATCTTTGTTTTGCGGCCCTTCAACTCCACCAAGGCCAATTTAGATCGAGACCGATATTTCTAAATTATTTAACAACTTTAATAAGTTGGCTTAGGAATTCGTTAAATTCAACTACCAACTTTTTAACTTTGTAAGCAGCAGGTTCTAATGTTGCCCAATTGGGCATGCTCGTCCGGGGAAAAACAACATAATACCGGCGTGAAGTGGAAATATTACACTTTGGCATTTCATCTGGTGAGTGACGTAGCCGGGGCCCAATTATTAAAAGGTTGTCAACGTTATCTTGGGTGTTGAGATATCCATTGGCGGCGGTGATCACATCAGGAGAACCACCTGCTTGCTTGACAGCTTTTCACATAAAAAACCGTCGTATACGTTTTTGCTGGTTGTGGCAGTGGAATTATCAAACTCTGAGTGATCGTTATCTTACTTTTTTCAAAACACAGACCGGACACGAAAACGGAAATAAATTTGGAAAAATTTTCTTTAAAATTATGGGTGTAGTTGTTACACAGATTTATGAAAGTGGAAATACAAATATGTAAAGATAAATTAGTTATGCCATTTAGAGTCAGTCCCTTCATACAGGATCTAACAGCATAAATGTTATGCAATCAAATAATTTTTCAAATAGAAAAATCAGTGAAGAATTCAATAAGTACAACATGTTTTATTTTAATTTATTACATGAACGATTCAGCCCATCACCTTTGTTCTTTGAATTGATCTAAGTAATCAATTTCTAATGGATGTAAATGAGGCGCAGGTATAACAAGACTATGTAAAGGTGGTCCAAGGTCGAGCTCTAACATTTTTTCTAAAGTCATAACAGCTATTTGTTGATCCGGTGCTCCAACTCTTGACAAACCCACAGCTAAAGTTTGCCTGGTAATACCTTAAAATGGAAAATAAAATCTTGTAGTGAAATAGAAATTTGGTTTTGAAAGTAATAAAAAAACTAGAAACAGTGTTTCTATATAAAAATTTTGCTTTTGTATGTTTGAGTCCACAAAGCTCAAGAACTATTTGATGGACTGACTTGATATTGGTTCACAACATAGTTATTGACAATTAGAACTGACTGTGTTTCTGTGTATTTTTTTATTTTGATATACCCAGTGTCACACTCACAGTAAATACGAATCTAACGAAACCTCTCAAGCTAAAATTCATGAAGCCGTTCAGGCTGCAGAGGGTGTCAAACAGTTACACATACAGGGTGGCTTTTTAAAAGGTGCCCAAATTCACACAGGAGGGTCAGACTCGGTAGTATAATCGTTTATTGAAATAGAAACAAATGTTTCCTTTTTTCGAAAAAATTGCCATTCCATTCCTTAGAAAACAGAACTTGTTGACAACGCGGCAGTCATTCATAAATGCGTCGTATACTTTTGAAACGAACTTGTGTGCGTGTCAGTTATAAATGATCGCGCGTAAAATAAATGAAAACGTTGCCCATAAATCACGTACTTTTTGAGATAATTTCCAATTACTGTTTTTAACTAATTACGAGTGATTTTAAATATTTATAATTTTTTAAGAACTTAATAAAAAAAATGGATACACTTAGAAAAGCCTCCCTGTACACATTCTCTCGAAAATCATAACACTCCTCCTGGCACAGTCGGGTAAAAAGGAGAGTGCTTATTTAGATTTTATTCTCCAGTTCCAATGGCAATGAAAAAAAAGACAACAAAGTGTGGACAGGTTCATCTAGTTAAATTTAAACTAATACATAAACATACACACATTGATACATCATCTTCAAATAAAATATCGTAGATATAATTAGTTTATAAGTTTTACATTGGCTAAGGCTTTTTATGTTAAAAAACTATTTATGGACAAAGCAAGGTTTGTCCAAATATTTTAATTTAAAGTGATGGCCCCTGGCAAGTTAGGAAATTATCAGATATGTTGAAGGCATGATGCCCAACACTGAGAATGGGGTTCTATTAGTATTTTTAGCAGACAGAAAAACCAGCCTACATTTTAATCATAGAATATTGTCATTTTAATATGAACTTTTTGCTTCTCTATTGTATAATTAAGCAAGAATGTTAAGTATTTACCTGTATTGATTTTTTTATCAATAATCTGAAGTAATTGATTTGCAGCATCTTTAACTGTCATGAATTTTGGATCCATATACTGGCGAACTTTTTTAGTTAGCGATTCCTCTGTGGGCTCCTTCACTTTGATATCTAAAGTTATTAAAAATTTGCATTTTTTAAAATAAAAACAAAAACACTCTTGTGAGCCCTATTTTAAAGTAATAGATACATTTTTGAAGTTATACTTCTTTTGGTGCATTTGGATAAAATTATTTCAGTAAAATTTTAAGATGCACATGCAGACTGAAAAGACATGAAGAAGTGGGTAGCAAAGTGACCAACTTCACGATATTGCCATGGCAACCAAGAAAAACTTTTATGACATTTACCTATAATTCAAACTTATTAAATTAATTATTGTATTATATTAAACCGTTATCAATTGCATTTAATCTTTTTTTACAAAGAAAGAGTACTGGGCACAGGGGATAAAATCTTTAGTTATTTTTCTTTTCTTAAACTAAAGAAGTATTACTTCTTACATGCATACATAAGCACACACATATATTATATAAAGGTAATTTAATGTTTAATTAAATCACTAATAATACATTTAATACATATAATACATTTACATAAATAAATGTATCATATGTTACAGTAATATTTCCTCAAAAAGTATTTTTTTTATATTTCAGTTTATGATGTACAAATTATTTACTATTGTTATTATTTGTCTGGTGGGTGAGATGGCTAGGGTCCACTTTATTATAAGGTGGCAACATATCAGCAACCCTACAGGTGTTCCAAATGTAAATGGTTATCACATAACAGCATGTGTACTGCTGGCTTGCTTGCCACCTATCACACAAAAAGCATAATTTAATTGCAGGCTTGAAGTTGCATTAGAATAAATTATGATTAAGGGAATAAAACTATGAACCTAATAAACACAAAGTGTGCAAATTCCTTGCAAAGTTCTCAACAATTTTCCCAAAAAAGCTATCTGGCTTCCATGTTTCCGTCCAGAAAGGTATTGACACTGTTTCTCCAAAACTGTACAATTGTAAACCACAGCAACTGACAGCATTAATTATTGAGGCATTGTGAATAATCTGAAAAATAAAATATTTACATAAAATCATTTTTAACTTAGTGCAAATATTATAAAGAAATTTTACGCTATTCTACCTGAAACTCAACACCAAACTGTTTAGCCCGAAGAAGCATATCTGTATGTGTAGTCGCCCCTAGAGGGTCCCCAACAACAAGCAGAGCAATATCCTTTACTTTGGCCTCTTTTAAAGTATCATCTATGTTGCTTTCACAAAGTTCACGGTCAGCTAATATTAAGGATCTTCCATAGTATTCCTCCTTAAACATAAATAAAGAGGTTAATTTAAATAGATTAATAACTTCCTAAAAAAGATTAAAACTTATGCTACAAATGTAGTAAAGAAAAATGAGAAAGAACTTTTTAATGCATGCTAATAAATATTTGTTAAGATAAGGAGCTTATTCAGTTAGAGAAAAGAACCCATGTGTTGAGAACCTATTACACGGTATTTTAGTGAAAATAAGACTTTAAAAACTTCCCTTATAAATGAAAAATATTTCATGTATGATTAAATAATAGTATGATGTTTGAGAGATTGTAAGTAGTGATATGTACAAATCATCATTAACATTGTAACTATTTTTATTGATGCATGTTATATACACACTACTAAAAAATATAACTGTATTTGTTATATACAGTTATATTTTTGTTTTATGTGAGAAAGTGGCAAACAAGCTGGTGGGTCACCTGATGTTTAGTGATAACCATCAGGCAGCCCATGGACATTTGCAATACCCTTAGGGTTGCTGATGTGTTGCCACCTCTTAATAATGTGGGCCCCGGCTACCTAACTCACCAGACGAAACGCAGAAGTGCCACGCTTCTACTTTACGCCAGTCTTCTGTGAAATCGTGGTACTAACCCGAACGAACCTGCCCATTCGTGTAACAGTTGTGTGGCTCTACCACCGTGATAAATCGTAAAATATGAAAAATTCAGTACTTCTAGACTAGTGCTCGATTGCTATGAATATACATGATATTTGATGAATATACAGAAATCATATTAGCCAAATAGTTTTATAATGTAAATAAATTTTACCAACACTTCCTTGCCTACACTAAGTATTGAAGTATAACTTTCAAGTAAAACTTTATCGCATTTTTTAATAATCTCTAACCCTTTTACAGTGATGTCTTTAGCATCACCTAAACCTAAGCCTATTAAGTAAAACATTAATCAAGCGGTAAATGTTTACAAAATATGAACTTAATTTAAATGTTATGACAGTTTCACCGGGTTTCTAGGTTAGGTTAGGAACCATAGAGTAAAGTATAGATAATTCATACATACTGGACTGGACGGATGTCTACAGGCTTAAAAAAAATTACCCTCAACTCTCTAGATTTCGTGAAGTAACTGGTAGCGTGCAACGCGGTGCTCCATATTATGATAAGAATCCCACATAACCATGTGTTTTCCCAGGTCAAAAAGTAAATGTTACAGATTTCCTCTCATCTACCACTAAAAAAGTGCATCTAAGTCTTAATAAAGACTGGATTTTTTTTTGGCGTAGGGCAAGTCAAAAATATAAAGTAACTTTGTATATTTGTCACAAAATGTCATTGTCAATGTTACGACAAAATATTAATTGGAGCTAGGTTAAAATAATTTAAGTTTATAACTTTTTAGACTTGTTCTTGCGATTATCGCATTTAGTCATTATGATATCACGAAAAGGACAGAAAGCTATTAATGAAGGAGTGGTTGGGAAATATGTAAAAAAAGACACTCCTCCAGATCTACCAAGTATGTTTGTACATATGAAGGCGTCGGTTTATTGTTTAATTCTACTTAGAAGTTGAATCTGCCGTATCCCTGAATTAATACTGAAGTAATTTCAATAAATATATTTATACTATTGTCTGCGGGAATGTTAAATTTTTTCAGTTATAAATGTGTGGACCACGGGCAACAATAGAAGACCTCGGAGCCAACCATTTGGAGCAAGCGATGGCGGTTCCCAGGGTCTAGAAAATAAGTTTGGTAAAGCTCAAACTATGAGCGGCCATGCAGGAAAATACACACCTAGTGAATCTGTGCCAAATTTAGCTCATAGGTATTTTTTTCTTCTCGCTCTAATCATTAATTTGTATATTGAAATGAGATGTCTATTTATTAGATTAACTTGAATTATTACAGATTTGCTAGTCTTTCAACAAGTGATGCTGCTAGTTCATCCAGTAATTATAATTCTCAATATCATTTGGACCTGAACATGGTATATTAAAATTTAATTATTTCCTTATCATATTATTATTGAAACAAATTATTTTACTTTTGTTTATGTTTTAGGCATCACACTCAACTCTTAATGAAGTGGATGATTCTTTTAGCAGGCAACCTAGCTACAGATATTACAGGCAGCAGCAACCTGAAGATCCTATTTATCAAAATCAGCAACAGGTTTATTGTTTTATTTATATTATAAGCTTTGCCATAGTTATATTGCAGTTTTGTAATTTTTAAAACGGAATTTAAGTAAAATGAACATTTTTATAAATTATATCTATAAATTATATTCTTTTCTCTTATACAGCCTGTTTTTACAATTGCGACAATAAATGAACACACATATAGAGATAACTTTTTAAAATTGTATTAAACATTTACATTCTTTAAACATCAATATTTACCGAGTTATTAAATTTTATAAAGCAAAGAATTTTAGAACATCCTTATGTATAAAACTGTAACGTAAAGTTCATTTGTAAAGGTCACAAAGCGTATGAATGGGTTGAATGAATTTAAAAGAGACAAAACATACTGTTAGAAGGAGAGGCTTGTAATGCGACGCTGTGGCAACAAATAAAAAGTCACTGAATGTAGGAATCAGTCAGTTGTAGTTGTATAGGATGTTACAAATTTTGTTTTTTTTTTTACTTAATTAGTTTGTTAGAAAATGATTTTTTTTAATTATGGCTTTTTTAACATTAATATTTTTTTATGATTATTGGCAAATAGCGTTTGACGTGTGTTCATTTAGTGTCGCGGTGGTAACGTCACACTGTATATACAATAAAAAGGAATGTTTGTTATAAACTGATGCAAATTAATTAAATATCATATATGTTATCTTTTATCTCAGGTGCAGCAACAAAAACAGCAGCAGTACAGCTCCAGGGAATCAAGTATGCCTCGGATTTCATCAAATCTTAGCATAACACCAAGATTACACCCTCCTTCTCCTCATTCTATTCACCTTCATACTTGTACGGACTGTAAGTACTCTACATTATTGAGTTATGGATATTCAGTATTAGTAATTTTATTCTATGTTGCTATAATTATTTTTGAATTCACCTAAATTAGGGTTGTATAATGTAATAGAAATTGTCTGGACTTAGCTTTCCATTGATGTGCATCGAGTGGGGGCTTGATTTTTTTTTAACATAAAGGTTACATTATTATAAGCACATAGTTTTTGTAAAAAAAAAATATTGGAAATCAATTATTTTTGCAATAATTATGTCCATCAATTAAAATCAATTAAAAGTTTTGAATAGTGAAGTGTTATATTATTCCGATTTGTATTTTTCCTTACAACATCACACAATACTACATTTAGACATATTGTTGCAAATTGATTTTATTTAATTTCAAACACGAAAGTAACACTATATAACACCGTCAGACTGAAAAATTATTATTTTATCGTTTTTTACTTATTACTGAAATTTGTTTTTCCCCTGTAGTCTTCAAATAAAATAGGTTAGGTTCAACTAATGTCAAACTACCAAACCGGTGGTACCTGGTGGTGGTGGTGGTACGGACCTTTATACATAATTTTTTATGTAAAATTTGACGGTTCATAAGATCGCGCCAAGCGTCTATTTGAATAAATATATTTTTGATTTTTATTTTGAGCCCGGTCGCGTAGGGAGAGCAACCTCCGCCTGCTGTAACAAACCGCAGGCACCGGATGAGCCGGTGTGGTTGAGGCAAGGATCGATGCCTACGATTTGTTACGCAAGGGAGGTAGAGGCGGCTCTTCCCGCACCCCCGGAGACATTGCAGTCTCAAAATAGATACAGAAATCCCTCTGTATCAGTTCCCATATTTTTTTCTAATAAAAGGGGTTCCCCCTACCGCTCCAACGGCTCCCTTTTGTTCTTTACACTTTAATAATTTTAATCCATAAAATAAGGAAAATTTCCCCAGAATTAAAAATTGAACTTTTCATTTTAAGGGGGGATAATACCCATCACCCGATTTTTTTCTGGTGGCTTTTCTTTTCCGAACTGGTAGTAATATTTTGACAATCAATAAGTGAGTGTAATGCTGCTATGTTAAATAAAGATGTGTAAGAGTAATGTTTTATTGTGGCCATTATACTTAAACATAGATTTTTTAACACAAAAGCATAGTTTTTTATGTCACATAAATCTTATTTTCTTATTTTTCTTTCTTTAATATGATTTGTTTCTTAAAATTCAACTTATTCTATTCTTACAGCATACACCACTGTCAGTCAATCTTCACCAATATATTCCAATTATGTCAATGCATCTGCCTTACCTTACCACAATAAGGGCCCAGGCAGTAGCATCATCTCTACAAATCAAGGTAATTTTTATGAAATAATAAGTCTACAATAATTTTGCTGAGGTGTCATTCATATCTTACAACATTTTCTAGTGATCAATCTTTGCTTAAAGTAACAGGCTAAACTATGGTACAAAAGTTTAATGGCTTTGCAGAAGTAAAAAAAAAGTGTTTATATTAATGGGATTTTTCCGGTGAGTAAAGCAAATGGAGCCAACTCTCTAAAAGTATGGTAATTTAATACAACTGCAATCTCACTGTTGTTGTGGATTTAACGAACTGGGCATTAGCCACATTTAAAAAAGTTCTCTATTAGAATGACACATCATTGCTAAAGAATGTTTTAATTGTGTTAGATACACTTAAATTTTACTAATAGTGCAGTAGACTTAAAGCCTTGTAGTATTTTCTGTAAATTTAAACTAAACATTTTCCAGGTTCTGATGAATGTGAACTGCCATTACCGCCAGGGTGGTCCGCTGACCGTACATTACGTGGACGAAGATATTACATGGACCACAATACGCAGACAACGCATTGGACCCATCCTTTAGAGAGTGTGCCGCAGCCATGGCAAAGAGTGTCTACGCCACATCATGGAGTATATTATTTTAAGTATGACCGTCATTATATTTCTTGAGTTCGCCACGGTATGCTTAAGGCGACCGAAAATTGAGCTGTGCATGCAGCATCGAGCAGACGTATAGCGTGTAGAATCCAGAAGACGAAGGTTCAATTTCCGTTGAGCCAGTACTTTCGGAGGACACTTTTTCCCCGACTTACGCGATTTTCTTATCCCAATCGATTTGTTTTTGTCTGACGATCACTTTCTACAATCAGTAGTTGACAATTGATGAGCTCATAGAAATGCATAAACAATAGTAAGACATTGAGAGACTTGTGTCATTCCGCTTCGTGCTCTCGTACGGAATGAACCTCTCTCTAAGACAGAGTGCGCATGCCACCCGAATTAGACGCTACTCGCAACTTCGGTTGCAAAATAAATCTTTGTGCAAGCAGTGCAGTAGTTTAGTGTTAGTGTAGTGTTGTGCTCGTAGGCAGGTTCCTGTTCTGTAAGTAGAATTCTATACACATGTCTCGCCTCAGAGGCGGTATCGTTTATTTATTTAATAACTGTATGCTTGTTGCGATAGGCGACAGCTAGGTACCCACCCTAGCGCAGGCGAATTATTTGTTATTTTTAGGCACACATCTCCCTGCCGCAAGGTGGGGAGGTCTATTTAGTTAACAACACGCCGGCGGTGCGCAAGCCCCAAAGACTCAAGCGCTCGAAATGGGTTCCCTCCTAGAGGAAATCCTTCGCCAACGATGTCCCGAAGTGTGGGCAAACTTCCTCGCGTTCGCGATAGAAAAATGTTTGGTCGTCGAGTTCGCCAGCGACAGCCCGGCTTCACCGGCAGTCGCCTCGCCGCCATATCCGGTGCCCTCTGCGCCCGCTAACGAGTCGCTTTCAGCGACAGTAGTTACGCCCGTCGCGTCGACTTCCGCCGCTGCGATCGAACCCAACGCGCCTTCCGCGCAACCAATTTCGGCCCCCTTCCGCGCTGTCGTTCCCGACTCACAATCGGACGGCGGCTCGGACATGGAGGTCGAAACGACCCCCGCTAATAACGCGAACGCTGGCTTCACCGTCCTAAAGTCGCGTAAGAAGGGCAAAAAAAGCCCCGCAACCGATAGCGACCCCGAATGTGAGCCCACGTAAAACACACATATGGGTATCCGCGTATACCTAGATACAACGGACGATTTTAGCCGCGTAACCAAGTACTTACGCGAAAATAAGGTAGGTTTTCATACCTACTCGTTGCCCAAAGAGAGAAAACTTCGGGTAGTAATAAAGGGCGTCCCCAAAGAGTCGGATGTCGATAAAGCCACGGTCGACATCCGCATTCAGGGATACCCCGTTCATGCAGTGCGACGTCTTAGGCACCCCAGAACCCGTGTCCCTATGGAAATGGTCATGGTTTAACGGGACCCTACCCTGGAAGGTAAGGCCATCTTCAACCTGAAGAGGGCTCGGTGACTAAGTCACTGAGCCCACAGACCCTCTTTATCCTCCCGCGCACAACTGCAGCACTACGGCCACACGGCCAATGATTGCTTCGCTCACACTAGGTACGTCAAACGCACCGATGACCACGGCACGCCCAAGTGCACGCGATAGAGCAGATCCACCGGACTCCGTAGACTGCCACGCTACCGGCCACTCGGCTAGGTACAGAGGCTGCGTTAAGGCCTCGAAACCTCCCGCGAAAACAACATTGCCCAAACCCGCGCCCGTGAAATACGTTCCCGAGCCCGTACCCGTTTTAAACGTCTGGGCGAAACCCCAGGTGGCCGCGCAGGTAGTCGCGCCCCGTTCGCCTCACGACCAACCCTAGCCCAATCGCAGCCCGCCATTCAACAGGCGTCGAGGCCGCAGGTGCAGTCAACACTATCGGTATTCACCGATAAGGAAGACGACCCATTCGTTCAAATCGCGAACATCTGCGGCTTATTAGACCGCATTAATCGAAAAGAGCTCGCCGTATTGTCCGCTAAAATAGCGGTGGCGGCCGCTAAAATAGCCGCGTCATCTGTCACCGAGCGGTTCAAAGCCATTAGCGAACATAAAAACGCTTGTAGACGCCCTCTGGGTGTTTACACCCAGCACGGCGTGACCAACACAACGCGTACACAAGGTACACCCACGTTCCGGGGCGGTTCTCACCGCTCCCAGCCACCGATTAGCTAATTGCTCAGTAGACGGCTATCGGGGTTTCGGTCCGAACCGCGACCTCGATGGCGCTTGGATGACACACCATAGTTAAACGCACGCATGAACACATGCGTGGCCCTACCCATAGCGGAGGGCCCTAAACCCATGGGTTCTGGCTAGCCCACCGGTTCTGCGTCAGATGAAGCTTTAATAGTCTCGGGACTGAAAGCAAAAACATCAATTAATTACAAGAGAGTTGTGTTTTTAGACCCAGTTCAATCCCAGAAGGCCTGTTTATTTAAAAACGACGCATTGTAGAAAATATAGCTTCAAAGAAAACCGTATTTCTTCAACAAAACATGAAAAATTGAGCTGACAGCTTTATTAGATTTCATGAAGCCTTATATAATAATTATTTTGCTGTGTTTTGCTTGTTTCGGATGGCCATTTGTAGTATCCAAGTATATTTGAAATATTCTTTTTGTTTTAATTAATCATAATAAATGGTAACATTGGTTTATCCTGAGCATTCTATCCATGTAAGACCAAAAATGTGCAAAATAACCTTAATAACCTTAGCTTATAAGGCTTTGTGAATTTTTGTGTTGAAAATAAATTAAGGTTCAAATACACTAAAATATACCAGGTACTTTTCTACGATATTTATTGCCTCTAATGGGGTGTTATGATAACTCATTTTAACAACTTTACCCAAACAAAATGCAAGGATTTTTTAGTTTTTAAAAAACTGGCCGATGTTGAACACCTTTTGGTATATTGTAAATGTTTATTATTTTTCGCAGTGAAATTACTCACCAAACGACGTACGCGCATCCTTGCCTGGTTGGAGGTTGTTACTTGGTTAGCCCGCTTGTTCCAACCCTCGTACCGCCTTATCTTCTAGAGGAGATACCTCACTGGCTAATTGTTTATTCGAAAGGTGAGTGACAATTTTTTTCAATAAAACTTAATAGCCAATTATAATCTTGACTTACCTACTTGAAAACTCAATTTTTATATTTTAATTTTTTTTATAATAACCTTTATAAAATTTGTAGCGGATCAAGAATTGGATCATAAGCTACGTTGGAACATGTTTCGGCTAAGTGAGCTTGATTGCTACTCGGATATGTTGACACGCCTTTACAAGCAGGAATTACAGCTTATTGTCATGAAGTATGAGAGATACAGGTAAAATTAAATAAATTAAGACAGGTCTATTTTAACGATATTCATTGATATTACATCATAGAAATATGGATAACCAGATTTAGGAAACAATAAGAAAAAAAACATAAATTTTTTAATACTGGTGTCAATTCGGTCAATTTTCAATATGAACCTGGCTCAACCTGGCTAAACATGTTATCTAAAAAACCTAGCTTTTACGGCATGTGCCAAACACAATGCATTTCATTCATTGGAGTGTAAATTTTTGTAAGAATAATGTTCTCGACTTATTTTAGCGGCTGATCATAAGGCGGCCGGTTTTTTCTTGCTTTAATGTTAAACATACATAATTCAGAGAGAAATTGCAGTCAGCGCCCTTGCTATACCATACAGTGTGTGGTGGGCTTATTAGATAACATGTAGTTTAGTTAGTATTTGTCAATATTTTAAATAATATTTATTGACGACCTGAATGGCGTAGTGGGTAGTGTACCTGCCTCCTGCGCCAGAGGGTATGGGTTCGATCCCTATTACTGGCAAAATTTACATATACTACTTTTAAATATGTGTGTTGTGTGATGAACACAGAGTTTTTCTAGTGTCTGGGTGTTTAATTATGTGTAATATGTATTTATTTACAAAAGAGAAGTATGTTTAAGTATGTTTATCAGTTATCTAGTACCCATAGTACAAGCATTGCTTAGTTTGGGACTAGATACACGTTGTGTAAAAATGTGTCCTAATATATTTGTATTTATTGTTAATGACGGGGCGCTCGCTTTTAATTCAATATACTCGAGCAACCTGAGTTCGATCCCCGGTGCGGGCACCAATGAAGTTTTTAACTTTAAGTGCTGACTTATCACGTGCTCCGCGGTGAAGGAAAACATCGTGAGGAAATCTGCATATTTTCGAAATAATAACAAAAAAAAATATTTTTCGAAGATATGTGAAGTCCGCCAATCCGCAGTGGGGCAGCGTGGTGGACTATGCCCTGATACCCTCTGTATATAGGAGGCCTTTGCCCAGCAGTGGGACATGTATAGGCTGTTACTTTTCTTTTTACATATTTCAGACCATGAAAAATAAAGATTTAGCATCTTGTACTTAACTGCTTGTACTAATGACTCCTGAAAGACAAAAATTTGCATAAGGATATCAGACTACATCAAAAGCAATAATGGATGTTCTATCCTATTTAAAAAAAAACGGTGGCACACATTTTACTTGGGGCGCATTAAAAGTTTCTGAGAAGAATAAGAAAAAAGTACTATTAAAGGCCAAAAATAAATTTAATGGTTCTCAAAATGTTTTCCGTTTGCGTAAATGCACCTTTTCATGCGATTGGTTTAATTTTGAAACCATTTGTGCCACTCTTCCGTGGTGACCTCACGAACGTTTTTTCTTACTTACGTTTTTCACCTTCAAAAATTCGCTTGTCTGTCTACCCGTGTACTAGCATTGCCGTGGTGCAAGTTATACGTTTACGGTTATTTTTACGCAATTCGTCAATAACTTCCGGCAAATAAATGATCGTGTACCTGTCACTATTTACGGTACGACGATTCTTTATGGCAATAGTGGCTACTGTGTACGTGTCCAGTTTATTAAAAAAAACGGTCAAGTGCGAGCCGGGCTCATCTATAAAAACGGCAAGAAAATCATGTCTATCGTATGGGAGCCCCACTTAAATATTTTTTTATTGTTTTTTAGTATTTTTTATTATAGCGGCAACAGAAATACATCATCTGGGAAAATTTCAACTGTCTAACTATCACGGCTCAGTAAATACAGCCTGGTGACAGACGAACAGACAGACAGCGGAGTCTTTGTAACAGGATTCCGTTTTTCCCTTTGGGTACGGAACCCTAAAAAGAAGCAATCATCCGACCATACCGCGAGCATAGCTTTCTTGACACCCAAATGTTTGTGTAAAATTGATTGTATTTGACTCATGCCTAAGGATGATGTCTAAGGATGCCCGAATCTCATGGCAGGTCACATGCCAGAGTCCTGTCTGTTTCGATCGAAATTCGTCGATGAGATTGACACAACCGCGCTTGGATTCCTCAAACCAGCTATAAATAGTCGTCTGGCATGGTGCTTCATCGTCAAAAGTAGATTGAAGCCGAGCGAGTCTCTGAATAACTGTCAAATTACACTTAAAATTGTAAAAGTAACAGCCTATACATGCCCCACTGCTGGGCAAAGGCCTCCTCTATACAGAGGGTAACAGGGCATAGTGCACCACGCGGCCCCACTACGGATTGGCGACTTCACATATCCTCGAAATATATTTTTTTTGTTATTATTTCTAAAATATGCATGTTTCTTCACGATGTTTTCCTTCACCACGGAGCACGTGATAAGTCAGCACTTAAAGTTAAAAAACTTCATTGGTGCCGGCACCGGGGATCGAACTCAGGTTGCTCGAGTATATTGAATTAAAGGAGCTGAGCTATCGCGGCTGAGGAGCCCGGACACGGCTGGTCAAATGTTGTAATTACTTTTTAAATATTGTTTATGTAAGTGGCCAATTCCAGAAACTTTAATGATGACCTATGTACCACCGCTCATGAATATTATACATGATACCTACGGAGTTGCTTTTGCATTGCCAATTTTTGAAAAGTGGCAAAAGGCTTTAGAATATTACTCCCAATTTACGAATTTTTGTCTGTTTTGTTGTAGATCAGCATTATTACAAGAGCTAGAAAGAAGGAGACGGGCCGTTACTTATCATGCACATCAAAACTACTGAGCTTATGTTATTGCCTTATTAAGCTGTGATTTTAATCATAAGTGATAATTTTTTTATAATGGTAGTTTTACAAAGCAGTTAGTGACTATAAATTTTAGACAAGTCAGTACATAATAATTTAAAATTTAACCATATTCATGTCAACTATGATGGTACAGTGCTGTACTAATGTGACTTGGATTGTAAAGTGACTGTAAAACTTAGATTTTAGTCAATAACTGCCTAAATGTATATCTACTTGAATGTGATCTTAGTTAGAAATGTAAGTGCCTTAAATGTTGGTATGTATAAGAATTATTTATTACATTTATCTCTAATCAATCTTGATTCTTATGTTTTATACATTTAAAGAAATAAGTACCATTATATTTTTTAATATGGTATTGTTATGATGTTGTCACAATTGGTATTAAATTTAGTATTGATATAAAAAGTTCACAAAAGTTGTCTTCAAACATTTTAATGCTTCTGATGTAATATGCAATAATTTTATTATTGTATAATATTATAATTAAAAATTATTATTCATAAATTGGGCCAATTAATTTACTTTAAACTTGTTATGTGTTATGTAAAAGATTTTTAAATGACTTTATTTTAAATTATATCTCTGTAGGCTGATGACTATTTTATGGGTAGTGCACCCTAATCATGTCCAAATGCCTGGTTTAAAAGAACTTGAGCTGTACAATAATAAATACAATACAAATAATGAACTATAAATATAAGCTTGAACTAATTTAAATTAAATAAATGTTAACTTTATGGACATTTTTAGGGCAGGAATTTCTTTTCAATTAATAATGTGACTGATATTTTAGTTGACTGATGTTTTGCCATAAGGCTGTGGGAAATAATAATATGGATTCAAAATTATTTATTTCCTTGTAGCTTTTTATTTATTCAGCCCATTGAAGGGAAAGAAATAATGTAATACATATTAATGAATGAATTTCATTTCTTATTGAAATACAAACATGTTAAAAAAATTGCCTGAACAAATTATGTTAAAATCAATTTTAAATGTCTATAAATCTGCCAATGATGAGAATTAAATTCATATTCTGTGGATTTTGAAGTTTGACATTAATACATATCCTCTAATTATATCTGTTTCATTTTCTCTGTAATAAAATGGAAATAGCCCAGTTAACAAAAAAAAACTATTTACACATAATTTGTCTTTAGCTGTATATCATTTAACTGATTTTAGCCTGATCAATTGATTATTGTCATAAAAAGCCATTCAAAGTATTCTTAAATAAATTGTTAATTGCCAACACCTAAAGAAGGGGAATGGACTAGAAGTGGGCGATATAAAACGTATACAGATATGAAAACTATATATTAGTACAATATCCGAAAATCGCTTACTAGCTGGCTCGTTCAAAATCTATGTATTTTACAATATCTGATGTACCGAATACTCGCTCACTCGCTATATCAACACGAATCGCGATATCATACGCGTTTGCCACAATATCAGATTGTTAGACAAAGCGCGTGAGATACAAATATTCACTAGTTAGAGCATTACGTCAACAATATCAGATTTTTAAACAGATTTTATGAATGAGTAAGTAATTTTGGATCTTAACAGCATGCAAATAAGATCCGTTTCATTTAAATACTAAGCATGGTATCAACGATTACGATATCTTTTGTTTCTTTTATTTAGCATTAGCCTTGAGCCATAGGAGCGACAAAGCGCGTGAGACACAAATATTGCAAATTGGCAAACAATGCACAATATCAGATTTTCAAACAGATTTTGTTAAGTAATTTTGAATTTTAAAAGCATGGAAAAAAACTGTTTCATTTAAATGCGAATCATGGTATGATTCGTATTTAAATGAAACAGTTTTTGATACAAATGGTAACGATGTCTTTAAATTTTGTTTAGCCTTGACTTGGAGTGCATTGATACTTAAGCACGTAATAGTAAGGGATGCCAACTTAGGATTTTCTTCATAAATTAAGGAAGAAAAATTTTTAGGAGTTAAATTTTATTCACATTTTTGAAAAAAAAAAAAAAAAACTACACAAAACGAAACAGAAAAATATAACTTAATAATTCCATGCTGCATTGGTGGACGTTAGGCCAAGGCTTATGTGTCTTGTGTATATTTTAAATTCTTCCGCCCTAAACTATAATATTGAATGTAATATTTCGTACACAAAATATAAAAATATTGTCACTCATTTTTTTTAATGAATTTAAGATAGATATTAAAATACATAGTTTCGAAATCTGATATTTGAAATCGAAATCTGATTCAGATATGGTACTCAGAAAAAGCGATATGACCCATCTCTAGAATGGACAGTGGCCTACTTCTACACACATTGAACCTAGGAGCTAATAATTAATACTTTTTAGCTTATGAACATAATGTATTGTAACAATTAAACAATAAATAATTTTGTTTTATCTCATATAATAAACACATTTGCTATTCTTGCAATTCTTCAATTTCTTCCTGAGTTTTTTTATTTTGTCTAACCTCTTTGCCATCAACTATATCATACTCATCAACTTTTTTAAATCCAGATATTCTGTACACTTTGGCATTCTTAATACCCAATGTGTTAGCCCATGCTCTTGCTGAAATAATAAATAATGCTTTAATTACTTAGTGCAGAAATATACAAATGGAAAATTCTTAATTATGTCAGGAACATTAAAACTTGTGGAAAAAGTACGAAAAGATTGTCGCCGCTGTGGGAAGCGAGTCCCACGTCTCCGGCATTCGTGGCCTGACACTTTAGCCACTAAGCTAAACGGCTGATTGCCGTGACACACCAACGAAAATCTTAAGGTCCTTTATCTACATTGTTATTTAGCATTTGAAGCAATGCTTGGCACATCTATTATTATATCCTTTCCAGCATACAAACAATTTCGAACATCATTTTACAAGATTTTCTACAAGTTTTAATGTTTAATCTTAAGTACAGAGATAGAATATTGAAACCGGCCCTAAGAGTAACAATTCTGAAGATAATAAACAAAACCTAGTCCCAATACATAATTTTTTCAAGAATTATCATGAACCCTCGAAAAATAAATCAAGATGTTTTTCATATTTTTTGAATAGTAAAATATTTTTTCATGGAATATGGGATAGATTATTTAAACTGTTTTCTAGGAAAACATGCACTTATATTATTACTATACATTTAGGTATGTCAACCAACAACCATTAATAGTTAAATCAAACAATAATCTTTAATAGCTAAATAATAACTTATGTTAGCTATTAAAGTTTTTGATATCATCATTATGGTTGACAGGCTGGTTCAGAGCAATCCGACTCGGACAGGTTAGATTAGAAGGTTAAGGTTAGCCTGAATGGTTATTTTTTATAACCGTCAACTGTGGCATCTTTACTTTTTTCGAGCAACTTTACCTAAGCATACCTTGTACTACATAATATGAAATATTTTCTTATCTGCTGTAATAGGTACAAATTTTGCCGTATTAGTAGATTTTTTGACAAATTGTGGTATCACAAAAAGTTTTTCATGCAAGCAACTTCGTTAATTGTCAAGTAGTGCGAGTTTTCATTTTATATGGTCAATTGTGCTCGCAGCAGTAACGAAGGCAAATTGGTTTTTAATACATAAAATTGAAGTGCAGGTAAGTAACTTATGGTAAATTGTGTGGAGTATATTCTTATAGGAGTGCATTTCGATGAATCAATCTATTAAACCTTTTATTTCCTTAGTTATGAGATGTAGTAATGATGCTCGAGGTTAGGTCAAATTACCTCACCTAGCTTGAGGACAACTTTACCTACGACTAGTGCTGTCAACTACAGTTAGCGTGTTTTTTGAATTTTGCTTGTTTTTATCTTTATAGATCGTTTTAAAATTGGCTAGTAATTGTTTCACATGTGATAATATGGCATAGATTACACGCGACCTCCGCAAAAACATTTATATTATTCATATTATAGCGTTATAAAGAACTGTCTAAAACTTTCTATATTAATATTTGAACCTAATACAGATCTCTTCATGATGCCTCCAATAAAATGCACCACAAAAAGATACAGAAGACGTTTGGGAGCGCGCAGTTACAAAAACTACTCTGAAGAAATGCTTTTATTAGCTGTTGACCTATCATCAACATCAAAAATACAACATCTTATGAGGCTAAGAAGCAGTTGGGAATACACAGACGAACCATTGAAAAGAGAGTAAAAAATCGTCACTCGAATAAACCTGGCCCCCGTTTCCGTTTAAATCAAGAAGAAGAGCAAAAATTTATGAATGTATTCATTGCGGCGGGCGACTTTTGATGTCCGTTACCACAGTTGGACTTTAAGTTGGCAGTATACCTGAAGAAAAATAACAAAACATATGTATTCGACGATAGGGTTCCCGGCGATTGGTGGATCAAACATTTTTAGACCATCATAAAAAAAAAAAAAAAACATTGACACTAAGATCAGTTCAAAATATTACAAAAGCACAGGCAGAAAAGTAAAGATGGGCTAAAAGGGGCACGCTACATCGCACTAAAAGCGGTTGGTTCTATTCCTTCGTATTTTTTGACTGGTTCACGAAAAAAAATATGAGATAATGGTTTTATTTTATAACTTAGTGAATTGACAGCCCTGGTGACATCGGCTTGTTTCTATGAAAAAAACAAAATTCTTGGGGCAACTTTCCCAAAGTGTTGCTAGTGCTTAAATAAATATTAAGGAGCTTCCTTTACTGCAGTATCGTCAAATTAGCTTTAGAAACAATGGTAGCATTGCGTCGCCTGTCCTTCTATGTGCTTATTTAATATAAACTGCAGACTAGGTAAAGTTGCCTAAAATGAGTCAATTTTACCTAGCTCATAATTAAAGATATTTTAACGATTCTATGGCCGATTTAGATGAATTTAATGGTTTAATGAATAAATACGATACAGCTTTACGGGTTAAATCAATAAAAACATAAAAAAAACTGCATATATATTGGAATAGTTTGCTAAAATGTCAAAAATTATGGTAAGTTGCCACAGTTGACGGAACCATCCAGAAATAGAGCTCTACGTAGTACCACTTCCCCTCCCCCCACCATACGCGTGCTACCGTATATCACCGTAATACCATAGTTTGTTTATTAAGTAATGATAAAAATTTAAATAATTGAAGTTAAATTGTATAAAGTACTGGGTCTTTGTTTCTTTATGCACTGGACTGATAATGAATCAAACTAAATGAAAAATATTGAGTACCTGGTGGCACTGCGTGCTCTTCATCCGTTTTAAGACCATAGTAATGTGCCCAATCTGCTTTTCCCTGGTACATGGTATAAACAAGCAAACCAAATGCATTCCATGCAATAAATCCATAAGCTAAACTGAGGCGCCGTTTCCACAGAAAAGCTTTCTCTTCAGGAATTGGTTTTGTTCTACGTCTTACAAATTTATAAATCCATTTATGGATCATTTTTAATGCACTTATGTAATTTATAAAAACATAAGCTATCTAGGCATCAGCTAAAAATTCTTAAGAATCAATGTCATGATTGTCATGTCATATGTCAAGTCAAACCACTAAGTAAAGTTTTTTTTTTTTTGGATTTTATGGCCCGGTATCAAGGACCTTTAGGCCAACACTAAGTAAAGTAATCATTAGAAAAATAATTAGTCCAGAGAAAGCTAGGTACGGCACTGGCCACACCAGTGCCGAGCCTAGCCTTGATCAGGGTAGAGCGAGATTGTTCCCGCGAAATCTACTTTGCCCAAACCCGCGCCCGTGAAATACGTTCCCGCGCCCGTACCCGTCGTAAACGCCTGGGCGAAACCCCAGGTGGCCGTGCAGGTAGTTGCGCCCCCGGTCGCCTCACGACCAATCGCTCAATCGCAACCCACCTATCAAACGGCGCCGACGCCGCAGGTGCAGTCGACACCGTCGGTTTTCGCCGAAAACAAGAACGATCCTTTCGCCCAAATTGCCAACATCTGCGCCTTATTAGACCGCATTAATAGACAAGAACTCGCCCTATTGTCCGCTAAAATAGCGGCCGCCACATCTGGCAACGCGCGATTTAAAGCCATTAGCGAACATAAAATGCTTGTAGAAGCCCTCTAGGCATTTACAAGCCAACCATAAACTTAACAGTCCACGCAATAAAACCGCGCTCCGCCGCGTCGTTAGTTAGAACTCATAAAAAAACTTTAATGGGAAGTACAACAGCAGGTAGAACAAAACCTCGGGCTCTGGTTGTTTCGTATTTCAACGCAAACGGCATAAAGGGTCAGAGGGACGAAATCGCGGAATTCCTTCGCGATTATAACATAGATATTTTTCTAGTGCAAGAGACATTCTTAAAACCGAGTGTACGCGATCCCAGAATCGCAAACTACAACATAGTCCGCCACGACCGGTTAGCAAACCGTCTGGGAGGCACCTTAATTTATTACAAACGGTCCTTGCACTGTAGCCCGCTCGACATTCCAGAGCTAAGCCATATAGAGGCATCCGCGTGTAGGTTAGCGCTCACCGGCCATAGGCCGCTTGTACTAGTCTCAGCCTACCTCTCGGGGAACAAAACCTTATTACAAAGCGACCTAGATACGCTACTCAACTTAGGCCCTTCCGTGATAATTGCAGGAATCTAAACTGGAAACACGGCTCATGGGACATCCACAGCATCCCAAATAACAACGGAAAGCATCTCTTTAGCTTATCCGATAATTTAAACTTTAGCATAATTGCTCCTGCGACTCCCACTAGGTATCCTACGATGGACAACTACCAACACGTGACACCGGGTATCCTAGATATCATGTTACTCAAGGAGGTCTCGCTCGACATCGAGTCGATAGAGACAATCCATGAACTAGACTCAGATCACAGGCCCGTCCTGTGTAAACTGGGCCAGAACGCCGGCGCGGTCCCTCCGACCAAATCCGTAGTGGACTGGCATCGTCTTGAGGTCAAACTCAAGGCCTTGGACCCCCAGGACTTAGTCGACCTACCCGAGACAATAGCTACGTTCGATGACGCAAATCGAGCGATAGCAAGTCTCCGAGAAACCATCACTTCCACAGTCGCAGACTCGGAACGGACGGTTAAACTGTCGGGCGATCGACGGTTTATCTTTCCGCCCGACCTGCGACTCCTAATTAGGCAGAAAAATGCAGCCAAACGCGCTTTCGACCGATACCGATCGGAATCGAACCGAACCCTACTTCGACGCCTTCAGCTAGAAGTCAAAGATCGTGTATCGGACGGAACACCGACATACAATGTGGGACACTCTCCTAGAGGACATCGAGCCATCGCACACCGCCTACTGGCGGTTGGTCCGCAGTCTGAAAGCAGACCCCCGCGAATCTCTACCGCCGTTAGTTAGACCTAATAGCGCTTCAGTAGCCCTAGATGACTCCGAAAAAGCCGAATGCCTTGCGGACAACCTAGAGCAGCAATGTACGCCATCGCGCGAACACATCGATACAGCCCACCTAACGGAGGTGGACCGCGTAATCGAGATTAGGGCTGCGCTTCCACCGGAAGGCGATCCTTTGAATTCAGTGACCCCCGAAGAGGTTCAAGATATTATTAAAAACTTAAAACCCAAATCCGCCCCGGGCCCAGATAATATTAGTAACAAAATTCTTAAAGCTCTCCCTGGGCCGCTTATCTGTTTACTGGCAACCATTTACAATACTTTACTCTCCAGTTGCTCCTTTCCAGACGACTGGAAAGAAGCCAGGGTTATCGGCATTCGCAAGCCTAATAAACCAGCCAACCAGCCCTCTAGTTATCGTCCCATCAGCCTCCTCAGTTGCCTGAGGAAGCTCTACGAGCGGCTTTTATTAAACAGGCTCAATGAGCACGTGTTTTCCAACGGCCTTCTGCCGGCGGAACAATTCGGCTTTCGAGCTAGACATTCCTGTCCCGATCAACTATTCCGCCTAACGGAACATATCCTAAAAGGCCTAAATCACCCTAAACATATTAGTACAGGGGCTCTTTTCTTCGATGTCGCAAAAGCATTCGACAAGGTCTGGCACAACAGCTTGCTTTACAAGCTGTACACACTCAAAGTGCCAGATAGGCTCGTACACACCATCCAGGCCTTCCTGTCGAACCGCTCTTTTCTACATCGAGTTGAAAGCACCCTCTCCACAAGCCGCTGCCTCACCGCCGGCGTACCACAAGGCTCCTGCCTCTCACCTTTGCTCTTTACGCTCTACACGAGCGATATACCTAAAGACCCCCACTTCAATCTCGCACTTTTCGCGGATAACACGGCGCTCTTTTATTCAGACCGCAACCTTAGACAACTAACCACTCGACTCCAAAGCGCTGCCGACCGCCTCGGCGATTGGTTCCGCAAATGGAGAATAGAAATAAATCCCGAAAAGAGTGTGGCGATTCACTTCACACGAAGTACTTACCCGTCACATCTTTATAATGGCCCTCGTCAATGCAGAAAGTTGGGGCAAATATCCCTTTATGGCCAACCGCTCCCCTGGGAGAAAAAGGTCAAATACTTAGGAGTCACTTTCGACTCGCGTATGTCATTTACTACGCACATTAATACCGTTCGCAATAGAGCCGCGTTCGTCTCCGGCCGGCTACACAATTTAACTAACGCTAAAAGTAAAATGCCCTTAAGGCACAAATTATTATTATATAAGACCTGCGTACGACCTATTATGTCTTACGCATGCATGACCTTCGCCCACACGCACCCTTCTCGCTTGTACAAGTTGCAAATAGTACAAAATAAGTTCATCCGCCGCGCAACCGGTGCGCAGTGGTATCAACGCAACGTCGACCTGCACAGCGATTGCAGACTCCCGACGATTCGCGAATATTTTAAAGACCTGACCAAACGGTTCTTCGATAGAGCCGAACATCATCCCAACCCTCTGGTGGTAAGCGCAGCAAATTACCATTCCGACCAAAACGCGAACGTCAACAAGCGTCGCCCGCGAAACGTCCTAATCGACCCGGTCGAGGAAGGGGACTTAGACACACCGGACCCACTGCCAGGGGTCCCGCCGGACAACACTACACCCACAGTTAGTGCAACAACAAACACACTAGTTCGCCCTCGCCTCCGAGCACGGCGAGACCAACACACAACGGGTATACAAGGTACACCCGCGTTCCAGGGCGGTTCTCACCGCCCCCAGCCACCGATTAGCTAATTGCACAGTCGACGGCCATCGGGGTTTCGGTCCGAACCACGACCTCGATGGCCCTTAGATGACACACCATAGTTAAACGCACGCATGAGCACATGCGTGGCCCTACCCACAGCGGAGGGCCCAAACCCGTGGGTTCTGGCTAGCCCACCGGTTCTGCGTCAGATGAAGCTTTAATAGTCTCGGGACTGAAAGCAAAAACATCAGTTAATACAAGATACAAGATACAAGCGAGATTGTCTTTCAGCGGCTTAGTAGATGCTTTCACTTTGCACAATTTTTTATTTTGATTTATGTTAAATGAATAATAATATCATATATAACTAAGATAATAACCATATTTTCGAAAACAAAAATACCAAACATAAATTAAAGCAAATATCAACAATTACGAAGCAGTACCTCTCTGTGCTTATTGCGTTGTTTCTGGCTACGGACTCACTGGCTTCCAAAAGGCCGATGGGGGGGGGGGGGGGGGTTCATAGTAAATTAAATCTGTTCCTGCTTCATTAACATTAACGGCAATTCTACTGACATAATTAAATTAATATTAATTTTATTTTAAATAATAGCTGACCCAGCAAACGTTGTTTTACCATATAAATTATTTCCATATAGATCTCTCCTTTAATCTAAAACCACCTCCAGCCATTGATCAGTTGTGTTGACCAGATCACTAATTGAACGATTCCGAATCTACCTTCTTATTACTTCATTATTTTAGACAATAAATTTAGTTTTGATAGAAATAGGCCTGTAGTTAGATGGATCCGATCATTTCAAAAGCAACTTCTTGTAAAACGGATTATGTGCACCCAATCCCTGAAAATGCTGACTCTTTTTAGGGTTACGTACCCAAAGGGTAAAACGGGACCCTATTACTAATTTTTAGATCACGTGAGGAAGGTAGTGAGACAGGAATATATGAAGTCATCGAAGGTGACAGATTTTGGGCTAGAACACATCTCAGTGTTAAGGCTCAACTCGATCACTCCGTGGCGCAGTTGCTAAGGTATTGGCTTCGTTGTTAAATTTGCCTTTACGTATGATACGACAAAGCGTTTTGGTTACTTCCCCTACGAGTTCTCTAAAGTTGCCTGCTTAAATAACCCGTTTACTCGATCAACTATTGGGTGTCATTGGCTCGTGAAACTAATGTTTCATCGGGAGTGCACTTCATCTATTGCACAGGCACTTTGCTGGTTATGCATCCTACCCTCGCATCAGGTTTGGTTCCCACTGATCGATTCTCTCTCGCCGCTATCGATTCCGTAATGAACCACCGATGTAATGAATCGACATAATTAGCAAACCTATTGAGTATTTTACTACAGTTTGTTAAATTTAAAATAGGTTGATACGCGGGACATTATGGATCTCGTATATGAAGTTTCGTACTTTTTAAACAAAAAATGTAAGTAGTAATGTCAATGACCCGCGTATCATCGTATATTTAACAAACTGTAGTGTAGTTTTTGGAATAAACAGTATATATGACTCACTGCTGGGTAAAGACATATGCACAGAGGGTATTACGGCATACTCCATTACGCGACGGCACTGCGAATCGCAAGGCTTTGTATTAACAAAGTAAAACTTTATTAGTAAACTAGAATTAAAATAAATAAAGCTTAATTTTTTCTCATCACACCATAGCGTTATCGCAAGAGTACGGATGGAATCAATACGCGCAGGTAAAAAAATCTTCTTGAATTTCTTAAAAAAATATAAAAGTTGCTTAGTTGATTGATGGACGTCAATTCTCTTCAAACAAAAAACGTCTAAAAACATCTAGCAAAATTAACGGATTAGTGCTTCAAAATATGCTGATACAAAAATTACCCCTGATAATAACGAGAAAATCGTGCGGTACCTCCTGTTACATTTCAAACATAATGTAAGAACTTTATAATTCATTATAATGCACTGAAACTACGTCGGATCCGATATCATGTCATGAAAATTGGAGTCTTCTCTTTTCGTTAAATAACGAAACGAAAATGTGATGGACATTTGCGTATTTCTAATTAAAAGTAGTAATAATAATGAGACTTGCAACAACTGAGGAAATTTGTTGAATTACAAATAAAAAAACCAGCCAAGTGCGAGTCGGACTCGCGCACCTCGGGGTCCGTAACTTTGTCTATAAAATCCGCAAAAATCATGTCTGTTGTATGCGAAATCCACTTAATTTTTTTCTATTGTTTTTAGTATTTGTTGTTATAGCGGCAACAGAAATACATCATCTGAGAAAATCTCAAATGTCTTTCTACGGTTCATGAGATACAGCGTGATGACAGACGGACAGACAGACAAACAGCGGTAATAGGGTCCCGTTTTACCCTTAAGATACGGAAAAATCTGCTATATCATCTACTACTACTATCAATACTCTACCTGCTTATATACCAGTTACGAGTGGCCTAGGGAGCAAATTTCAGTACTTTTCTCCCATCGTGTTTGGTTTTCTGGTATTTATTCCTTTTATATAGGTACATAGTACATATATCTAAATATACAGCCTTAGTAGAATGCACGCATAACCTTATCTTCTGGTCACTATTGTGCAATCACTATCTTTACATGTTATGCCTGCAACACCTGGATTTACGTTCTTTTTGTTTAAAAAGCAAATTTAATAAGTTTTACTGGTTTAAAAATGCAACACTGTCCGTTTGGAACAGCTCACCTCTAGCTGATTAGCGGACACTTATTAGTCTTAAGAAATAGAGTGGGAAGAAATTACTTTCGCATTTATAATATTAGTACGGATACGGTGATTTAAAGTATATATTGCAGTGAACGTGTTGGTAATAGAAAATGCCAAAAAGACCTTAACTAGCCATCAATCAACAAGGCTGTATTTACGTAGATATCGCCAATTCGCCAAGCGATTCGCCAATTCGGGAAGGGCTGTGAAGTGTTCCGAATGGACGTAGAATGAATAGGACCTATAACCACCGTTTATCCACTCTTTGGCTTACCATTGTATTTTGTGTGGCAGGGTTTGGGTATTAAGAACCAACGACCCGTGGGACTCAGAACTAGTGTTGTCTTCCCTGCGAAAACATTGCTCCACTAGGATTACATTATTCTGTGTTGTAAATACGTTTTAAATACATTTTCATGAAACAATTATCTGTGGGGTTCCACAAATAGTTGTCCTGTGTGGGGACATTTTGGAAGACATAAATATATAATATATAATTTAAAGTGGAAGTATGACAAATACTTTCGCGTTTCGTCTGATGAGTGAGGTAGCCGAAGCCCAATTTTCAAAAGGTTATCAATGCATCTGTAACCCTCGGGTGTAGATGTCCATGGGCGACGTTATTCACTTACCATCAGGTGAACCGTCTACTCATTTAGCAACTTTCACATAAAAAAAATATATAAAAATAAATTTATACCTACATGGTTTCCGTGACCGTCGTGAATATGCTAAGTCCAAGGCCGTTTTCAATTCGTGGCGGCATTGGATGTAAAGGTCCCGTACCAGTAACGGCATGGCACTGCTCATGTTACACACTACGTTCATAGGATGCTCATATGAATATTTTAAAGTTAAAATGATATGGATGGTTTTAATTTCTTTTTGCCAAACCAATTTCTTATCTAATTAATCACATTAATAAATAAGTTGCTTATATATGTATGCGTCAATTTACTATAAGCGTTAAATTCTGCGTGACTCCGCCAACTTATTTTTTCTATTTTGCGGTTTAGCGGGAACGATTTTGTTTATTGAACTCAGTCATTAATTGAACGTCTGAATGAATATAATGTAACCTTGACATGTCTCTGAATATAAGTTGAACCTGGCTAAACTTATTACGAATAATGGTTTGCGAATACCTCTTAGTATGTACGTTCACAGATATGTCTCGAACGGTTTTCGTGCGCCAATCTGCAGCTTGCAAAACCTTAGTAAAGGTCGACACGGCATTGCTTTGTTTACATCGATACCACGCGATCCTATCAAACGCTTCTCCTCGGCCAGCCCTACTCAAGTCAAGGGAACAAATGGGCAAAACGGGCAAAAAGTACTAAAAGCATTTCAAATACAGTAGTAGTCTCTAGTTAGGTTTAAGAAAGATATCGTTTTCTTTCTATTTCAGAGTGAAATCAAATCGCATCAACGCAATTAGGAAACAATACGACGCTTTCCTAGAGGAGGATAAAAAACGGAGAGACCGAAATGAGTACATCCTGGAAAGACTCGATAAAATGCGCTCAAGCTCAGCGATGGTACAAATTCGTCACCCTCAACCGGTAGGTGAATAGGAATTGTTTTCCATTATTTTAAGGCGTTAGTCTTTGGTGTACTAATTTTGCATTTCGCAACGAAAACTATTAACCATGACGAAAACAAACCACATTTTTCCGAATTTTGTGTGTTATTCCCGTGTATTGTTTAGGCAAGACAGCAGGCACTCTTTTGATGATTTTATTTTATTTATTCAAGCTTATAAATGTCTGGCGTGAAACAAAGTTTTATTTAAAATTAGTATGACTAAATAATAATAAATAGTAGTCTTTTTTTGTTTTTTTTTTTAAACATTGCCCTCACTTTAGGATAACATTATATTTTGTTGTAAGGACGAAAAATAAATTGCACGAGGACAAATACCCAGATGCGAAACAACTGTCTGTGGGTCGCACAAATAGTTGTCCCTTGGCATGGAGTGTGCCACGGAGTCATCGAAAGTCTGTAGATTAACTTGCTTTTAAAAAAAATCCGTAGATTTGTGGCCTAGATAAATATATCCTATACTACAAAAAACTCTTTTATTGTTATAAAGCAATAGTGGTAACAGCCTTTTATTAAATAAAATTATAAAAATAATATATTTCAAGGCACATGTACACAACGTTCTCTAGTCCCAATTTAAGCAACGCGTGTATTCCATAATACCCATGAATTAGATAGCTGCTAAACATACTTTTCTTTTGTAAATAAATGCACATTATAAATAAATAAAGTCGCGGATATTGGAAAAACATGATTGTTCTTTACACAATATTTTCTCAATATTGGGGATCGAACCCTGGCGCAAGAGGCAAGTTTAATACCCACTACGCCAATCGGGGCGTCGGTCGCCTTTTATTGTGCACAATAATTAAAAATAATAATTATGTGCTTTCACTTCCAGACGATAGCTCAGTGTCCGGGCGCTTGCCTTAATTCAATGTATACTCGAGCAACCTGAGTTCGATCCCCGGTGTCGGCACCAATGAAGTTTTTAACTTTAAGTGCTGAATTATCACGTGCTCCGCGGTGAAGGAAAACATCGTGAGGAAACCTGCATATTTTCGGAATAATAACAAAAAAAAATGTATTTCGAAAATATGTGAAGTCCGCCAATCCGCAGTGGGGCCGCGTGGTGGACTATGCCCTGATACCCTCTGTATAGAGGAGGCCTTTGCCCAGCAGTGGGATATGTATAGGCTGTTACTTTACTTTACTTTACTTTACTTCCAGACTAACATCTTCACTGATTTCAATGACCCTGTAAAATATGACAAAAGTCAGCAATATATCGGAAGATCCGTGCCCATTTATGAAAAACAAAGGTACTCTTTTAATCAAGTAAGCCCAACGATGTTGACAACATTGAACGAAGAAGATTTAGTGAAGGAGCTAAGTAAGAAATATATTCTTATTCCAAAACAACAAAGCATGCCAGTTTACGAAAATATATATAATAAATATCCAATAAAATCGTGTGTTGAAGACAATAATGATTGGAGAAGCAAATATAACATTCTTGAAGAATTAAAGAAAAGTGAGGTGGAACAGGAAGGTAACAGTAAATCAATGCTTAGTACAGAATTTAATACCAATAATGATAGCAATGCAGAATGTGGTGAAAATAATGTTGATGAAACGAATGTTAAAAAAATTATGCAAATTAATGATCCCGAATTAATCTTAAAAATGGATAATAAGTTTGAAAAGGCTAGTTTTAGGGCTGAAGATGATATGCGTTCACAGAATACAGATATCGAAAAAGACTTATCCAATACCACTAAACCATTGCTAGATACTTCAATAATTAATAAAAATGCATCTTTTAATGAAGACTCTAAATGTATTAAAAATATTAAGGATAATCTCCAATACACAGATATTTTAACAGAAAAAGAAAAATTACAGACAAAACATGAAATAGAATCAAAATCTCGAGCAGAAGAAAAGCTCACCGAAGAAGTTCATAACAATCTATATTCAAATATTAATGTTGGGCATCAAGAACACTTCGAACCTTTACGGCATGTTGAGATCACTGAGCACGAAGAAATAAAAAACCTACAAATGCAAAGCAACACGAATGCTGAAGAGGAAATGAGTGAAGTAGATTGTACAACAGTTCATCGTGACATTGCTGATATCGTATTAAATGAAACAAGTTCTGGCGTTAACGAAGATACTACAACCATTGCTGAAGAACCTAATTTGAGTAACACGACTAATACTTACAAGGTGACTAATACTAAAGACGACGAGCAAGGGTTGGCAACAGATTTAATGTCTGAAAGATCTAATGATATAATTGATAACCAAGATGTACAGTCGAGCGTAATAGAAAATTTCAACTGTCCAGTCGATCCAGGTCAAAACTATGAACATCAAACTAATTCTGGCAAACTAGAGTATGAAAATACCGTCGAGGAAACGCAAATTCAAGATTTCGAATCTGAGCAAAACAATTTGTTTTATTCAGAACAAACTGAAACTAATACGTATGACCAAAGCGGTGCAGATAACAAAAATGTGGAATATACAAATAATGAGAGTTATAGGCAAAATGAAAACTATGTTTATTACGAGGGAACACCACAAGATCAACTTTATCCGAACGAAATAAATGAGCACGAAGAGGCTACGGAACAATACGATCCCAATTACCAGAATCAATATGATAACTACGCGCAACAAGATCCACAATCCGAATCCGGAAAAGGGTATGAAACTGAGGTAAACAATATTTTAGAAAGCCAACAATACGATACCCAGCATAACTATGATCAACTGTTATACGATGAAACAAATTATAATGCCGTAGAAGATGTTAAACAAGAGTTAGATGCTGAACAAGAATATATAGAACCTATTAAAGATTTAAAACAAAAAGAAGTGAACCCGGGCAGTGAAACTATTGAACATGAAGTCAAAGTTTCATAAATTACACAATTTCTATACAATGAAATGTAAAATAATTTTATTAAATAAACTTTAAATAACATATAAGTATATGAATATATATATACATATTAGAAGTGGGCGATACAAATCGTATCAGATATGAAAACTAGATATTAGTACAATATCCGAATATCGCTTACTGGCTCGTTCAAAATCTATGTATTTTACAATATCTGATATTTCCGAAATCTGATGTACCGTGCTCGCTCGCTATACCGACACGAATCGCGATATCATACGCGTTTGCCACAATATCTGATTTTTAAACAGATTTCGAGAGAAAGCGCGTGAGATACAAATACTAGTTAGAGCGGGACGGCAAGCAATGCACGATATCAGATATCGAGCGACAAAACGCGTGAGATATAAATACTCACTTGTTAGAGCGGGACGGCAAGCAATGCACGATATCAGATATCGAGCGACAAAGCGCGTGAGATACAAATACTCACTAGTTAGAGCGGGACGGCAAGCAATGCACGATATCAGATATCGAGCGACAAAGCGCGTGAGATATAAATACTCACTAGTTAGAGCAGTACGGCAAGCAAGGGACAATATCAGATTTTTAAACAGATATTATGAATAAGTTAAGTAATTTTGAATCTTAACAAGATGCAAATAAGATCCGTTTTAATTAAATACTAATCATGGTATCAAAGATTACTACAACGATATTATTATATTTCTATTGTTTTGTTTAGCCTTGAGCCGTAACGGGCGACAAAGCGCGCAGTTAAGTAATTTTGAATCTTAACAGCATGGAAAAAAATCTCTGTTGCATTTAAATACGAATTACGGTATTAACGATGTCTTTAAATTTTGTTTAGTTTTGAGCTGGATTGCATTGGTACTAAGCACGTAAGGGATGCCAACTTACTACTTAAGAATTTTCTGCCTAAATTAAGGAAGAAAAATATAAATGGAAATTTTTTAGGAGGTACCATTTTTTGTGAATATTTTTATTACTTAAATTTTATTCATATTTTTGGAAAAAAATAAAAGTACACAAAAAGAAAAATATAATTTAATAGTGTTGTGCTGCTAAGGGTGGAAATCAGACCAAGGCTTATGTGCTTTGTGTGTATATTTTAAATTCTTCCGCCCTAAGTTATAATACTGAATGTATTATTTCTTACACAAATTATAAAGATATTGTCACTCATGATTGCGTGTTTAAAAATATGTTAAAGTCAATTATTAAGCGATATATAAGATGTTAAAATAAATCATTTTTTATATTACTTCAATTTCTATTTTTAATGAAATTTTTAATTTTATCAGGTAATGTTTTAATTTTACCTTAATAGTATAAAAAATCGTGATTTTAAATTCAGTAAGTTTTTTGAATGTAGTCAATTTTAGTGGGTTTTCGAATTTATTTAGGAGTATTCTTTTTGAACAGTTGGTATCTCTGGTAATAGCTGAATGTATAGGTCTATTGATCGTCGAACAAGACTTTCGACGATTAAAGTCAAACAGCTTACGTTCGTAAACGTGAATTTAAACCCGGAGGAATCTAAATAATTTTTAACCCACACATCATTGTAAATAAGTTAAGTTTTAAATATCAGGAAAATTATGTACATAGAATGAATCAACTTTTAAATACTCTTTTTTTTTTTTTTTTAGAATTCAAGGTGGATACGGGACCGTAAAATATCTAGATATTAAAATACATAGTTTCGAAATCTGATATTTGAAATCGATATCTGATTCAGATACGGTACTCAGAAAAAGCGATACGACCCATCTCGAATATATATATATATATATATATATACAGTTACTATAAAGTATATCCCCGAGTGCTCAGGTTCATCGTGGAATACTCTCAATAAATTCAAACGAAACGCCTTAAAAACATAACATAAGTAACGCTCTTGCTAGCCGGTAACGTATTTACGGTACCAAAGATCGTTACGCTTTTATTGATATATCATCATCACCTGCAATACCAATTGATTTGTTGCAAAGGACATGAAGGGTATCATTTTGCAATTTCACTCATTATTCCAGTAATAATAAAGAAGCACACTACATAAAAAGAAGGATCGTGTATGGATTTTTATCGTAAGCGTATCATAAAATGTTACGACAAAATAATTTTAACGTTTTTGCGCGGTGCAGACAATTATTTCATAAGTTCTTGGAAGGTGGAAAGCGAGTCTACATTACATTTCATTAAAAAAAAAACTGTGTTCACAATTATATACGGATATTTATGGACGGAACATAATTAGCACCACCATCTTAACCGACGTAGGACAGTATGAAAACGAATTCAATGATCAAATGATTCACAACTTTTTCCATTCTAGCCATTGTATAGTTCTTTTTTAAGTCTTATTGACTTCAGATTCATAGTCTACTGTTTTATTATTTTCTATAAGTATGGTAGTATCATCCGAAAATAGTATACATTTGTTTTATTGCATTTGGGATATCGTTTCGCTCAGCAGTGGCAGGGCCACACAGCAGCCTTGGCTGTTGCACGAATGGGCAGGCTCGTCCGGGTAAGTACCACGACCTCACAGAAGACCGGCGTAAAGTGGAAGTATAATACTTTCGCGTTTCGTCTGGTGAGTGAGGTGGCCGGAGCCCAATTACCAAAAGGTTGTCAACACATCTGGAACCCTGGATGTCCATGGGCGGCCGTATTCACTGAACATCGGGTGAACCCTCTGCTCGTTTGGCAAATTTTCACATTAAAAAAAATCGTTTATGTAGCTTAAAAAAAGTAATGGGCCTAGTATTGAACCTTGGGGTACACCGTAGGCGTTATGTAAGAAAGAATCTGTGAATTTTTGTGAATCTACCTAAAGTTTCACAAGTTTCTACACATTGGTAACGAGTACAAAGATTAGAAAGACAACTCTTCATCCAATCCTGTGCAACTTCCCTGATGCCCTGCTCATATAATACGTCGATAAGCATATTATGTGAAACAAAATCAAATGCTTTTGTAAGATCTAAGAAAATTGCAGTAATAGGAGTCTATTTATTAAAACATTCAGTTATTGTTTTTATGACAAAGAAACAAGCGTGAGTTGCTGATCTATTTTTCCTAAAACCAAATTGTTCATTTGTAAATACGTTAGGTAGCGACAAAAAAATTACGAAGCCGCTAGTACATGACAATTTCAAATATTTTTGATATGGTTGGTATGAGAGTTATCGGCCTGTAGTTGGATCAGTTTTATTACCCTTCTTATACAGCGTGTCGTTACCATCGCGACAATAAATGAACACACGTCTAAAGCTACTTGCCAATAATCATAAAAAAAATATTAAAGTTAAACAAAATCCATAATTAAAAAAAATATTTTTCAAACAAAGTAATTAAGTAAAAAAGATACAAAATTTGTAACATCCTATACAACTCGCGTCACAGCGTCGTATTACAAGCCTCTCCGTCTAACAGTATGTTTTGTCTCTTTTAAATTCATTCAACCCATTCATATGCTTTGTGACATGACTGTGTGAAAAATTCTTTGTGTTGGAAAATTTAATAACCCTGTAAATATTGATGTTTAAAGAATTTAAATGTTTAATACAACTTATCCCAATACAAATTATCCCCTACATGTTACAATACAAGTTATCCCCTATATGTGTTCATTTATTGTCGCGATGGTAACGACACGCTGTATATCGGCTTAATAACAGAATATTTAAGGGGATTTGGGAACACTCCTTTGGTAAGGGATAAATTTATAATGTGAGTTAACGGTATCGCTATGTATTTACTACATGCCTTTAATATTTTAGTACTAATATCATCATACCAGTTGAATTCGTGTTCTTTAAGTTTTGAATGATTTTTATAATACTAAGCACCGTTATAGGAGTTAAAAAAATCGAGTTTGTATTTCTATAATGATAGTTACTGTTCATAACATCGCCACAGGTAGTACTCATTTTACTTCGATTGTCTTTATGAGTCATTTCTATAAAGTATGAGTTAGCTATATTTGCAATACTGGGAGAATCAGTGACAGTCTTACCATTGATTATGATCTTTTTTAGGTTACAATCAGTTTTCACACTATTACAACTTTTAATAATGTTCCAAGTGCATTTATTGTGAGATCTTTGTATATATTTCATATTGTTAATTTTGTGCGATTCATTAATACATTTTTGTAATAATTTAGAACACGTATTATACTTTGATATACCTATTGATTATTTTGTTTGATTTTGATAAGCGATAGCGCAAGTAAAGAATTCTTTTGTTTCAACAACATCTCTTTATTCCTTTCGTTAGCCATTTTTTTAGGGTCTTTTTTACTCTTTTTATTATTATAAAAGGAAAATATTGATTACGAAATAAAATTATAGTTTCGTGAAATATTTTAAATGCTAATTCCGTGTTTTGTGCTTCTAAAATTTCAATAAATGATAGGGTATTCATTCATAGTGTTTACGAATTTCTTAATATTTTCATTACTATAATCTCTCTTCTTTTCTAGTACTTATGGTATTAAGACCCATTTACATGGTGCCAGTTTCTTGCCTGTTGTATACAATTAAATTGAAGCAATAAATGAGTTAAATGGTCTAAACAGCACATAACATTCTTGACCGTTGAACAAAACTTGCTTCAAGTTTTGTTTCAAAACTTTCCTTCGTGTAAACAGCACACACAATAATTTCTTAAGCAATTCTTGTATTCAATTGCATTTTCTCTTCCTTTGCAAACATGAGTGTGATGAGTGAGGGTGTTTAATCGTTGCTGTTCTTTTGAGGCAAGAAATATTGAGAAAAAGGTCGTACAAAAAAGTTGGCTTGGCTTTTATATTAAAGGAGATGGTTTGACCGGTTTAATGGTCAGGAATAGCCAAACAATGAATGTTGCTATCAATTTCAGTGTCCACAATGTTACTACAAATAAGATCAATGCACGCGTTTTTCCGAGTTGGGCGTATTACATGATGGTGGCCTACGCTGTGCCTAGCAAATCATACTTATACATGCTCTCGATGTATGAATCGGCTGTTTACGCAGGGATGATCCACCAGATGTTCACCAGAACACTTCTATTGAGGTTAGCTTAAAGCTCTGGTATGTCAGGGTACATACACTTTGTCTGCAGTCAGGATTACCTTGGGTTCACTTAGTATCATTTGATTGTGGAACTGTTACTTATTTATCCTTGCACGTGTCATGTACGATAAATATTTCATTGTTGATGCCTTTCTTCCACGTGTGCGAAGCCGCCAGTAATAATCAGTAGTTTTATAATCATTTTATGAATTTAGGGAAAAAGCAAAATTAAAAGTATATTAAGAACTATTATTTACTATTCACTATCAAAATAATTAATGTAGCGGTATTTTCTCCAAAACTTCGGCTTGCTCGGGTATAAGAGCTTCACGAGGTTTCTTCCAATGAAATTCTTCCCATGGCAGTTTATCAACACCAGCTGCCCAATGGTGAATCCTACATCTCACATTTACTTCTTCAGTATTATTAATCTAAAAGATTAAAAGGGCTTTAATGTATGGATAATCTAATCACAGGTTTGAAAAGCAGTTTATTTGTTAGTGAAGCTATTTTTGATGTTTCCTTAATCACATTTCATCATCAGGCGATTAGACTTCCTTGGTTTGTTGCTGAGATATCATGCACTTATGAATATCTATAAGTTGGGGATCACAGTTGCACCATTCTTACTTTTTTTTTTGAAAGACCCTGTTTACTTTATTCCCCAGTATATTATAAGTACTTTTGTTTCAGACCATTATGTAAAGAGCCGTCTTATTTATGAAATATTGGAAGCTATTGTGTATGAAAATAAGTGATAGGTTAAAATTTGTTCAAGTAAAAGTAAAGTATTCAGGTTATATCGTCCATTAAGTGATTTTCAAAACTTTTAAATTTTTTTTGCAATGATTATAAGATGGATTAAAACATGACACTATACCTGAACAGTAACGTAAAATTCCTTATGTTGCAATGACAAATCTGGACCTTTAATTTGTATTGGAGGCATTTTTATTGCATGCTCAGGCACCACATAACCTGCTTTTCGGAAAGATGTCCTTATGTGCCAAGGTTCTAGAATCCAAGGTTCAGTTTTATTCATGGTTATTTGGAGCACCAGGCGGGATAAGCAGCCCATGGTCTGAAAAAGTTATATCATAATTGCAATGTACATTGATATACTAACAGAGGCTGACCAAGCCCTTGAGAGGCCTGGGTCGGCAAAACTGAATGAGGCCGCAAGTTGAGGAAGCTGACCTAATTTTACAAACTATTTATTCATTTCACATTTCTATATGGTTATTTCGATAGGTATGTTTATTTAGTAAGAATCTTAAAAGCGAAAATTAAATTCGACTTAAATAAACATACCAAGAAAATCCATATTTGAGAGAAAAATAAAATATGAATAAATAGGCAAAAAAAAAACAATTATAAAAAAAATTAATAGGTTTTATTTTTAAAAATATTTTTATTTTATTATTTTCTTTTAATGTGAAAAGTTGCCAAGCGAGCAGAGGGGACACCTGATGTTAAGTGAATACCGGCGCCCATAGACATTTGCTAAACCCGAGGGTTGCAAATGCTCTGACAACCTTTTGAAAACTGGGCTTCGGCCACCTCACTGACCAGACGAAACGCGAAAGTATTATACTTCCACTTTACGCCGGTCTTCTACGAGGTCGTGGTACTTACCCGGACGAGCCTGCCCTTTCGTGCAACAGCCGAAGCTGCTGCGTGGCCCTACCACCGTGAAAATTTTCAGTAAGTTAAGTTCCAGTAAGTAGTTTTAAAAGAAACTGAAATTTCATTAAAGTTATTAAATTCAGTAAAATGAAGGCACGAAAATAAATAAAATATGTGCGTTCAATGTATTCTCGGTATAGGCATAGAATAAGTAGAAAATCTATATACAGCGTGTCGTTACCATTGCGACAATAAATGAACACACATAGAGGGGATAACTTTTTAAAGTTGTATTAAACATTTAAATTCTTTAAACATCAATATTTACAGAGTTATTAAATTTTCCAAAACAAAGAATTTTAGAACACCCTTACCTATAAAAGCGTAACGTAAAGATCATTTGTAAAGGTCACAAAGCATATGAATGGGTTGAATGAATTTAAAAGAGACAAAATATACTGTTAGAAGGAGAGGCTTGTAATATGACGCTGTGGCGCGAGTTGTATAGGATGTTATAAATTTTGTTTCTTTTTTACTTAATTAGTTTGTTTGAAAAATATTTTTTTAAAATTATGGACTTTGTTTAACATTAATATTTTTTTATGATTATTGGCAAGTAGCGTTAGACGTGTCTTCATTTATTGTCGCGATGGTAACGACACGCTGTATATAGAAATGAATCCCTATTTCCCTTGGTCACGCCATCACGCGTGAACGGCTGGACCGATTTCGCTAATTCTTTCTTTATAATATTCCATGAAGTAGGAAGATTGGTAGTTGGCTGTGGTAAAATGTGACTTGAAATGTAAACTTCTCTTTGCTGTGCAACACTACATAGTATAAAACAAAGTCGTCCCGCTGTCTGTCTGTCCCTATGTACGCTTAAATCTTTAAAACTTTTTTTTTACAAAAACAAAAAAAAAACTACGCAACGGATCTTGATGCGGTTTTTTTTTACTAAATAGAATGATTGCGCTATATTGTGCGGGTCGCTAGTTCTGAATAAACCTTATTTTTTAAAGTAGTTCCCCATCTTTTCAAAACACTTATTTAAGCAGGGACGTAATCACTAGTGGAAAAAAACATTAATTGACACCTTCAACTAGAAGTGGGCGATACAAATCGTATCAGATATGAAATCTATTATTAGTACAATATCCGAATATCGCTTACTGGCTCGTTCAAAATCTATGTATTTTACAATATTTGATATTTCCGAAATCTGATGTACCGAATACTCGCTCGCTATACCGACACGAATCGCGATATCATACGCGTTTGCCACAATATCTGATTTTTAAACAGATTTCGAGAGACAAAGCGCGTGAGATACAAATACTCACTAGTTAGAGCGGGACGGCAAGCAATGCCCGATATCAGATTTTTAAACAGATTTAGAGTGATAAAGCGCGTGAGATATAAATACTTACTAGTTAGAGCGGGACGGCAAGCAATGCACGATATCAGATTTTTAAACAGATATTATGAATAAGTTAAGTAATTTTGAATCTTAACACCATGAAAATAAGATCCGTTTCAATTAAATACTAATCATGGTATGAACGATTACTACAACGATATTATATTTTTATTGTTTTGTTTAGCCTTGAGCCGTAACGGGCGACAAAGCGCGCAGTTAAGTAATTTTGAATCTTAACAGCATGGAAAAAACTCTGTTGCATTTAAATACGAATTACGGTATTAACGATGTCTTTAAATTTTGTTTAGCCTTGAGCTGGATTGCATTGGTACCTAGCACGTAATAGTAAGGGATGTCAACTTACTACTTAAGAATTTTCTGCCTAAATTAAGGAAGAAAAATATACAATGGAAATTTTTTAGAAGATAAATTTTTTGTCAATATTTTTATTAGTTAAATTTTATTCATATTTTTGGAAAAAAATAAAAGTACACAAAAAGAAAAATATAATTTAATAGTGCTGTGCTGCTTGGGTGGAAATCAGACCAAGGCTTATGTGCTTTGTATGTAAATTTTAAATTCTTCCGCCCTAAGTTATAATACTGAATGTATTATTTCTTACACAAATTATAAAAATATTGTCACTCATGATTGCGTGTTCTAAAAATATGTTAAAGTCAATTATTAAGCGATATATAAGATGTTAAAATAAATCATTTTTTATATTACTTCAATTTCTATTTTTAATGAAATTTTTAATTTTATCAGGTAATGTTTTAATTTTACCTTAATAGTATAAAAAATCGTGATTTTAAATTCAGTAAGTTTTTTGAATGTAGTCAATTTTAGTGGGTTTTCGAATTTATTTAGGAGTGTTATTTTTGAACAGTTGGTATCACTGGTAATAGCTGAATGTATAGGTCTATTGATCGTCGAACAAGACTTTTGACGAATAAAGTCAAACAGCTTACGTTACTAAACGTGAATTTAAACCCGGAGGAATCTAAATAATTTTTAACCCTAAATAATTGTAAAAATTGTAAATATATAATGTTAGGTTTTAAATATCAGGAAAATTATGTACATAGAATGAATCAACTTTTAAATACGCCTGCACAATTTATATTTATAATAAGTATAAAATATTGTTAAATTTTTTTTTTTTTTTTAGAATTCAAGGTGGATGCGGGACCGTAAAATATCTAGATATTAAAATACATAGTTTCGAAATCTGATATTTGAAATCGAAATCTGATTCAGATACGGTACTCAGAAAAAGCGATACGACCCATCTCTACCTTCAACTTTTCAACCTTGGTCGGAAAAATGCTTACCCCGAAGATCTTTCTTGAGTTTAAGGAAGAAAAACGAAGGTAATCACTAGTGGCCGATTTCAATATTCTATCGGCAGGTAGATTTGGTTACCAGCGATAGGTATTTGACACTAGCTCAATAATACTTACGTCAAAATTCTATATCCAGTAACCAATTGTATTTGTAGATTGGATATTGAAACGTGCCGTAGGAGCTATTTCAGACCGCAGGGTGGATGATTGTTTTTTTTATTTGTATCCTGCACAGCTGCCTTGGCAACGCGCCCTTTGTGAACCTGAGAGTTGTCACAAAGAAGCAAGATACCTGTGGTCAATTTTCCATGACTTTTTCCTCTTATTGCTTCCTTTAAATTATGTGTTTGTGTATTAATTAAATTATTATGATCCTCTTAGAATCTCAATAAACAAAGACAAATAAACAATGAAAACAAACAGCGGATTGGGTGCCCTTTCGGTGGATCTGTCTCTTTTTTTATGTCACTGCATGGACTCGTGTTGCTCTCTGGGTCATAGTGATGAACCCAGGTTTCATCACCGGTAACGATTCGGTCGAAAATACTATGCGAATTTTCACCACAGAACTCAAAAAACTTGCAGCACTCAACTCGCATTTGTTTCTGGAGCGCTATGAGGATTCGCGGCAGCCATATTGCACGGACCTTTGACAGATTCAGATACTAATGAAGGATCGTTGAATGATACCCACAGATAGGTTAGGCACCTTCGAGAGTTTTGACGTTTTCTTCCATTTATCCGTTTTCCGGCCCACCGTCACAGGGATTATCTTCAACACTTTCTCTACCCTGTTTGAATTCACTAGATTCAATTCTGAAAAGTGTAGTGATAATGAAGGAGCCGAGTTTTTGTAAAAGGTTCCCCATTCATAACTTTTTGAGTCTTTCCTTGTTTTGTAAGGAACTTAATCAAAGTGCTATGCTCGTAATGACATAAAAAAAAAAATTCGTCTAATTATCATCATTAGTATTCAAGTACTAATGATGATAATTAGACGAAATTTTATATTTTATCCTCACTTTTTACCTCTGTCTTTAATTAATGAGATAATTTAATTACTCTTATCATTACCATATACCGAGATACCGAGAACACATGATTGATTCTTTATAAAAAGGGCAGAGTAAAAAAAAAAAAAATAATTATTGCATTTTGAATACATAATTGAATCTAAAACAAAATCTGTAAAGATATTGTTATGAACACACGAAGAAACTAGCGCCATCTAGCGTCAACTAGTAAAACCACTAAAGAACAAAGACAACATAAAACCCCGTATCCAATACTAGATGGCGTTAGAGGAACTACTGTGGAACTATATTCTCGAATACCGGGTACATTCGCATCCTTTCCGGAATCACGATCATGTTTGCGCGTGTCGGGTACGTTCCAGGAAGGAACTTTCTGGATTAGTCTGGGACTCGTCTCGGCCCATATAAAAAGCAGCAGGGAGGCGAGCGAAGACAGTTCAGTTTGAGCTACCTTCGAGGCGACTTCGGAGTGAAAACTAGTGATAAAGAGCGATACCAGCGAAACCTACGACTTGGCTACATCCTAGGACATCGTTCGTGCTTAGTGATTGGACCTAATGCTTTGTGTTGGACCTAGCGCTAGTGAATAAAGTCTTCAAAAGAGTCAGCAGGTCTTTCTCTCCAAATCCTTCGAACCTTAACACGTAACAACTGA